AATTTTCTTCTTTTATTATATATAATCTGTTGTATTATTTAACCCTTTTATTCTCTTTCCTGCAATTTTCTTCAGATTTATTTTTTTTTCCTTACTAGGGCCTAATGATACCTTATATTTCATCAAAGTGTATACGCTACTGAGGACTTCTACGGATAGCTTACTGCGCATGCACTGGGACTGCCCAACACTGCTCGTAAAATATCGCGCGCAATCACCGATCAACGAAGAAATACGCATGTGCACTTTTATTCTTGCATTTCTGAGGAAACTTATTTTGTTTATAGATCATAATGTATTTAAAAATAAATCACATATTTAATCATTTTCAAAAATAAAGAAAAAAAGCAGTAGTACTATTATGTATTTATGATTAATCAAATATTTTATTCGATTTTTTTATTTGAGAACAAGCTGAAGAGCGAAAAGTCGTTTCTCAAGTTAACAATGAGTATGATAGGCTAGTTAGCAGGGTTGAATTAGATCTTTATTTGGAAGATACATAGGTATTCATAGGATAATTGAACATAACTGTAGATGGAGGTGATTAAACACAAATGTACAAACAAAATACAATACGGTACTCCTCATCGTGTGTTTGGCGGTGTGAGTATAGCTTTTTGTCATTGGCGCACTATTCAAATACGCCTTCTTTGCATCTAGTCAATAATTGTACACTCGACTTATATGCTAAAGCATCCGCACTATCGCTTCTCTTTTTTTTTTTTTTTAAAAATAATCATATATATTTTGCGATAAAAAAAATCAGGTAATGTTGCTTCATAAACTTGAAATTGCACTGCAATCTCTTTTACTTGGCCAGCTGCGAGGCGACCGTGAAGAATTTTGAAATCATTCAGAAAAAATAGAAGAGGGAGCGATGTAATCCGAAGCAATGAAAAAACGTTTTTAGAAATTCATATATTACGTAAACCTTTTATTTTCCTCAAACTACTAAATCTCGACAACCTTAATTCTCTAAATGTTTCACAGATTCATAGACCAAAAATGGAATATGAAGTTAAGAACATATACAGGGTAAGTTAATCGAAAACTACTACCTAAAGTAACTTTTGATTCGTTGACATTAAACGAAAATATTGTAACTAAATTTATCATGCATTAATGGATTCGTTTGATACAAATATTTAAATGACGTGAACACAACAAATTTTATTATATATATATGTATATATATATATATATATTCGTTTAACGCCACAGGTCAAAAATTTTAGATAGCGTTTTCTAGTAACTCACCTTATATAGTACTAGAAGAAGGCATTGCTCACTGTATCCTCTTTTTTTTCTGGTATCTTAAAAAATTCTCTAGAACGATGCGCCGCAAGACAAAGAGATGGTCGTGCAGTTCACCTATTCGTGTAATCATTTTAACGTTATTCGTTAAATACATTCTTATGTCTTGTCTTTGCGTGAAATGCTTGTATGAGTTCTCATTTTTTTTGTATTTTTTTTATAATAAAATTATTTTTCTAATCTTTGTTGATCAGCTGTTGTTGCCCTGTGAAAACTGCCTTCTGTCACAACACAATAATACTTGCATGGTGGGTTCACGCTTCTGAATTTGGTTGATCTTTTATATCACAATGTTATGTATAACCTTTCCATTAATATTAATAGGTTTTTCTTTTGATAATTATAGATACCAAATTCAAATGCAAAATTTTGGTTATTCAATGTCTAATTTAGGAAATACCCTAAGTCATAATGAAACACATTAAATGTGTTCTTTTTTGTATGAATTTTATATGAAAACAATATAAATCTATGTACTCTCTTTTTTAATGTTATTAATATTTATAAAAACAATGAATTACTTGTCCACATTTTTCTTTTCATGTGCTTTACAAAACTCACTCTTAAACAATAATCTAGAATGTTAAAGTTGCTATTCCACATATTAAAATTTATAGAATTTCACGACTTTGTGCAAGTTTTCTCAGATTGTACTACTAAGAATAAAGATACGACTTAGGTTTTTTCATAAACAGACAATTGAATTATAGTATTATTTATAATGTTTCGCTGTGCATTGCTCTATCGTATCTTTATTGTTGTTGCGTGTGGGGTTTACCACGGGGCGTGTAACCGCCACGATTTCCTCCTCGTTGACCACGAAATTGTCCTCGACTACCTCTATCTATACCACGCTCGCCTCGTGGACCACCTCTTGGTCCACCGCCTCCTCTTTTATAACCAGAATTGTAACCACTATTTCCTTCGCTGTTTCCCCAAGAACGTTGTTGGTAACCATTTTGATAGTTACTATCATTGCGATAGTAAGTTCCTAAAATCGAAATCATTTGTTAGTAAAATACATCAAGTATACTATATTATTAATACTTTTTACCTTGTCCTCCACGACCATTTTGTTGATAACCACCACCCCTGCCTCTTCCATTGTAACCATTAGAGTTACCTCTTCTTCCACCTCTACCTCTGTATCCACTACGCTGTTGGTCACCCCAAGCTTGCTGAGTTGTTTGTTGTTGTGTTTGTTGTGAATCTTGAGTTGATGATTGCGATTGATCCGTCTGATTCCAATCGTTTATATTTCCGCTCTCAGCCATTTGACACCAATCGACAGATTCACTTGGTTGTTCTAATTCTGTTTCTGGTGCTGGGGTTTCTTCTTGATTTTCCTCAGGTTTTTCCTGAATATTTCAATACTACAATTATTATAAAACGTAAAAGAACAATGTTGAGTGAATAGGCAAATTTAAATACCTCGTTAGGTGGTTGTTGACTTTCCTGTTGATGCTCAAAATTTTGTGTTTGTGCCGGTTGTGAAATTTGTTGTGCAACAGTTTGCTGTTGTTGCTGTTGTGGTTGCTGTTGGAAATTAGTAGGATGTTGTGGACTATACTGAATATTTGGTTGTTGATGAGAAGGTGGCATTGGAATGGGTGGAGGTGGGTTAGGGTTAGCAAATCCAGGAATGTGGGACATATCCTGTGGTGGTTGATGTTGATATATAACTGGTTGTGGTACTACTGGTGCATTTGCAAAATTTTGATTTGTAAATGTTTGCGAAGGAATAGGTGCATTCACAGCAGCAGGAATGTGTGAAACAATAGGTGCTTGAGATGTAACATCTGGTGAATCAAGTTCAGATTCTTGCAAAAAAAAGAAATTCGGCGTGCCTATAACATCATTAATTCTGGGAGCCTGTGGTGGTTGCTGTTGAGCTGGTTGTGACTGTTGTTGTTGCTGCTGTGGTTGTGGTACAAATCCAGTAGCATTTGTGTAATAAGATGTTTCAACCGGCGCTGCTGGATGTGGTGGAATTGGTTGTGCAACTACAGGAATAGGACCAGAAACTGGGGTAGTGCCAGAAACAACTGGGAGAGGAGCAACTTGTACTGGAAAATTAGGAATGGGAATGATGGACTCAGGTGGAATGTGCCTGTCATTGCTATTATATTCTTCGTTGACTTGTTCCTGTGCAGGAGTTTCTGATATTTGGGTTTCAGCAACTGCTTCTGCAACCTAAAAAGAAAAATGTTACAAAATAATAATTATTATTAAATTTCATTTAAATTAATTGACAAATAAAGGATTGTAACAGATACTGCAACTTACTTCCTCTACTGCAGCTTCAGTTTCATGAACTTGATCAAAGTACCCACACTGATTAATAGACGTGATAATTTCTTTCAATTTGTTATAAGTTGTACCAACAACTTCTCTTGGTTTTCCATCAACAATAGCTACATAATGTTCTGCTACTTTCTGTACTTGTTGAAGAAATGTTGGTTCACCTTCCTCTCGATGATGTTTCATCATAACTTCATTGTAGAGACTGTCCAAACTCTTTAAGTCTTGTTCCGTTAATTTCACTGCACCGTTTTTTCCAGCAAGAAAGTCTTCTCTAACAGAATCCGTTCCCATGTTCATCAGTGCATCTTGTATAAGAAGAACTTCTTTCACCTATAGTATATAAATAAATAAGTTATTTTATACAACAACAGAGATTATTGGTATTATAAGATTGAATGTATTAACAACAAAGACATACCTTTGCAATATCCTGTTGTGTTCTTTCAATAGCCTCTTTTCTTGCCAATTTCTTTTGTTGTTTGACAGCATCATGAGCAATTCCAACAATTTGTTTATGTAATTCCTTAGTAATATCCAATGTTTGTAATACTTCATCATATTTAACCACTGCTGTTTTCTGATCTGCGTTTAGTTCCCTCCCATTCTTCTGCAGATCCCTGTATGACTCTAACTTTGCCTAAATGCAACAAATATTGTTAATGTTAATAAACTAATTAAAAAATTATATCCAAGAAATAAATTAATAAATAAATAAATATATATATATATATGTATATATTTAATTGATTTAATTTTAAGTTTCATATCAAGTTTCTTATGATATTTGACTACTTCATGTTGATATGAAGCTGTGATTTTGCTTTATGATTTTTTGGATACATGATTCTAGAAAATTATATTCAGACTTAAAAACGGGGACAAACGTTAAATCAATTATTGATATATTAAGTTTAAGCATTGTATGAACTGAAATTTTATGTCCAGTTTATTAATCTCTTGTTAAACAAAAAATGATATTACACAATTTAATTTACCGGTAGCGACCTGAAAGCGTGTCGCGTAAAGTTTTGTGCACATCCTTAGAAGATACCGCCATGATACGAAGTTTACGATAGCAAATTTAATTGTTTAATTGTGCAAAAATCGACAGTTTTAATTTAACTCAACTTTAACGAATAAATTTTAATAACAAAAAATCATGATAAGTATTAGTTCGTTACAGTATAATCACCAGATACCTACAAAATCTCGAGTGTGAGCACATGGCATATCCAATCATGGCGGAATGCACCGTGAAAGCCATCAACTGACAGATACTTTTCTCATCTTTATTCGCTAATATATATTTCAAATACTTACCTTACGCTTTTCAAGATTTCGTATCTTATGTTCGATAACGATAATCGCCTGGCGTATAGGATCTACGGTCTCCGTAGAGGCCTGTTTTTCTAGTTTAGGGTTGGCAGAAGGCATCCTTCACGGGCAACAAACGCGAACTGGAAATTAGAATAGCATTGGAGTTTCGGGGTACGGGGAAAGAGAAGTGATCATAAGCGCATGCTCAGTTTCAGTTTGTACCTAACCTTTTTATCAATGCCGTAACAATTTTCTGTTAGGACCCTTTCCGAAAACTATTTAAATTAAAATTAAAAAGATTACTTCAACTCTTAATGTTACCAATTGAATTTAAAAATAAAATATAAAAATATATATTTATGAAAATTATTCTACGTATTATGTTACTTTTTTTTATATAAATTGAAATTCTTAAAAATTTTTAAACGTACTATACTTACAATATGTACAAAAGGATTAAATAATAAATATTGAAAAAAAAAAAAAAACTATATAAAATCAGATAAACTAATTATATTAATACACAGTTTTTAAAACATTTTTTTTTTAATTTTATTGAAAAAAGATTAATAAAAACATAAATTATGCGAGTAATAATCTGCTAGGATATAATATATATTTTGATTGTATCTTCTTTTTTAAATTTTGATAACAAAAATACTGTAATTCCATGATTAAAAAGCTATATCTAATCTGTATTATGATTAAAAAAGTAATAAGTTTACAGTTGAACAAATAAGTATACATTTTTGTTTCTATTACTGATTTCTATAATGTCGGAAACAACGATTTCAAGCTAGTGCTATACACGATATGTTAATTTACAATCCATACATTACTTGTATAGAGATAAATGATCAGTAATATAATTATGATGAATTTTCGACTAGAATAAATCCAAATTGTTAAGTAAATCAATTGAATAATCGATATATATACATATATATAGCACTGGCTTTCTTTTATTAATAAGAAGTATTGCATGGCACGTTTACCAAAAAGAAAATGTCTTATAACTGGATACTTTCCTTTTATTATTACTGCGTCAGTGTCCAAATGCCCGCATTTTTAAATTCCAAGTTTATAGCTTCTTGAAATAATTTATTTTACAATTCAATAATCCGACAGTAATCGCTAATACAATGATACCGTAATAGTATATCAAAGATGTCTAAAGCCCTATGGCTTTATTATAGCAGTCACCTGTTGCTATTAGATTTTTACAATTTACAAATATAATTTAATATATCGTCTTTGAAAAATACATTCGCGCCATACACGCATATCACCACTCTTGTTTTTAGAGAACATCTTCTTTCTTAACAAATCTAAAAACAGATCAAAAACTTAGAAAACTTCAGATTTAAACAGTGATAATAATATAATAGTAATAATAATAATTACAATAAAGATCATAAAAATTGTTATAACATAATAATATGAATGTAATTTAAAATGTAATCATATGAATAGTAAAATTATTAATAACCATTAGTCTATTAGTTACAGATTTTTATTACCTAATTGAAAAGTTTGGAAACATTTTAATGTAAAAACATGCCAACTTCTTGAAATTATTAAAATCAATTAGTTTTCTTATAAAATAAACGTTTACCGAAACATTTAAATTGCATAAATTGTATTGTAGATATTAAAAACTTTTAAATTAGACAAGCAAGTCTTTGAATTAATTTAAACAAGTATGTTTTGTTAATATTTTTTCTATTATTTGCTTACTCATTGAAGGATTTAAAAAGGAAAATATGATATAAATTCTAATAATAGAGAAAATTGTAGAAACTTTAATTTCGTTTAGAAGATCAAAATCTTAAGCATTGATATTATCAGATTTTTTATGAAAATAGATACACTTTCTTATACAACATTCATTCAGAATTCATATACAATTACGCATGTTATTAAAGTCAAGTTTATTCACAAAAATAAATGATTTGAAGTCATGGTAATAGCTAGTTAATGTATTATAAAATCAGAATGTTGACATTGCTTTATTTATACGTATTTTAATATGGAAGAATTTTGAAACATACTACTGAATTATTAGGTAATTGCAATGGAAGAAGTTAGTTAATAAAGATTACATGCCAAAACACAGTGATCGGAGAATGCATGAAAAAATATTTTTAATTTTATCGAAAAATTACAATACAGATGTACTATAAGGTTTCTAATGTTTCTCTATAAAAGAATAATACATATTTTTAAAATATTGCATTTACCATGAAGCATTTTATTTAAAATAAGAAAATGCTATTTTGGAACACTTCTGAATATTTTTAACGTATTTTATACGTTTAAGTTTTATAGTTATATGTCTATATACAAATTAACATCAACATAAATATTGTTTACATTTTTTAAATCATTAAAAAAGATAGATACAAGCTATAAAGGAAATGCGTAATGAATTTCAAAATTACAATTAGAGGAACAAACAGCATAATATTTCTGCATTTTGCAGCGAACAAACCTTTGTGGCTTTAAAGAATGTGATGTATGTAAATATGTTACAGAAGGTCGCGACGTATTACACGCCATATCACTTTGTATGTTTTATCCTAAAATCATTTGTCTTTCGTACTTTTTCAGATCTTAATGTATCAGACCTCGATATCATATAAGATTATCACGATACAAATGCTATAACTAAATGTTTATCCACACAAACATTTGTAAATCTCTATTATTATGCTACTATGATGGCGAAGTTTGGGCTCATTTCTAATTTATACGCAGGGGCGAATATTTTACATATGTCGTGTTTATACGCTAATCTTACTTACCTCGCTATTCACTACTTCTTATCACTATAACTATAGTTTCTTGATTACACATTAACGTTAACTTCACCGTTCGGCACAGCATGTAGTATTAACTCAAATTAAATATTTACCATCCTCAAAATACAATATTCAACTGTTTGGTCTCGAGACTGGTATTAACTTTATATTCATAAAATCGATATATCACTAAACCTTTAATGGTCTTGAGACATTGTACATAAAACAGAACCAATGATTATTGTAGCACCACTAAGATGGTATACTGCTCATTTGCACATTGCAAGACACTGTTTCAGAAATATCTTCAGTTTTCTGTGTAGGCACCTGTGAATCGGAGATATTAGCAGTCGATTTAGTTATTTGCGTCGTTGAAACATTTTCAATTGTTTCTCCAGCATCATTCAATGAAGGTAAAATAGATTTTGAACTTGATTTTGTTTTAGTTTGTTGTTCCAAATTGTCTATTTCCGCCCAAATAGACCTAACTTCTTTAAATAACTGAAACATAATTTTTTTATTGAATCAATCGTAATAACTTTGTAATATACATTGTCTTGAAAATATATTTACTATTTACCTGATTTAACCATGCTTCATCTGCTAGGAGTTCGTTTAGTATTATTGTAGTATCCTTATGCGGATTTGCTACTCGTTTGTCTGCTACTCTTCTTGCACATTCCAAAAACATTAAATACTTCTGATGTGCTACTTTATTGTACAGAGCTACTTTTGCTTGACATATTCGACATAATAAAAAATCCTATAAATGAAATGATTAACTCAATTATAAAATTGTTTCGTGAAAAATCAATAAATTTAAATAATACCTTTTCTTGAGGTACTCTTGGGTCAGGCGGAGAACCCTCTAACGTAGTTGCATTATATGGTTGACCATATAGTAATACTCTGGCATGAATATTAGCTTGTTGGCAACCAGCACATGACTTTCCTTTATATTCTGTAAGTGGTAAATCCTTAAGAACATTAAGGCATGGCCAAGTTGATATTGCATTTATAACATTTGATCGCCATTTTGTTGTTGATAACAATCGTTGTTTTCTCTCCTCTGTTACCTCGTCCACAGTTTTTACATTTGAAAGGAAATAATCATCTGTCAGGAAGAAAAACAATTAGATTAAAAAGAAATCATGATATTAAATTGTTTTAATTATAAATTATACCTTGTTCTTGAAAGATTTCTGTAAGAAAATTGGAGTCCAAAGCTTGCGAGATCAATGTTTGTATATATACTTCAAAGTTATCTCGATATTTTTGACTATCTTTCATAGACTTGTCAATACATTCCCTAAAAAGTAAAGAAATTCGATAACCTTTTTTTAAATTTAACTTCTTTATTGAACTTTATCAAGATAAACTTACTTGTCATCAATAATCATTTCATCTTTTAAAAACTCTACTATGGTCTCCGTCTTTCCTTGTTGCCAAAACTTTACTGGAACTTGTTGATATATGTGTCGATTTTGTGGTACCCAACCCGAATACTAGGAGCATAATTAATATACATATATATTGAAGAGAAATAACAAAAATTTCATATAAAGTGTCTTGTCTATTACCGTGGATATGTTTCTATACAAGGTTTTCCCGTTGGATTTAAATGGTTCATACTTTTGTAGTAATGTCTTGCCATCTATTCTCCATAATGCAGGGTATTCTTCATTTAAGTCCGCTTTGATAACAACAAATTCTCCAGACTGAAAAATATACAACAATATTGATTATATTGAAAATAAATTACATTCGGAACAAGCAATTACTATTAAATAGAAATAGGATTTAATTCGTTACATTCTACTGATACGCTACTTTATAAGATTATATTTATAAGAAAATTACCACATCTTCTAAATTATCTCCTGAGTGCTGCATGCAAGATATAAACAACATATAAGTTTATGCACACATTACGAAGCATGCATATAAACGCATTAATTCGAAATAATAATATTCTAATTAAATGGTATACCTTAAACGGTGAAATATCAATGTCTTCATCGCTGATAGATGCTAAAAGTTTTTCATCTATTTTACAAGATACTTTTCCAGCAACATTGGATGTTTTTGAAACAGTCTCATTCTTTTTCCTGCTTGACTTCTTTGAGACGATAACATCACCAGTATAGTCATCTTCTTCTATAACTCTTCTACTTTTTTTGGTAATAACGGGTCTACCACGTTTTTTCTTCTTTTCTTCTTCATCTCCAACTAATTTTACAGCAGGTGTCCAAGCAGGATCAGAATCTGAATCACCTTGTTCTTCGTCGTTATCAAAGTAATCTATACCCTGTTGTCGATCTAGAAATTGTTTTACCGACGTTTTTTCCTTCGCTTTTCTCCTAGATGTTTCACGTCTTGGAGGTAAAAGTAAAGGATCCACTGCAAGAAACATGTGATTAGTTATAATATATAATATTTTAGTCTGATAAACAAGGATATATATATTACCTTCTTCATATTTTCTTGAAGCTTTCCCCGTCGATGCAATTGTCGCTGCTTCCGCCGCTGCTGCGGCAGCTCTTCTTTTTCTGTCTGTTGGTCCTCCAGGTTTAATTGGCCTTCCTTTTTTGGGCTTACCATCCAATTTTGTAACTACTGGTTCCATCGTAATGGAAGCATTTGTATTTGTTGCTTTTTTATCTTTTTTAGGGGGAAATAGAAAATCGTCGTCACTAGTAAATCCATCATCGCTTGAATCAAAATTCTGTTTCTTTCTCTCCTTTGGTAAAGGAAAATATCTAGGATCATTAGCATAATCAATTACTGGAGTTTCTTTAGGGGGTGGTGGCTTTTCTAGCTGTGTTTTCACTGTTTCCCCATTTGCTGAACTTTCTACTGGTTTGTTGGTGCCTGTAGGAATATAAGGTTTCGACCTATTCCAGGTTGCTTTTCTGCCACCACGAATTGCAGGTGGAGGCGATGGTTCCCTTTCACCTTGCAAAAATTTTAAATAACTTGCCATAAACCCAGAATTAGGATCTTTATTAGATTTCTTAAAGTCTTTATTTAACGAATTCGTAGTTTGAATTGGTTGTTGATTTTGTTGTAAAAACCTCAATTCTTCTTCGATATTAGGAACAATTACTTTAGGTTGATCTTCTCTAATTTCTTGATTATAACTAGTAGTTTGATTTGTTGTATTTTCACCAAAACCGACTGGTGTAATTTCAACAGAAGATTGAAATTCGTGTGGATGATGATGACTTGGAGGAATATGAAAGGCAGGAAAATATGGGATAGGAGGAGGAGCATGATGATGAGGTACCATTAAAGACTGATGCTGATGTGCTGGGGTACCAACAAAATTACTTGAATGGTGTAAACTTGATTGTGAACTAAAAGCACCTGATGCACCAGGAAACATCTTAGCAGGTGGTGGAGGTAAATTCCATCTTTCAAAATCAAAATAACCGTTTTGCTGTTGTTGATTTGCGTTATGATGTGCAGGTGGTGGTATCCTGCTTAAATATTCTGTCATTGTTGTTGCTGTTGTTGTTGTTCCAGTTACTTCATTTAAAGAACTATGACCACTTTTTTCCAAACTTTTCCTTTTCTTATTGGCAGTGTCGACTTTACGTCGATCTTCTATGTGCTTTTGTTGTTCAGGTGGTGTAACAGAAACAGTTGATTGTTGTTGTTGTTGTACTTGACAAGATCCTTGTTGTAGAGTTTGCAAATTCTTTACTATACTCATAGGATCTCCTCTGCAACTGCTTAAATCTTGTAAAGTTACTTGGTTGGATTCAAAATATATTTGCTGTTTATCAGAAACATTTAATACCCGTTGTACTTGTTGAACTGGTAAATTTTGAGGACTTATATCAGTGGTTCCACCAGTATACAATGTAACAGAAAATTTTCTATTAGTGTTTGGTTGTCTGTTATCATTTTCCCAACATACTTGCTTCTGTGTTTGTGAGAAGTCTTGTTGTCTATCATAATTTTTACTATCTGCATTATAATTGGACTTATTTTCGGTAGTTCCCAGAGCCCTTGTGATGACAGATGAATAAACAACTTGCCCTTGAGATGCTGGTCGCGGAACAGTTACGTCTAGTGGCGACGGTGGTGTAACTTGTTGTTGTACACTTCCTTTATATGGTGGCCCACTTACACATTGATTTCCATTTTCCGTATGTTGTTGTAAAGGTGAGGGAGATGACGATATAGTAGCCATTGGGCTGTTATACATAGGATAAGCAGGACTTGGAACATGTCCCAATGGACTTGCTTGTGAATGTGCCTGCAATGGACTTGGTCTTCTTGGTACAACAACACCACAATCAGGTCCATTTTGAGAGGAGTTATTAGAAGAATAAGCAGAATCACTGGAAGTTGTAGACTTTGATCTTCCAGAATGATGATAGTCAGAATCATTTGCAGCTCCTGTGAGATAATGTCTATATGACGTTTGTTGTTGTTGTTGTTGTTGTTGCTGCTGCTGTTGATTTAAAACATGAAACTGTTGCTGTTGTTGTTGCTGCTGTTGTTGTGTTTGTTGGGGATGAGTTTGCAAGTTGCTGTTTGACTGAGTCCTTTGATTATTACCAAGTTTACCACCAGTATTTGTACACGTTGTATTATTTCCAGCAGTATAGTTTAAACCACGTGAATCCATAATAGAAAAACTAATAGGAGATGACTGGGTATTATCGTGCGATGTTTCATTTTGTCTATGTTCATTATGTGTACTCAATTCTGGATATATTTTCGTCTGTGCTTTAGTTTGAATACTTTGTTGAGACGTGGAAATTACTTTATTCGGTGGCGAAGCAAAATTTCGTGCGGGTTGTTTATCTTGCACTTGTGAAGACACAGATCTGACAGATGTATTCAAAAATATAGTCGTTGATGTAACAGATCGAGCAGGTGGTTGAGGTATTCTATACTCTTTACTGACTGTATTATTTGGAGTTGAAACAATACATGATTGTTGATGAAGGGAAGATTGCACTTTTCCATTAGGAGTTTGATTTCCATTACCAGTAGAATAATTATTTGCTAATGTCTCAGAATTAAACGTAGTAGGTACTTGCTGAAAGAATGTTTGATTGCTATTTGCTAGTGATGTAGAAACCACTGATTTGATGCTTACTGTTGGTGATTGAGGTCTTATACTCATTGTTTTCTTATTATCTGGATAACTAGATGATTTATATTCAGGAGATGTGGATAATTGTGAATTTAAATTATTTATAGTTTGTGTTGTAGCAAAATGTGAATTAAATGTATTTTCATAAACACCACTAGTTGGTTTTGTAGTAGATGATGGTCCTGGAGATGATGGAACAACAGTTTCATGAGGTAAAATACCAAATGGACTAGGTAATTGTGCATTATTTTGATGAGTCCAAGCCAATGTAGATGTCGTAGGTGATGTAGCTGCACCCTGATGCTCAAAAAATGTTGACTGGTGTGCTGAACTATAATTTTCCCTTAACACAGGGATGTCAGATTCTGTTGTGGAATTTTGTTTTGTTACAGCCACTACTTGTGCTTGAGCAAGAGCTTGTCTATGTTGAGTAACATAATGTGCTTGTTTGGGATTAGAATGATGAAACAGAGGTGAAAATACATCATAACCCACAGGGGGTGGAGACAAAAACCCCCCTGGGTTAAACGGAGATGGCTGACCCGCCAGAGTTGCTGTTGTATGAGCTGCTTGTAGAAGTAATTGTGACGTTGTTGTTGAAGGAACTGCTTGGGTAGCAGTTGTTGCTAAGTGATGAGATACAAAATCACTGGTTGTGCTCGAAGTTGTTGATTGAAACGTACTGGTTGCAGTACTTAAAGCAAGACGATTATACGATGTATACCATGGACGAACAGGATCCATTACCCAAGCTTGGCACAGTAGTGCCTAGCCTGCTTGGTCCACGTACAGCAGGCTTTTGTGTATATAAATGTCACGCATATATTTTGTGATATTCATAACATAATTTTTTCTCGAAATCCTTTCATATACCTTTTTTGCATATTAATATAAAAACTTTACCAAAAACTTGTTCACTGTATATATGGTTTATGAATTATTATCCAGTAATTAGGACTAACAATATGATATAGTAGTTCTTCCATCTTGGTCTGAAAAAATAAATAACTTTTATATATTATGTAAATATAAATATAATAAAAAAGAATTCACGAATATATATTTATGAATGTAAATATAACTATACGTCTATCTAAATATTATTTCAATATCAACTAGTAAACAAATCGTTGTGTACATCATAACAAGCAGTATATTATCTATAAATTATGATTTTTATTTGTTCAATTAATATATCTAATTAGATAGGAATATAATTGTAAAAAAAATAAAGTTCTATTTGTAGTATAATAAGAAAATACTTACACTTTTCATAAAAATCTTAATGCAATACACAACACAATTCTGTGTTATCAAAGAGAGTAAAGAAATTGACGTGCTTCGATATATTGCACGAGTTTCACCGCTTAAAAGTTGTAAAAACAACAATTTGTATAAAGAACAATTAATAATAAATGTGCGCCGTTTTTGAAGAACCGAGGACAACCCAGTATAGCGTCTTTTCATGTCCTACTGTACTAGAGTCCTTAAATGTTTCATATGCACGTAATCGCTCTTTATCAGAGGTAACAAAGTCGCCACATTCTTTATAAAAAACAAACGTTAAGACAATAATTTTACCTTCAATAATAAATAGCCATATGTTTTTATTAGCAATTACATTTACCGGTGTATAAGATATAACGTCTTGCCGAATAACACAATAAATATGGCTACACAAACTTGGCCAATGCACGACATACGATCGGCTGGCACCGTGGTTTCGCTCACATGATTTAATCATCCGAAGAAAAGTGTACATTCCGGATATACTCTAGACCCGGTACTCGCACACACACCGCGGCGAGTTAACTTCGCATGGGCTCATTTATCGCGGGGATTCGAACAATGTTACCCCGTAGTGCCCATTATAGGCCGCCATTTTGAACAAAATCAACAATCATTTGCGCCATCTAGTGATCGTACAGATAGAGAATGATCGAGAGAGAATGATCAACAGGCGGGACTTTTTAAGAAAATTAAAATAATTAGAAATAACTCTTATCTCTGATATAATTGTTGAAAGTTATGGTTTATAATTTTAGCAGTATTAAGAATATTTATTACACAGGTATCATTAATTAATTCACTTATATTCACAATAATAACATTTATTGTAATGATAATGTAAGAATATATTTATAATTGTTATCGTACTAGTAATTATAGTGCAATTTGCGAGTATGATGATCACTGAGATTTGTTACTGATTGAAATAGGTATCATCTATTTTAACAACTGCCAAATTATTGCTACTATAGGGAAAGTGAGCAGGCAGTTTATGTTGCCAATTATCATATCTGACATTATAAAAAAAAAGTAGCATTCAACAATTAAGACACTTAGTTGAGTATATCGCAGATATCATAAAAAGTATCCTGATGTCACTGTGTGTTATGTTTATAATTTTTTCTTTTGGTAAAATTTATGAATTCATTTCAAGTTTAACAATACAAATTTATATTTTATGAATTACACTTTTAGTAATTGTATAAAACGTGCTCTTCATTTTTATAATGAGTATGCCACGAAAAAAACTTTGGTATCCTAATTCTATTGAAATGAATATAAAACATTTATTCGTAAGAAAGAAAACATCGAAACAAAATCTATAAATAAGCTTAATGATACAGTGACGGTATCACAGCTACTTTGATATCGTACAGTATTTAGCTAATTTTTTTTACATACACTTCTCTAAATAATTTCATTTTACAAACCTTAAATATTATATACGCAATCATAGCTTTTTTAAAGAAATTTATAAATATCAACTCGATTCTATATTTAATATCTTTTTCCATAATCATAAATTTTAATTCTTTAATTTTTTCAAAATCTTATCATGACAATTGTAATTTACCAATGTATGACACGTAAAATGATACATAATAGTCTACAAAAAGTAAATAAATAAACTATGAACGACGTTACGAAAATATTAATGAAATATTTTTTTTCGAATGAACTCAAATAACACACTTATGAAAGTTTTAAAACAGTAATAAACATGGTTATGTAAGAATAAATTAACAATATGTGGCAGCACAGGATGCATGACACGATTCAGCTTTGGTTTTTGTGAAATACACCCATATTAATTCCTATTTACGGTAACATTACAAAATGCAATATGTATATATGTATATACATATATTTATATATATATATAAATATTGCTCTGCTTTACTCATGTTATTTTTAATTTTACGGTAAGTTATTCAATGGCTACCTCATTTGCATCTTACGTTGTTGCCAAACTGCGAATTTTCGGTATGCTGTGTTTAGTAACTGATTTAAATGACTTGTTAAATGTTGACTAACGGCAGAGAAGTCTCGTTGAACACGATCCTAAAAAACAGATTCAAAATATAAAAAATTCTGTCAACAATTTAATATATAATTTCTATAACAAAACTTACTTCAAAAGGTTTAAGTTTTGCAGAATGAAATCTACGTAGAGCTTCGTGCATTCTAACTGCTTTTTCTTCAAGCTGAGGTGTTGTAGGTGGAAAGCTACGCCAAAAATGTCTTAAAAGTTCACATGTACACACATATACATTGCGTAATTCTTTTTCTAAATCCTTTGGTATCAATTCTGTAATCAAAATAAATATGAACAAAATGTAACATGATATGTATACCAAATTTAAAAATTATTTTTAATATTTTTAAACTGTACATACGTCCAAGACTTTCTTCTCTGAAACCTTTCATTAAAGAACCACCTGGAGTTAATTCCCCCAGAGCTGAGACTGCAGCGGCTGGACTAACTAATGACGTTGCCAATTGTCTTGGTATACTATTTGCTGTTAACCAACCACTTGCTTCCTTCTTTAACTGATTTAACGTTACAAGAAGTTCCTCAGACGTTGGTTCTGTATTACTATATCCTGGTACTGGACCATGTAAATACCTGTCTATATGTGTCAAGTTTAATGGTGTGCTATTATTCGTGTTTGTATCATGAGCGGTATCGAGATCATCGTAAATTAATTTTTCTTGTATTCTAAGCTAAAAGTACATAAATGTTATTTAGAAATTTGCTACTTTAAATAAAAATGCAATATACATAATGTAAATTTACTTTTTTAGTCTTTGGTCGTTCATCTAATTGATTAGAGAGTACTGTAGTTTTGCTTGCCGATGGAGTTGATCCGTTTAGTTGTGGTTGAGCAGATTGTGTAGATTGCTTGGCAGTGCTGGCTTTTAAAACCATAATGCTGTGTTGATTGAATCTCTTAATCATACTTTGATGTACAATATTTCCTGAAACTTTGTCAGATTTACTAGGTCCATTCCCATAGTTTTCATCTAGACTTTGATCTTCAAAAGAAGTTATATCCACCAACGGATCATCGATTCCCGACTGAATATCTTTTTTAAGTTCTTGATCATCTATTTTGGCACATTCGGTAAAAAGATCCTTGGTCCCTGCATTGATACGATCTCGATGAAAATAATGCGATTGAAAGAATTTTGTCCAAAAATCGGATTCCGACATCTTATGAGGCACATTTTCTTGATGTTTTCTTTTGACTGCTGGATAAGTTTTAAAAATGCATTCTATTATGTCAACAGTTAGATTATATTTCAATCCATTGCAACCATCAGTTTGTGGTTTTATATCAGCCTAAGAATAATGCAAGTAACCATTAATGCGACGTATTTTAAGTTGCATATTATTAGTTTCATAATAATTTTTACCAAAAAAGCACTATTAACTCCTATTTCTTGTCGTTGACTTTTCTTAGCTTGGGTATATTCTGCAGCATGTTGTGACCAAAATTCTTCAGATGAAATAACTTGTGTTATAACTAAATCTCTGTATAACTGAAGTAGTACAGGATTTTCTTGAAGCATTCTGATAAATAATATTGTATTATAATACAGAAATATAAAAAAATAATTAGTGTAATATTCAAACTATTACCTATTTTTTTCTTCTAACTCCTTATTTACTTTTCTTTTAAATTTTGGTAGTAACTGTTGAAGTAATTCTTTTACATCATCACGATCCTTAATTTGTGCTTCCTGCCCATTTCTATTTACAAAATGAAAGGTAGACGATGAACCATCATGTAGTACAACTTGTAGCTGTATTTTTGATTTTCCTTCTGGTGAAATTTTTTGCACTACAATGAAAACATAATAATATAATATATTATAAAATTATTAACATCAATAAACATAAGTCTTATCTTTTTTAATAATTAATAATTATATTATTCATTCAAAAATTAAAATGTATATACATGTAGGATATAAGTTAAACAATAAATCAAAATATAAAATTAATTAAAATGATAAATCATTGATCACAATCATAAAATGTAGTGAATTTATGGCAATATAAATTTTCTTTAATAATTTTTTTATTAAACATTATTCTAGCTATATTACACCAATTTTCTTACATTTAATATCAGCATATTTGTGACTGACAGATACAGTATCTCTGTTATCAAGCATCCAAGCAATTCGTTCATTCATGACATACAAAGTACCATCTCCTTTTTTATAACGGACTTGTCCCACTTGCATTAGAACATCTTCTGATGATGTAGTCATGGTGGATGTTGTAATATACAATACAATTCTTCTAAAAATAATAAATATAACCCTAGAACATATTCAAAAGTATATGACTATTACAACCAATTTTCATTGTGTAAATTTTCTACAAGTACACTGGTTATGCAGACAATTTTATATTTATTTAAAAGAATATTATGTTCCTATTAACTTTACAATTGAATTGTTATTCCATTATCAAGTAATATTATTTATAATGTCAAGCTCTGTTGTCAACAGATCATACACTTAATATAAATAATCTACTTTATTAATTATATGTAATAAAAACATACATATATATATTTATATATATATAACGATGATTACCAATAATTGTAATGATAAAATTTTTGTTAATAAAACTCAGAACAACCAAGATTTTTTAATTTGAATTATTTTCAACTTTATTTGCATATACAATTTCCGTATAAATGGAAAAAAAGGAAACGTTCAAAATACACAATGCAAGATGAAATATAGTGATATACAGAAATTACGATTTGTTTGTCACCGTGCGTCCTTGAATACTACATTAAAACGTAATGACTGAAAAAAATCTTCATTGATAATATTTTGTAACATAAAGTTATACGAAGTCCAATTTAGTTTTGTAAACAATGAGATCTTTGAACACGTATAAAAGAAAAGCTGACTCTACATTGCGAACTAAACATTGATACGATATTGCTTGTGACTCACTTTTTGATTCATTAATTATAGTTATCGACACGGAAAAAGCTTTTTGTATAGTTTAAGGCACAAAACGCGTGATTTTTAATCGTGGGAATAGGAAATCTAATTACAATGGATCCATTTACCGGTAGTAAAGTGCGAAAAACTGTGGAACAATGCAGAAGCCCGTTGGGCGGCACGGCCATGTGCAGAAACACACATCAGCGGACGCATCGCGAAGCAAAGACGGCTGCGAACGGACCGTCGGTACGAACAGTACCATCGACCTGCTGAGACTACCGCACTCTGTTGTTCGACAGAACTTCCATTCAATTTCCTGTTGTTAAAACGTTCCTTTCTTCCCTTTTTTACCCTTATTTTTTATACATTTAAGCTAATAATTTGTCGTATATTTATTTACTCAAATTCAAAATTATTAGCGCAAAATCTGGTGGCATAAACTGACATTTTTTTTGGAGAAAGTTGTGAATTTGATCAAAACAGCGTTAGTTATATCTTCATGATTCAATGTAAGCATGCGTAGTTACGCGAGGGCGTTAAAACATAAAATTTTAATGCCGATACGTATTTATATATTTCCATACATACTATTCTTGCTGCATAGTCATACTTTAATGTAAAATTATCAGTAATTTTAAGTGAATAATTATTAAAAATTATATAAAATATATTTTAAGGAAAAAATGTAATACATGTATTCTATTTTACTTTTATAAAATTAAGTGAAGCGTACAAATTATAACGTCATGATTTTTTTATTAATGTAATTTATAATTGTACATAAAACTGTTCGTGTCTACTAGTTTCAATATTATGTTTATAAATGTTATGCATACAAATATTTAGTTTTTATACTTTGAAGTTATCTGCAAAACAGTTAGGTATGTTGTAGATGTATGGAAACATTACTGGATCAAATATACTTATTGTATATTAAAAAATCGTTTGAAATTAAGCATAATGGAAGGTACAATTTATTTCTATGCAAAAGTGTACTTACTATTATTATTTTATAATACAATAAATAAAATATTGCTAAATAAATAAATTCATACAATAATAATGTGTCTGAATATTTATTTACAAATATAGGATTTCAATATGTATTACAAAAACAAGAACAACAAAAAGTATGTTTTGGCTCTGGATGTCCTCGCGATACTTCAAAAGCTGGTATGAGTCCATTTATGAAACATTATACATTAGAAGATTATGAAAATGTAGCACCAAATTCATATAATGTTTTGCAGTCATTTCAAGCTATTAAAACTAAGGTATAATTAATTGTTAAACATATTAAACAATGTCTTGTGAATATTTTATAGCGAATGTATTGCAGGATTAATTCAGATAATGTATATTTATTTTTAGCCCTGTTCTCATAGTATTAGTAGAAAAGGCTATAGTGGTATTGCCAGATTCAGTACCAAAATTCTTCTCAAACATACTAGTCCATCGCCATCTGATTACAATATTTCTAGGTTTCCTAAACAAGTACATGAATCCAAACATCCATTTGAATCTACCAGCAGTAGAGGAAAATTTATTGACAGTGGAATTCCAGGGTATAATGATAAACTAAATTATTTGTAATGAATTACATAGGCCAGATGAACTAATTTTAATTGTAATATAGGCCAGGAATGTATGTTAGCATTAAAGAACCATGTCATAAATTTTATCACAGTTTTGGTGGTAAAATGAATATGAAACTTGGAGTGGATTTAAAATGTTGTAGCAAAAACACAGATGTTTGCAAAATATGTAACAAAAAATTGACTGGTGACTATTGGCACCTAAAAAATAAACTATTTTTATGTCGGTCATGTATGAATAAAGAATATGAAACACAAACAACATATAAAAGAAGAGAATTACAACAGTTTCGTGTAAGATTTTCATTCTTAGTATATAAGGATACATAAAGAAGTATTTATATACATATTTATTTATTTTAGAAAATACGAGATTGTTCTAATATACATCGACATGAAAATACAATGGCAAAAATATGGTTAATGCATCCCTCGGATATTGCAAAGTGGATGCATAGAGAAGCCTATCTTTCTACCTATTTAAAAGGATAAAAATATTGCATGGTGTTTAAAGATATGGCATGATAGACAAAATTTAATCTTAATATTTATTCTTCTTACATGTTAATACAATTATTTATGTACTGAACATTTTTTGGATTTATTTGATACATTTAAAGTTCAGTCATCACTTCTACAATTTATTACTTTAAATTCATATTTATTTGTATATACAAAAATTATATAAAAATAGTAGTGACTTATGTATATTTATATATAGTAAATATTTTGAATAATGTATTTGCGTAATTAGTAAAAGATTTAGTTTAATAATGGGTATTTTTATAACTACTAATATTATTACGTATACATGGTAATCAGTCCATACAAAGGAAATATTACTTATTAGTGTTAGGTATTACCTTTGCATTAATGAATGTATGCTTCATATTTTATAAGCGTCGAGTAAAAATAACAAATAAAATATTAATAATTTGATCTTACACATGTATATATATCTAAAATATAGAATGATAAATTATATGTAAAATCCAAGCAAATAGTTTAGTCATACACATTCTAATAGCTATTTCCTAGGCTGAAATATAAAAGCAGAGTAATCAACAAATATGTTTGAATCAAATTCATAATTATAATTGATATAACAATCTCATTGCACATTAATTATATGCTACTCGAAGAAGAATCTTGAATCTCATTTGTTTGTTGTACTGTTAATGGTTTCATAACATCTTCGACAGGGTTTCCGCCATCAGGAGCTTGTCTCGAAAGTACGGATGTTTCGGAAGAAGTAGAATAATTGTTTTCAGTCGCTTCTACATCAATTAATTTTATTAATGATTTTTCAGTTGTAATAGTTGTAGTTGAGTCTGTACTAGTATTTGCAAGTAGATCATTATAACTAGACTTATGAAGAACAGTTAAATCAATGCTATCATTCATGTTTTCTGACAATCCAGATGATGTTATTCTAAAGAGATCAGTATTTTCTGGGGATACATTAATCTGCATTAAACTTTGCACTTTGTTTAATCTACTGCTTAGTGAAGCATTAAAAGCTTTACTATAACGGTTATCTAACTGCTCAACAATTTCTTCTTCCGATGATGGATTTAGATAATGTAAATCTGGTACTAAATGTTGATATAAAAGTGGATTTAAAATGTTATTTAAATCCATATGACGAATATTTGAAGTTACAAGATAAGTTGTTAATTCGTCGCATCTTGATATATTACTACTTTCTTCCGTAATTAGTTCTTCGCGTATTACTGTCGACATTTTATTAGTAGTTTGCGGTTGCGTAAGTACTTCGGGTGGTTCTTTACTACTATATTCAACATCTTCCTTAACAGAGATACCGTTTTCCATTTGACCTTCAGAATGTTTAATATCTTGTTCACTTACGTTATTTGTTTGAGTAGATTCTGTATGTACTTTTTGATCACATCTATTATTATCTTGAAAATTTATATTTTTATTATTTTGTTGTGTGTTTGTTGTTGAATTAGTAGTATTTTTTTTCGTTGGTATAACATTACTTGCATACGATTGCATGGGAAGTTGTAATGATAATTTGTCAAGCAAATAATTTATATCAGTTTTTGTTCCCCGTTCTGGACAATCGGACAAAATATTATCTGATGTTTTCAAACTTTGTACTAAATGATCGTTTTGATGTTGTACACAATGATTATTATTTGGTAAATTTTGTTTCCGACAGAAACATGATGCTTTGGAAAAATTAGGTTTCATTACCTCGTAATTAACTGTTCTATCATAGGTAGTATACGTCTCAGGTAAATGATTCTGAATTTCGATTTCACTTGACATATTCTGATTTTCAATATCTATAGTATTTGTATTATGCAATAAATTTTTTTCTGAACGAGGTATTTGACGTGTCATATCATTATTATTAACTGATGGAATGGGCGCAATACGATTTGCAGTTTTAAAGTCGTTATTTTCATTATCACTAGTTGGTTCGTTTATATCAAACTCGTTTTCAAAATCATCTTCGAAAGCTGTATTTGTAACATCACGCAATCGTGATTCTAAACGTCTCGTAATTTCATCCAATTCTGTTAGTTTTTGTCTACAAAAAAAATATAAATGTTATGCTATTATTATAACATATCATACTAGGTGGTGAAGTAAAGAAATAAACATACTTCAAAGACAAGGACAAAAATGACATAGACATATCTTCAAGACCCATTTGTGTTACACGATTATTTAACTGACTTTCACTATGGACTGATTTATCTTCTTCCTGTGCAGATACTGATGTACTATAATTGGTTTCGTTTTCCTCGATATTAGCATAATGCATTTCATAATTACATGGTGATAATTCACTTGATTGAGGTATAGTACATATTGGCAGTCGTGTTGTACTTAATGATATTGGTTTCCCAAGTAATACTAAATTATCCAACGGTGTTATAGACACCTGAAATATCGATAGTAAAATACACAAAAACAGGTATGTTGCATAAAAATTAAAACTAAATAGTACTTTGATTTGGCCGTTGCATTTTCCAGTGAAATCCATTATATGAAACCAACCAGATACCGTAGGAAAACCATTAATTAAAATCGAGAGATCAATGGCAGAAAATCCTATAACCATATCCTTTTCTAAATTTATTTGCATACTTATATCTGGGTCAAATATTCGCCAAACTTTTAAGATCAACCTCTTTTCATCCTAAAAAAAAAAAGTCGTAATTGTGCAAAATATAGGTAACAAATAATTTAAATACATTAAAGTTGCATACATGTAAAAGCAACTCCGTTGATAGTTTTGTATCACATTTCCAGTTCCATTTAGGATTACAACTATGTGCGAAAACATTAGTAATCATGTATGAATTTGAATGCTTTAAAGGATCAGATGTATTAGCCTGAAATGATACATATGTACTTGGTTCAATGGTTTCATTAGCTTTTTCTACTTTTGGTAAATGTAAAGCGCATTCAATCTCTACAATAGCCCTAAATGTTGTTTGGTTACATAAAGAATCCGTTGATTCATTTTCTATATGAATTTCACTTGGTAAATTAAATGTTGTATTACTCTGAGCAGTGTTTAGTTGTTGGTCACTTTCTTCGTTATATTCGGCACCAACACCGACGCTTCTATATGTATTTGTAGGCAAATGAAAATTATGTCTGATACTATTATTATCACCATCGTCAGAATCATTATTAAAATACAATTCATTTATACATGTTTGTTCTTCCACATCTATTCGTTGTTTTTCTTCCAAATCTGTTTCAGTTTGAGCTGCTTGATCTATGATTGCTTTACTACCGTTAACAACTTGCGACGACTGATCAGTTGCATTATGTAATAATGAATACTCTGGATTTGAAATCTCTTCTTGTAACTTTTTATTGAACTTAAATTCTTTAACAGTAGAAATGTTTGTTTGACATTCTTGAGTTTTTAAATTTGGAGAGTATAATTTCTTTATAGTATTATCTGCATTATTTTCAAGAAAATTGCTCTGCAAAATTGTTTCTCCACTGGATTGCGGTTGCTTTGGGTCGTATAAAGACTGATGCTGCGAATATTGTGTGCAGTCAAAAGGGTTTCTTGAAACTACTGTTTGCTGATTAGTGGTGATATTTCGTAAACCTTTAGACGTTTCTAATAATGTAATTTGTTCAGCGGTACCTAGAGCTACTAATGCAAGTAACTGCCCATAAGACTGACCAGTAACAGGATCCATGATTGGTACCCACCCATCTACACCTATTACAGGATACTGAAACAGTAAATTATAAACAGTTTTATAAATAACCTAATTAAGAATTACGTTCATTTGAAATTATATACCTTAGACAACAATAAATGTGATAGCACACGTGAATCTCTATAAGCAATATAAAACTGATGAACAGGCAATTTTGCCAATCCTAATAAAGTATCTATGTTGTTATTTCTATAGTAAACTTCGATAATTACGTAATTGTCCTTAATACGTTCCAATAAATCAGTACCATAAATCAGAGGCACTAACTGCAATTTAAAAAAATACATAAATATGTATGTTAACATATAAATAATACAAATATAAAGAAACAACATGTTTACTTGACAAAAATGATAAAATGGAGTTGTTGTATTATAACAGACTTGACTTTTAATTTGATCTTCTCTCCAAAATGCTCTGCATATTAAATATGTATTTAATTCCGGCAGATCTTTTCCTTCAGCAACATATATTAGACCTTGAAGCAAAACCTGTAAAATAATTACTTTTCAATGGAAATAATCAATCAAATTATATTTGTAATATGTATTATTCATTATACCTTATTTCCAATACTATTATCTTGATCTTTTACATCAATCCTATTATCATCTATATTTTCTGCCTTGTGATGTAGCACATTTTTTGTAGTAAATGAATCATCAATGTTAGTTGAACGGTCTATTTTTTTCGTCGAAGTTGATGATTTTTGACTACCTGTTTTAGTTTGATTTTCTGAAACCTTTTTACCCCCTTTATTATTATCTTTGGATAATACTTCCCGTGTTTGTAGAAAACCAATATGTTGTGCAAAATGACTAGAATCAACATCTAATTCTATGATTAAATTTAGTTCGCCTATTTTTATTCCTTTGTTAACAATAACTAAAGGTTGTGCAATAATCCAATTTTCATTTTTCATAATATCATTGATGTACACAGTGGCAGTTCCCAACTCAATTAATGATTTCTTACTAAGATGACGAACGAATAATTTAAATTTTATAATGTATTCTGTGGATGGTTTCAATATTAATATTCCGTATATACTATCATGATTGAAGTGAATTACTAGAAAGATAAACTTCGATTATTTCTGTATTTTTAGTAAATCATATTACAAATATATGTATATTCATGTAGTAGACTAACCTTGCTTTGTCTTTTTCTTGGAAGATATTTTTATAGGTCTATTATCATTAACCCACATTTTACCTATTTTTCTGATATAATCAAAAGTCATATCATATTGAACAAAATATGTTGCAGATAAAAAATTGCTATCATCATCTAAAAACAAAAAATATAATACTTTAAATATCTAAACATAAATATGTAGTATAAATTGTTAACTTTGGTAAATTTTCATACGTGACAATGAACAAGATTTAACCCGTCTATAACCAGCAGAGCTTAAAGTAAACGATTTCACAAAAATCCTGATGTAGACTATTTGCTTAATTGTTGCAATATCTGAAATGAAATATATCATTTATCAGTATAACATCTGCAAGCCATTAATTTTTACTTATAATAGGTTATAAACCTTTTGAACTGGTACATGGTTTTTTCCTTGATATTTCATCCACAGAAGTATTTATCTGTGTAGGAGACATATTACTTAATGTCCTTATTTTATTATCACATTTGCAAGTTTTTAAATTATTAGATGTATCATCTATTAAACGTGAGGTTGAAGACATTGATCTGAAACTATATAATGTTTTATTTTCATCAGAAGAAGTCATATCCTCGTCCAAAAAATATTCAGATAATCTTGCTTGGTTTTCAGTAGCATCATAAGATTGTAAGTTATTACTTATTAAATTATCATTAAAAGTAAAAACATCTTCATTGCATGTTTCTTTTAATAATGCTCCTCTGAGTCTTTGTGCTCTTGCAACAACTTGAGCTACAAGCTTATCTGTTACTTCATTGTTAAATCTATTCACTGGTTCTTGAAATTCTGTACTCCTTGATTTTAAAACAGACTTATAAATTTCATTCTCTTCAGATTTCAATTTTCTGCATGTGGTATATTTATCATTTGTTACATCTATTTGATGTTTTATATTACTAATAACTGGAAGTGTACTGGTAATACTTTGTTTGTTATCATATTTACATGTCTTTAATTGTGTATTTAAAGCTCTTGTTGCATATTCTAACTTCATAGAAACATGTAATTCTCCTATTTTATTTCCTGAATTATTTATAACTGGGACATATCTAAAATATGACTTATTTTTAAAAATGTCCAATAAATCTGTTATTTGAGATATTCCTACAACTGTGTTTGTTTCCTCATCAACAATAACTAATTGTATGGATTCACAATTTTTAATGTATTCTTCAAAAAGACTTATATTTGTACGAATAGCATAAATCTTGGTTGTTTCTTGTTGTGACCTTACAACATTCTTTGTAATGTCTATTGGCCTGAAAAAAAATAACGTAAAATGTATATAACAAAGTAGATTCTGAATAAAAAAGTAATTAAACCAATGTGTATAAAAATATACAAGCAGAATTCATTAAATACATTATGATTGAAAATTATCAATATTTAGAAAAGTCTACAAATTATTCACCTAAATTGAACTTTATCCGTTTCTCCCCACCAAGATAGGAATACACTGATCTCTCCAAGATATTTTTTTATCCAAACAATTTCATCTATGACCAACTTTAAGTAACCCTGAATTTTGCCTTCAACTAATGGTGGTAGTGATTTATATATCATTTTCATATCCATTTATTTTTTATAATATGGTGCATTATTAAACTTACAATTATTTACACTTATCATCAACTAAGGTTAAGGTTAACAAAATGTAACACTACTATTCAAAGTTTTTGATTAGAAATTCGTACTGTGTATAAGTACACCATATATTACAAAATAAATTATATACATTAATACTCTTATTTCATTATTTATTTAAAGAATGATTGTAGAATAACTTTCCACTTTGTTTTTTTCTACATTCAACTACAAATGTGTATTCCCTAGGGAAAATACTGGTCAAGGGGAAAAAGTCACATCACTCGTAATATTTCCAGAGAAAGGGACACATTATGTCTAATTCATAGGAATCAACTAATAATAAAATTTTCTCAAATAAATACCTACTTTTATAAGTCAACTTATAATTTATTCATTTTATAATAGGAATCGAACAAAATAGTAATATGAAAGGTTGAAAGTATTTAGAAAGTTTTATTTCCTGTGAATTGGACATAACATTTGCTTATTTTTGCTATTCCTTTAGTTTTCGTCTAAGCGTACATTAACTGTTTATAAAGTATATATTTCATGTATGAAACATTCACAGTAATAAATATTACAATAATTAATAATTATGTCCTTACCATAATCTAAAATTAATAATATTTATCAACATTTAAACAGTATCATATATAAATAATAAGTAATTGTAACCTATAAATTTGTTTTATAGTTATAAATATGTTGACAATTAAAATGTTAAATAAATGTGTAAGAACTTATAGATTATTTGATATAAAAGTTCTTCCAAATTACTTAAATTATTGTTCTTATTCATCATACAATTCTAGTAATGAAAAATCAAAAAGTCTTTATCGTTATTTGTATACAAAAATTTTGTCCTGTGGACCTATAACTATTGCTGAATACATGAAAGAAGTTTTGACCCATCCAACTGCAGGTTATTATATGAATAAAGATGTTTTTGGGAAAAGAGGTGATTTTATTACATCTCCAGAAATTACACAATTATTTGGAGAAGTATGTGAATTTTGTTTAAATTCATGTATGTTAAATACTTGTTTAATGTGTAGTTATTATGTATGTTTTTATTATATACTTTTTTAGATGATAGCTGTTTGGATATTATATGAAAAGAAAAAGATTTCAAAAGATCCTTTTCAAATTGTTGAACTAGGTCCAGGAAGAGGTACTTTAATGAAAGATATATTGAGAGTATGTTTTTGTTATCTAATATATCAAAACTGCCATAAGATTTTATAAATATGAATTTATTATTTAGGTGTTTAAACAATTGAAAGTACTAAGTGATGTATCAGTACATTTAATAGAAATTAGTCCTACTCTTTCTTCAATTCAGGCAAAAACTTTATGTAAAACTACTAAAGAATATGATACTGTTACAAATAACTTTGATCAAAATGTTATTCCTTATTATAGGGAAGGTGTTACAGAAGATGGTATTAATGTATATTGGTACCGATCTGTAATGGATTTACCTAAAAAATTTAGTATATTTTTAGCACATGAATTTTTTGATGCATTGCCCATACATAAGTTCCAGGTATAAAGATTATATTTAACATTTAAGGAAAAAGTCAGCAGTACATACCATATACATATATAATACAATTTTTTATTTAGAAAACTAACAAAGGTTGGAGTGAAGTTTTGGTTGACATAATTGAAGGAAGTAATGAAGAAAAATTTCGTTATGTGTTGTCCAATACAGCAACCCCTGCTACTGTTTATTTAACAGTAAGAATCTCTCAATATTTCAGCTTATACAAGTTAAATTAACTAACTTAATATCTTCTAGGATGATGACAAAAGGGAACATATAGAAGTTAGTCCAGATACTCTAGTAATAATAGATTACATAGCAGAATACTTATGGGAGTATGGTGGATTTGCTTTAATTTGTGATTATGGTCACAATGGAGATAAGACTGATACTTTCCGTGCATTTTCACAACATAAAATATACGATCCATTAGTACACCCGGGAAGTGCAGATTTGACAGCGGATGTCGATTTCGCAGCTATTAAGAAAATTGCGACAAAAAATGATAGGTTAATATCATTTGGACCAGTGACTCAAGCCAGTTTTTTAAAAAATCTTGGAATAGATGTGCGATTAGATATGCTTTTAAAAAATTCTTCACAAGAAGAAAGAAAACGTTTGGAATCAGAGTATCAAATGATTACAAATGAAATGGGGACACGTTTTAAAGTTTTATCATTATTTCCATCAATTTTAAAGGAATATTTCCATAAATTACCAGTAGCAGGATTTTGTAATAAATACGAAACGTAAAATGTTGAAAATAAACATTCAAATTTAAACAAATAAACGTGTTAATAAAATGTGATTTCTTTTTCATAAAGGTTTTTACAAAATGTACATGTATTTCTATAACTAATACTACATGTACTTTAAAATTATTTGTTTAGATATCAATTATACTTAAGTATTATTAAGTATAATTGGGTATTGATTATAATTTTTTTATTTCAGACTCGTAGTTTTTCCACATTTCTGAAAATTTTAAAACTTTTTCACGTTGTTGATCAAAAGTTTCATTTCTTAATTTTCGCCATATATCATGATCTATATCTAACATTCCACCTATAATCTCCTGAAAAATATAAAATACAATGAACTTTGGTGAAACATTATTTTTATATTTCAATACTTTAAAAAAAAAGAAATGAAAGAAACATTACCTCTGCAAAATTTTTTGGGAACATATGTTCATCTTCAATAACATGAGCATATCCTTTATTTTTCTCAAATTCTACCATAAAATAAGATAGACCATTTGGGATAGCATGACGTACATCTTTATTTTCAAGACTAATAACTTTTTTATTTATTGACCATTCTGTTTCACACTCTAATAAAGCTTTCTTAAAATACATTGGTGCTAATTCACCAACTTCTTTGAGTAATGGAACACATTGCAATTGCATATGCGAGAACTTATGCCGGTTGTTGTAAATTTCGTAAAATATTGGATACTGATTTTGATCCGAAAACATTTTGTACAAAATTTGTTTGAGTACCTTAAAATAAAATAATCACATCAACATTAATATCAAATAAAGCATGAATGAAACGTAATATCGAATATATGATTACCTTTAGCTTTGCCCAAATATTCTCATCTAATTGTAACTGACATGCAATGTGTTGAATAGGTGTTATTATACAGTGTCCAGCAGTCAAAGAAGTATATGGAGGTAGACTTAAACAAATTTCAGAATCCATTGTAATAATCATATGTTTCAACATATATTTTGAATCAATACACCAACGGCAATTATCCAAACTTTTTGATAAATGTTTATATTCTTTAATTGCAACTAAACGATCTTTGTTATTCTGTTTTGCATCTGATTTAACATGAGTAATTTGTTCCTCAAATATTTCATCCATGTCCATATTCTGCAATTCGTATATATAGTTACATGTATAAATATGTACACATACATTATATAGAACAAATTTTATTACATACTTTGGAAGCAGCTTTCATAAGTATTGCATCATCTTCATTTGTACATCTTCCTTTTTCTTGCTGGAACTAAAAAAAGAATTTATTGTTTGGAGAAAAGTGTGAACATACTGTTTCAATGAGTACTTACCAGTTGTTGTAATGAATACTTGTCATCATCAAAGTAATGTCGCACTCTTTTTCCAGAAGCATAAGTTTCTGCACTCTTTCTTTTAACATTTTTAGAGGATCCTGGGGCCTCATGTCTAGGGTCTAATGGTCTTGTAACACCTGTTATATTGAAATGATCTTCAATAAATTGTATACATCCACTATAATCAATTGTTTAGATTTATACATACCTTTAGCATCAGTTTGAGTAAGAATTACATTTTGGATTTTTTCTTTATTATGTGATTGGATACTGTTTGCTAATTTTCTAGCTTCATTCAACTGGTTTTTTAATTCTAATGCAAGTTCCTATAAAGCAATGTATTATACTCTAATTTAGTTAATATGATTTTAATATCAAAAGTTTGGCAATGAACATACCATATTACCCATTATTTCTGCTTTAACAATTTTTGCTCCCAATTTGTTCATTTCTGCTTCTGTTAATGGTTCGATTTCTTTGGTTTCTTCATCAACTGTGTTAATGTCATTTTTAGGACTAATATTTTTCATTTCAGATGTACTTGAAACCAACTGATTTTCTTCTTTTTTACTTGATATTTTATCCTTTTGCCAATTTTTTTTATTGGAATAGTTTTTTTTGTACATTAAAGAATTTTGAAAACAATCATCAGACATTGGTTTTTTATACTCCTGCTGCTGTTTTTTATAATGAAGATTGTCATGTTTGCTATATTGTTGATTTTTGTTCAAACTTCTAGATTTAATTGTGGAATGTTCACCTGTTTCCCTTTTTGATAAGTGACCTTTATGTCCATATTTATTTTTATTTGATATCTCTTCTGCTTTAGATATCATAGATTGTATAGTTTCTAAGGACTAGACAATTTTATATAAACATTAATATTAAAACAATGGAATAAAGCATAATTATTATATATTTACCCCCCATCTTTCAGCTGCAATGTCTTCTAAACTTCTGTTCTCATTTATAGCTTGTTCTTTTGCTCGTTGAAAACTCTTTCTTAACCAATTTACATCTATTATGGGTTCCTCTTTTACTAAATTTTCCTTAGGTAAACCATTACCATTATTTTTCCAATATGGATTTAGTTCTTTATCAGTTTGACCTAATTTATCTAAATCTGGTTTATCATCAGTTTTTCCAATACTAGTAGATGCAGCTGGTTTTTCATTAAATACACATGGAAATATAGTTTTTATATTCATCCAATCTTCCCTTTTAAGAGGTGCTTCTTCGTTTGATTTGTCAGTTACATTTTGTTTTGGTAATTTAGTTTGACTTACTGGCTTTTCTACCCATTGTTGCTCATTATCACTACTACTCTATAATTATATTAATTTTATAATTACGCATAAGCAAATTAGGAATAACATTTTATAAGAATAACGTACAAAATGTATAATAAAGTTTAATGCTTACATTAGTTGAATCAGATTCATCATGATTTTGTGATTTATGTTTTCTCTTATCTTTTTTTTTCGATTTTTTTCTTTCATGTTTAGATTTATCTTTATGCTTTTTATGCTTCATTTTCAGTTTGTATATAAACTTTAATTATATACTATATTATAAATATGAGTATACACATCAACGTATTGCGAACGTATTTGAATGCATGTAGATATATGAGTATATATGTATATATGATTTATTTTTGTGTAATTAATGTGAACATGCTGTCATGTTAAAATAGAATAAATATCAAGCGGAAATCAGTTTACATTTAGTTTACATAAATATGTTTACATAAAAGATTAGACATAACCATTACACCATTTGACAAACATGAAATATAACTTTAGAAGATATTTGAATTGATCCAATGATATGCAATAATTTTATTTATAATTGTACTACTTATGTTCAAGTTACAGTTAAAAAAATCACATACATTGCCTTTATAACGTACAATGGTACTATACTATACATTATTTTACCAACCAATAGTAACTACGTAGTTACCGCGTAGATTTTGCCGCGCAAACATTGTGATCACTACTCGTTAGATAATTAGCCGAATATTTTTGGTGATTTTAACTTGTAAGTCAAATATTATTTATTGTTACTTCAATGGTTCTTTTTTTTTGAGTCGTTTACATGTTAATTACAAAATATTTTATATTTACAAGTATTTTGAAAAATGCTTTTTATACTGTGCACTATATACTTATAGTTAAACACTTTGTTATATATTTAACATTGTTAATGTTGATAACTTGTAAAGATATTTAACACTGTGCAAAAGAAACAAAAGTACTTCAATAGAAGAGACTTGTTGAATTAAGTTGTGTATAATTGTTTTGAATGTGATAGAAATTATATATGAAATTAATATAAGAAGCAATCTTATTGTTATTGAAATATTTATATTCAAACAAGTTTGTATATGTTTTGTTGAAATTATAGAAAAGTTTATAAAGAATGGTTGAATCTGATCAAAGCGACAAAGAAATAGAGAATGAAATGCCTTCCTTGGAAGTTTCTGGTAATACCATTAACGATAATGAAACTGGACAAAAAAGATTACGGGAAGACACTTCAGATGATGAAAGTTTACCTTTACCTTCAAAGAAAATATGTACCTCTGTAGATGAAGCTATGCCTGAAAAACATGAAGACAAACATATCTCGGAAGCAAATGGTATTATTGAAAATGTAAAAGAAAATGCAGATAGTATAAATACTGAGAATGAAGGTAAGAAAAATAAATTCATGTCAGAAGAAAATACAAGTGAAAGCATGGAAGAAACAAATAATACAAAATCTGAAACTGAGAGTAAGGAAATAACTACTAACAATGACAGTGCAATCAAACAAGAAAGCGATTCTCAGATTAAATCTGATACAGATACAAAACAAGAGGTAATAAATTATATACATTTTAAATGTATAAATATAAATATATATCATATAATATTATATTATAATTATTTTTTTATTTGTTTTCGTCTAAAAGGATATTATATCTACAACGTCTGAGACCAACATTGATACAAAAAATTCTCTAACAAAAGAAGAAGAGGAGGAAGATGGCATCAAGAAGCAAAAGAAACATAGTAAATCATCAGTTGGAGATGCTGAAGTAGTGGAAGGTTTAGAACTTTCAGTAGAGTGTGCCAGTGACAAAGATTCTTCGAGTTCTTCTGAAAGTGAAAATGAAAAGGATAAAAAACCTGCAGCAAAAACTATAATTGTTAAAGCTAAACCTAATGATTCAGAACTTGATGCCAGTTCATCTGATACGGAAAAACCAAGTCCAGAAAGTGCATCTCAAAATAAATCTAAAAAAAGTACAAAGAAAGGAAAAAAACGAAGTCGAACATCTTTCAGTAAAGCAAAAAGTACAGATTCTGAAGACAATGAAAATTCGGATGAAGATTATAGCCCAAAATCAAAGAAAAAGTCAGTGGCAAATAAAAAAATTGCAAAATCACCATCAGAATCAAAAAGAGGACGTGGAAGAGCAAAAAAGACAACTAAAAAAGCAGCTGAAACAGATGAAGAAGATGAAAATCTTAGTGTAACAGAAGATACAAAAGCAGAGGAAAACATATCTGATGTAGAATTAACAGAAAGTGAAAATGAAAGTCTTGGTGATGATGTTTCGAAAGATGATAAAGGGAAAAAAAGAAGTAATGTAAGTTTATTTGTAGTTTAATACTTTATGCGAACTTATATTTCTTTTGGTACCATTTTAGAAACCTGAAGATGACAGAAGAATACAAGTTTTGAAAAAGTACATTAGAACTGCTGGAATACATGTAAAATGTTATAATGATCTCTGGGCTGGATGCAAATCAAATGCTGCAAGAGTAAGGTGTCTCAAACAGTTATTAGCTGAACATGGAGTCAATGGTAGACCAACTTTAGAAAAGTGTAAAAAAGTTAAAGAAAAAAAGGAAAGACTGAAAGACATTGCTGAGTTAAATACAAGCAATATTATATCAGAAGGTTTGTAAGGTTAGTATATTATATCAAAAACTGTAATTATATCAAAATAATCAATTATAGGACGTATTACACGTGCTCAAAGGAATAAGGATTCAAATAAAGGCTCACCAAAAGCGCTGGAAACACCTACAAAACAACGTGAAACACGTAATACGTATAAAAGGGTTTTGAATGTTATTGACAGCGATTCTGAATGAAACACAATGAACTTTTGAATAAGTATTTGAAAATTGTAAAATGCAACTACATTGATTCTTTACTTATCTGAATATGGTAAGTATATATTTTATCTTTTAATGTTGAAGTTTATATTTCACTTATTTTTACTTTGCGTATATGTTAAGGAAACTAATAATCATTAGATTTAAATACAAAGATATGATATTGCAGTAGAACATTTGTTTTAAAATGAATTATAGTCATAATATTTTGAAATACACACAGTAACAAAAACGTTTACTTACAAATTATTGTAGAAATTATTTATTACGATATCTAATAAATTTATTTCTTAATAGAAAATTTACCTGTAGATTTAGTAATATGTAAAGAAATATTTCTATATTCAGAATTATTTTATACATTTTGGATCTGTTTATTTATAAGTTTGAAGAATGTAATATTGAAAATATTTGGATTGTATCCTGTAATTAAAATGTATTATTTTAAATATGATATTAGTTTTTTGGACAAATAACCAAAACACATTTAGTTACAAAATTACTTTGTATTTGTTTAAAATTTCGTTCAGCTTTCTTTATAAAAGTGGTAAAGATACTTTTATAAAAATATATTTTTGTATACATAATTATATAAAATTGTTTTTGAATGATACATGTTTTATACTAACAATATGTACAAAAGATTGAAGTTATATAATTATTCCATTTTATAAAAGGAAATTTATCATAAAGAATGGAATAATATAAGTATTTTTTAGTCCAATATATTATGTTTGTGAATATAAAAATTGTGCAATGCATTCTTTGCTGCAAAATATTTTTTTCTCTTTAACTGCAATTCTACCATTTAGTAAATTTTTATTACAAGTATAACAACAGAAACAAGCTTCTGTTGCATGAAAATTTAAATCTTTTATGGCAACACCTTGTTGATCGGCAGCAATTACTTTTTCACACATATTACATGTTTTTGCGTATGTTTTTTGATAACATGAAAGGCACAGTGGACGGTCATTTTCTGTAATATATTGTTTTCCAGCTAAAGGAACATCACAATCCCAGCAGCAAAAATGTTTCACGTGGTAATTATGGCCTTCTGCTACGGTATATTCTCGTACAAAAATAAGCTAGAATATATAGAAATAAAACATTGTGTTATATAATGTAATTCTTTTTTAAAACTTTGTTAATGTAAAACAAGAAAAATTCCATTTTTTTAACGAACTTTATTAAATATGTTATATTTACCTCATCACAAGCAAAACATCTAGGAATTCCTAAGAGTGCTGCTAAATCTCTGCCACAATATAATTTGTTTTTATAATAAAAGTAAACTAAATCTACTAATAATTCATTACATGTGCTGCAAACAAAACATCCAGGATGCCATACTACATTTTTAGCTTTCTCTGTAGTTACAGCAACATCGCCAATATGTATTTCTTCTTCACATTTATGGCACTTTTGTGGTTTAATAACATCTAATGCCAGTTCTTCCACAGCATTTTTTAGGGGCTCCATATTTAGTAAATCTTGCATCGATTGTTTCTTATTACCAACAGTATCATGAGGAAATATTTGATTTTGCAACTTTTCAGAATGTATAACAGTGGAAGGTGTTGTCAAATTATTTAATTTTGCTTGATAATTATTAGTACCAGGAGATGACAAATACGTTTGTACTGATGAAGTTGATAAAGAAGGTAGATTTTCATTGATTTTTGCAGAATGAATTACTGAAGTATTTTCTTTTAATTTTTGTTTTTCATATGGATTAATGGCTTTATTAAAATCTAGATTTGACTGTATCACCTTTGAATCAGGGTTTTCCATTTTTTCTACTCTTTGAATATCCCCATCATGTGATACAGGTAAAACCTCAGATGGATTTTTTATCGAGTTAATAAGTGTTTTATTAGTCCCTTCATTAGTGTTTATAGGTGTATTTATATTTTGTGATACAAAGTTACTATTTTTGCACGATGAATTACTGAAATCTAAGTCCTTACTAAAATTGGGGGTATTGTATGGTACCTGCCCTTGATTTTCTTGAGTGCTGTATTTATTTATAAGTTTTTCTCGGATGAACATCAGACCTTTTTTGTCTAAAGTACTTCCAATTATGTCATTAGCATGAACAGCACTAGGTGGAAGAAATGCATCGGCTAATATATCTTTTACAGTATTATCAATGGTTGATTGTGAATGCAGTAAAAATGTAGATGGATTTTTGAATGTATCTTTGCGTGCTTCTTTGTAACATTCGGATTCGAAATTTGGAGGTGAAGTAACTTCAGAATTCATGCCTGCATTAGTTGCAGAATTTGGAGGTTTCAGATTGTCACTTATTAAGTTTTGTTTATTTATGTTTTGAACATTACTATCACTCTTTGAGGGATTAATTAAACAACTACCTGTATTATAAAATTCACTTTTAAGCGGTTCTGATTTTGCAATTTCACCGCTATTATTAACTATATCATATTTTTCAAAAGATGGTGTAGTGTTGATATTACTGCAACTACTTAATGTTTTTAAAGGGGCCGAGATATCTTGTATATTTTCATGTAAATTTCTTTTATATGTGTTTTTTGGAGTAAAACTACTTGGTGTACGTAACTGAACAATATTTGATTGTATATTAGGTTTATTTTGTGGACTGAAACGTTGCATATCAGTTGCATTAGCAGGTGTTACTAACGACCGATCAAATGGACGAGCACTTAATATCTATGGCATAAAAAATATTATATCAGTATATAAAAAAAATGGTACATTTTTTATTATAATTACCTTTGTTACTGTTCCTTGTCCAACATATTTTTTTATATTCTCCAAGTATTTTTCAAACTGTTTCTTTTCTTCTTCACTTAATTTGTCACAAACTTTATAATCTATATCATGAAGAGGTAATTGTTTTTGCAGTAATTGTCTCCGTAATGCTGCACCAGCTGATCCTTTGATAGGTAACTTTTCTGTAGGCAAAGCTTTCATATAGTCAATGACAAGTTCTTTTGTTGTATCTGGTGGTATCCATTCAAATGCTTCTTCTGTGGTTTCTTTTTCATTGTTTATATGCAGTACTGAAAAGACAAAAATATATATAATGACATACTGTAGAAAAATAGTGTCTATATTTTAGTTTAGTTTCAATAATATTTACAAATAGGTCTTTTCTTGTACTTCCTTGAAGATCCAAATAATAAATCAAATTGTGGAAAATCATCATCATCAACGTCATGATCATCCTTACTACATTTACAGTTTTTACAAATTTTCCTCCAGAAATGTAGATCTAAGCCTGGACATTTTGCTTTACAAGTCACACAAGGTGCACCTGCTCCAGCTTCATGTGCCAGACGAGGCTGAATAAAATAAATACAATAAATCTAAGATTATTTACAAGAATTGATTTTATAGATAAAAATTGCTTCAATTAAATAGTTTTAAGTTATCCCTACTTATAGATAAAAAAGAAGGTTATATTAAAACGTTAGTTTATGTAATTTTAATTAGTTATATTCGTGTTTAATAAACCATAAGTATAAAATAAATGCAAACAACATGGTAATAATAATAAAAAACACACCTTTCTTTTTCGATTTTCTAATTCTAATAACCATTTTGGGCGGTCGTTTATTTCTACATCAGTCATATTTTATTAATCTCTTTTAGTTTTTGAGTTATACTTTGATGCAAAACTGTAAGAATATAACAAAGTATAAATTCTTTTAATTTCTTGACACTTGCCAATCGCGTGACTCACTGCTATGTCTCATCAGAACGATACTCACTGATACTTACATTTCCCCCTTCTACACTGTAATGTAGTAAATGGGGGTTCACTCATATACTGAGATCTCTTCAAAAAGATTTCATGTATACACATACTATATGTATAGTATCGATGCTGTACAAATTATATTTCCCTATGAAGGAACGTATTTTAATGAAATGTTTTTAACATGCATAAGACTTTTTATTTTAACAAATAATTTCGTACAAATATTTTTATAAATTGTTCAAATGTACTAAAATTTCTAATTTAAAAAAAGTATAGCCACATGTTCATGCTTTTCTGAATAAGTGCTGCTCTTTATACATACTGAATGTATGTGAAAATGGCTTACATAGACATCACAAAAATATTTTTGCATATTTGTTTATCTATATAACAAAGAAAATATTGTCAAATAAAAAAAATAAAATTATTTATTTTATGTTAAACGATCGATTAAATTGGAACAATTCTAAGATCTCATAATATTTTTATATATTTGTTTACCTGCTGATTATTAGATGATAGTGTTTTATATATACACACATACAAAAAGATAACAATATTTGTAACTTTTATTCACTTTTTCAATCAATTCCAAATGCTGCATCAAATTCTTCTTGAGAAATCTAAAATATGAATAAAAAATTAGCATAGAAAAATTGATTATTAAATTTCTTTAATAATTGTGATAATTAGATATACCTTCTTTTTTTTCAATTTTTTAATCAAAGCTATATCTTTTGCTAATTCTTCAATATCTTGTTCATTTAATTTCTTTTTCTTTTTTTTCTTTGCATCTACTGATTCGTTTTGTTTCATTTTCTTCTCCTTTCGTTTTTTACGATTCTCTTGTTTCTCTAATTTTCTCTTTTTTACTTGAGACCATGATTCAGTTTGTTTGCGTTTTCGTTTATACGTCACAGGCCAAATTCCATTATCTTGGAAAATTTTTAATTTCTCTAAACGACTTTTTTCTTTTTGTTTATCTGAATAAGCAATTGAATTAATATCGATATCATCTTCTTCAAAAGATGATATACTTTTCCCTTTAAGTTCGGGCATTCGAGGCATTCGCAATAAACCAAAACCCATCGCAAGTTTCCCTAGATCAATGTCTTTAAGTCGTAAAATTAAATTACATTCGTGTTTATTGTACGCTTGTACATACGATACAAATGCTTTATTGGCTTTGTCAAAAAAAAGTCGATCTTCTTTTTGTAAATCTCTCATACACTTTAAACACTTTTCGTACGAAGTTACAGACGGTTCTAAGTTTATCTTTTGTAAATTTACTTTTTGGTTTCGTTTAATAAAATCTACATATGCATCTTCTGTTTCTAGCAGAAACAACAACGCATTTCCTTCATTACCAATTCTAGCAGTTCTACCACATCTAAAATGATGCAAATAAATTATACATAACACATGTATATGTATACTGACATATATTAAATGTATTAATATACACCATGCATAATTTATTCTTACCTATGAACAAAACTACTAGCTGAACATGGTGGATCATACTGTAGTACCCAATCTACTTCAGAAATATCAATACCACGAGCCATTACATCTGTGCAAATTAAAATTCCATTCTTTACAAGCCGAAATTCATTAAATACTTTGTACCGTTTATTTTTCATTTTACCATGTATTGCAAGTACTTTAATTGATGGTAACATTCTAAAAATTAAATATAGCATAACATTTATATCTATAAGGTATTATTTATGTCTATCATGTATAATGTAACTTACGCTTGTATAACAGAATTGAAGTAATCAACACAGGCACAGGTAGACAAAAAGATCATATATTTTAGATTAGTTCCTTGATTCTGAATAAAATCTATCATCATAGACAATTTATATTCTGCATTTACAATGGTATAATTATTTTTTAAGTTTGATGGTGTTGAAACATTTGCCTTTTCTTTAACAGTTATTAGAGCTGGATTTCTCAGTCCTGCTCTTATTAGATGTTGCAATTCTTTGGTTTGAGTTGCAGAAAATAAACCTGTCCTTCTGAGACGTGGTAAATAACTTAATATTGTATCTATTGTTGCAGAAAAACCTAGATCCAATAATCTGTCTGCTTCGTCTAAGATCAGTATTTCCTATAAATTGTATGATTTAAGCATGTCCATAAAATGATATTAATATAAAATATTGAATATTTCAAAATTAATTACCAGAGATTTCACACATGCTGCTAAGTTGATACTTTTACAGTTAGACAATATATCCTCTAATCTACCAGGTGTTGCTACAATAATGTTTGCCCCAGCTTTGAAATTGTCTATATCTTCTGTGATTGTTGTACCACCAACAAGTAATACTTCCTTCAAATTTGGAATGTTATTTAAAAATTGTTGTAGAACTTCATTTATTTGTACTGCTAGTTCTCGTGTAGGACTAATTATTATTGCTCCAATTTCCATAGGTTTCCATTTTTCTTCTCGTTTCTAATTATATACAAAAATTATATAATATTTATATTGAATAAATGCTGCTCAAAAAGAATTAACTGTATGTATATACCTGTAATATTTCTAATAAAGGAACTAAGAAAGCTATTGTTTTCCCACTTCCTGTTACTGCTTCTGCTGCAACATCTTTGCCTTCTAATAATAGTGGTATAGAAGCTGCCTATATGTAATTATACATTTACATATTTTTTCTGTATTTTTTATAATATTTAATGCTGATAGTAACATTTGATTTAAAACATATAGATTGAATATCTTTATACAAAATTAATGCTGAAGATTTTACCTGCACAGGTGTCATATGAGAAAATTTCAATTCTTTAATGGTTTTCAACACAGGTTTACTTAAAGGCACTTTGAGTTCATTCCAATTTTGTGTCTTCATTGTGAGAATTAAAATTCCACTTACTTTTTGAATGGAAATATTTTAAAAACATGTGTTTTCGATATAGCGGTTTTCTGCATCACATTCAGTTTATAAAGGTTATGTTAGACTATTATTGATTAAATTTGACTATAAATTATATATTTATATTGTTCTATATTTTCATATGTTTCTAATACTTCTGAAAACAAACATTTCATTTACTTAAAAAATATTAGGTTAAATATGAAATACAATAATAATTAAGGGAAATACAACTACGGTTATGAGTATTCAATTATTCTACAGCGCACAGCATGTTTGTGCAGTTTTCGTTGCGAAATTAAAAAATAAATAATCTTAAAACGTGATAAGGTCAATTAATAAATTATCGTACAAATTGGCTTTTAACGCATTGACTTTATTTTGATGTTTTTTTTAAATCTCTTCGATATAAAATTTGTGTCTAACGATGCCACACACTCAACTATCTCTCAAATAAGGATCGTCTTTGCCTTCATTTCTCTTATATACACGACTAGGTCTAAGGCCGTAATTCAACTTGTCTTTTTTCAATGTCATAGCATCTGATAGTATTTGTTTATACATAAGAGGTACATTATTGATATCAATGTTTCATTAACAGTTTTAAGTATTTGATATAATGAATTCTTCATAATATATCTCAAGCAATAAAATATTTGTGTCAGTTTTTCTCCTATGTTTCTTTGACTTTTTGTATTTTTTAATTTATAATATGTATTATTTATATGTAAAATAAATTCACTTAAAAAGATGTTACACAGATTACGAGGTACGTAAATGAATCACGTACGACTTCGAATATATCAGTACTAAGATGAATATTTGGTTTTAAAATAAGGTGTAGTTGAAACAATGTTTCCTATTCATTCTTTTTAAATTATTACCTGCTCGATATATACACATATACATATATCGTGTTAATATCAGAAGTTTACAGTTTTAATTGCTAAACAAAATTTAATACAATTTTGAACATTTGTACCTCTTCAATAGACAGATGCTTTTCCGTCACGACAATTAGCGGGTCGTTTTAAACGACATAGCTTGTCGGACCCTTCTTTTTCTTGCATATTTCCTCTAATTCAATTTATGTTTTGTTTCGAAGTATTATGTATTAGCATCTCGTAACAAAATTCATTGTCAACAAATTGCAAAATTTGGAATTCTATCTCAATTGCTTTGTCGTTATGTCATTCAACTTTCCACAATCGAATGTAATTTAATTGAAGGTAGAAGTTATACTGATCTGTTTCTGTGCTTCCTGTTTAAGTATGAAAGCGCGGGCAGAAAAATATGTTATATATTCTATTCTTTACATCATTCCAATAATCATTTTGTGTAAAAAAAAAGGATTTTATCACTTGATGTTCATGATTTGTTTCATTTTTGATTAATCGAATCTTTAAAGACAGACACTTCATCAGCCTACAGTATAGCAATTCTGCACCAACTTTAAAAGGTTGGATTTTGGCTTAATAAATGTTTACAAAGTAGTGCAAACTACACAATACTCAAATGTGGAATTTGTTTAAATCTGAATATTTCTCGCGACTTTTTATAGTCATTGTCCCTCGCTTTTTCACTTTTTTAATGTATTGTATAGGCACCACCTATCAATATAAAATCTTCGCCAATTTTCTCTTCACGGTTTACAATAAATCAATGTACTTATTTAACGTATTTTACTATAAATCAATTTTGAAAATTGTGTTTCACAGTATTCAAATTAATAATTTATAGTTTTGCATGATGGTAATTTGTGTGTTGAATAAGAGTTAAGTATTATTTGAGGGACTAAATATCATTGTGGGTTCTCTATAATTAATTAACCCATCTAAAGAAAAAGTCACTTTCAAGATGATCAGCACTTTACGTTGACACGATATAATTTTTCGTTTGTAAAGATTTGTAAGGATTACATTAAAAAATTTATTACTTTATGTGGAATGATTTCTTTTACTATAAAAAAAAATGATGTTTAAATGTCAAAATAACTGAAAACAAAAATCATTTTTTACGATTATTTAGCGATACATTAATGTAATATTACAAGGGATAAGGAAAAATTTCAAGTGCCTAATGACATCATGAAAGCAACTTAGATTTGTAAACTTATTCTACCTCTGCAGAATACTAGTAGTTCTCTCGCTCTTCATCCATTTCTGATTGCAGCTACTGATTGTGCGGCAAAATCACTGGTATAGTTTGCTGCGCTCCTGGAGGTGGTTGCGGCGGTAGGTATTGCATGTGCTGCGGTGGTATTGGTATATGAGGAGGAATTATAGGACACATTATTGGATAACTTGGAGCATGGCCTTGAGGAGGAGGTGGAGGATACGTGGGTTGTGGAGTACCCGGAGGGTTGTAAGTGCCTGGTGTATGTGATGGATTAGGATTTGCTGGAGAAGGAGTTTGACTTGGTGGTTGTTGAGCAACATGTGGATGTGGATGAGTATGTGGGCCCATATACTGAATACCAGGAGCCTGTGGTCCTGGTGAGTCATGATGATGATATGGTGTAGCCATATGTGGCGGTGGTGGTGGTGGTGCCTGAACCATGCGTACCATCTGTTGATATGCTGGTTGACCAGGATAAGGCACCTGGAATGGCGGATGTAGTGGAGCTGGTGCCATTAATGGCTGTCCAGTTGCCGCTACTACTTGCATTTGAGAAGCTATATCTTGTGTGCGATGTTGTGCGTGCATCACTGGTACTGAAATAATTAGATTAAGATACAATTTAGGGAAAGACAATAATTACGCTTTTTAAAGTTATATTGAAAAGCGTGTATTAGCAAATAAATAATTGAAAATAAGACGCGGATACCTAGATACTGACCCTTCCGGAACCTTGTCACAGGTTGAGCAGGTGGTTGACTGAATGCAGTAGGTGGCTGGCTAGTCATTACATATGCTGGCATAACTACGGTCGCAGGCATTGTTGCTCCAGTGTATTGTGGTGTTTGTGGAGTATGTGGTCTGCTAGGTGTCGGTGTACTTGGAGATCGCTAGAAATAAATATTTAAATTATAATATTCAATCGCTGCTAATATTTTTTATTAGAATAATCACTGGCTTACCGGCGTGAAAGGTTTAGTATTTGGATTAAATTCTTTAGCATTTGGATTTAAAGTTGATTTTTTGAAAGCCGTTGTAATTTTATCAACAGCAGGTTCTTGTGAAGTCTGTGATGCAGTAGGTGTGTTTGTAGATGTTTGTTGTTGTTGTGGTTGTTGTGGCTGAGGACTTGTGGGTCGTACAGGTAGTGGGCCTGGTGGTGGTTTACTTGTAACTACAGGTTCTTCTTGAACTGGTTGATTCTGATGTTGTTGTGGTTGTTGTTGTTGTTGCTGTTGTTGCTGCGGATTTGAATGTTGTTGCTGTTGTTGTGGTGTAGTGTGTTGATGAGGCGATTGATGATGCGATTGACTAATTTGAGGTGAAGAATGAGAATCCTGCTGATGCTGATGCTGTTGTTTTCTTGTAACAGATTGAGTCTCCTGCGTTGGTGTTTCTGCTAATTTAAAATCTGAAGCAAACTGTCTTAATTCCGAATGTTGATCTTCTCTACTACGTGGTGTTGGAACCTTTAACAATACAAATACATATATATACAGCACAACTATATATAGTAATTGAAAATATACTGAACATCAAGATATTACCTTTCTGTGGTCTGATTTATGCGTAACTATTTCACACCGTTGTCCCTCAACTGAATTTTGTTGTTGTAATTGGTTATGCTGTTGATGTGACGGTTGTTGCTGTTGTTGCTGCTGCTGCTGTTGCTGATGAGAAGTGGTAATATTCGTTTGCGGGAATGGTGCTGGTGGTGCTTTATCAGCTTGATACACTTGCTGTCTACCAGGACGTTCACGTTTTTCTGTATTTATTTTAGATGATGCTACTTGCTGTTGTTGTGGTGGAAAAGCCACTTGTGGCACAGAGGGAGTAGCTGGTGATTGCGATTGTGTCTGCTGCATCACAGGAACTATAAATATAAATTTATTTAAAACATGATATTTCTATTTGTTAATTAATATTATATTATTTTTCATTACCTTGTGGTGGTGGTGGTTGTGTTGTTGATGGAGGGACAAATGGTGGTGGAGGATTATTATATGTAACCACAACTCCGCTAGGCGGCATTCCCATATTTAAAGATACTGGATGCTGTACCGATGGGTGAGTATTTTGCATTCCAATAGGAAGATTGGATGATGGAGGAATGTTTACATTTACATTGGACGGAGGTTGTTGATTGAAAACATTTTTATTAGTGGTTGCAGGCCCTGGTGAAGGAGGAGGTTCACTAGATCTCATCATTTTTCCACTATTTCCATTTTTCTTCTTCAGTGGAGGTGGAATATATTTACCTTCATTCGGTCTCACCTAAAATTATGCATAATTATTAGCAGATAGCTAATTCCACATTTTGTTACAAAATAAAGAAAATAGCAAAAAACTGCACCACAGCCGCGAATCTTTCCTCTTCATCACCATTTTCAAGCTCTAATCTTGCTTTATGATTTGGTTGTGACTCTATTTCATTGGCTATTTCTGCAGCTTTCTGTTCTTGTTCCTTGTAATCCTTTGTATCTTTTCTTTGAAGTGGTAAAGTATAAGCAGCTAAAGTCGGTTCATACGTTGTTTGAACTCCATACTTTTGTTCATTTTTACGAAACATATCATTAGCATCCCATCCATTCTGAAATCAAACTCATATATTACTTACATATCTTCATATTTATAATTTTGTTACACAAAAATACTCACAGTAGTACCATCTAATTCTAAATCATCTCCATTCATGGTAGCAGGAGGTGCATCCCATGGTTCCAATTCTTTTTCACCTATTAACCCATTATATTTGCTAATAACAGTATCTGTTCTAAATGTATCACGGATAGCATAATCTAGATCAACATCCTTCGCAGACATAGTTATAATGTCTTGCGGTTTAAAAATTAATTTTTCTACTACGCTTTCTACACTTATTTTCCCAGAACCTTCTACACGATGTGCCATTTCTAGTACAACATCAAATTGACTGGAGAAGGTACGAAAAATACCCTCATATACAGAACCATTTAGTGTTTGAATCTGAAATAAAAGAAACGCTACAATGTGTATTAAAGAGTAACAAAAGGATAATTAACAAATAATTACTCTACATTGCACATTTTCATTTTCAAATAAATGTTCAAAAAACATATTATTTATATACTATTGGATTTAAATAATAACATAATTTTGTTCTGTTATCACCTATATATAGTTTTAATACCTGTACAATGTTGCCAACATGACTGGTTATTGCATGCATGAAATGAGCATTATTATATACACCTTCAGCAGCGACACATCTTTCTTGTGGACCACGGGCACGAGGTGATCTACAAGCAAAAAGACATTTGTAAACACATTTAAAATTAGTAACGTATAAATTGTTATTATAAATTCGAGGGAAACACTTAATATTCATAAAATGATGGGGGAAATATTGAAAGGCAGTACCTATTAGTATTTGAGCGATTCTTTCTTTTGCTGTTCATTTTGCCACCCGACGAGGATTCTTCGCCAGTGGTTGGTGGATTTCTGCCGCCGGTTTGTTGCGGACCTTCTCGTTTCTTAGTGGGGACCGGAATTTTGACTACTTTCCCGGTGACTGCTCAACGTCAAAAAAATACTTTGATCGAAACGTCCCAATTTAGGGAAATATTAAGGACTTGTTTTTTATCCACGAACTATTCGTTAAGTAGGAGCTTTAATTTAAAATCTCTTTCGACCTCCAGAACGATTGACAGGAGGCCAAATTGGCCGTAACAACTATCAACATTCACGATCACTTTTCGACTTACGACCGTTTATAGGTTATGCGTCAATGCTACGGTTATCTTAAACATTCGTTCGTGAAAGTCTAGCGCGTGCGTGACTTTCGAGTTTTGACAGACACGCGAATTCAAGCAAAGAAAGCAGGAACACTTTGTATTCGAGGAGACGTACGGGGGAACACGGTCTGCTCGACACACGATATCTTGCTAATGCGTGACGTAACTCCGTTCCCTTCACGCAGGAAATCACCTTTATGGAACTTTGTGTTGACGGAGTTAAGAAACGAATAACGGTAGCCCGAAATAATGATTTTGGCCACGATATTATATTCCTATTTAATTAATCAACATGTGGTAAAGGATAAAACTTAGCACAAGTCGCCCGATCAACCTGATCCCGGTGACTGTCGGATACAGTCGCCACCTAGTGAGAAATTGATAGAAATTCTGATAAAGAACATCCGCAATTCCCTGCTACCATAGTGCTACAACATCTATTTTCATCAATGCTTACATCTTATTTTCCAATGGAAATGCATCTTTAATTATAAACTACAACAACACATTTACTGTTTAAATAAATTTATTAACAATATGTAAATTTACACATATGTTAGAAAGGTTACAAAGTAAATTACAACGTGTTTTGGAGGTAAATAATATCAAATTTAATCCATTATCTATTTGCTTTATATAAGTTTAATACAAAATAACGAAATTTTTGGTAAATATAAAAATTAGAAAAAAGGTAATAACATGTACTTAGGCATTCAAAAGTTCGATATTCAATGAACGAAAGATTATTATAATTCGGTATTAACCGTTAAATGTGTGATTTTAAAAGGTGCTTTATATTTAATTAAATCAGTTCTAAAATTTAGCGTAACAACGATATATCACAGTAGAACATTCTATGTGTTTCTGTTCACACACACATTCAAACTTTAAAAATTTATGTACGACGGTTGATATTTCTGTACGAATCTTCGTCGTCCTTATAAATTATATGTAGCTTTTGAATCAAGTTCTTCGTTCTATCAGAAATGAAATTATCCACTTGGCCCAACACGTTTACACATTGAATTAGCCATTCAAATCCTTTGTTTGTCTGTTTCTCTCTGTTAGTGCGATCAACTTTGCCCGATATAGCGTTTGATAGTTCTTTCAGCAATCCCTTTTGTTCCTTAGCACATATTTCTTCGGTTTCCATCGTTATCATCTGACACAATCAAAATCGTAGCTTTATAATAACTGTTTAATGGATCTTAGCCCTTTTCTACTTTGAAATCTCGAATAAACGACTCTGATAGGTTTTTGTTTCGCAAAAAAAGCGCAACGATGTATACTAATATGTTTCAATATTTTTCAGCGACAATTAAAAATTCTGGCTGTGATTCATTTTACACATTTACATATAGTACTCACCACGTATATAACGAAAAATAATAGCCACAATGTTTTCATTACTTTAAATAAAAGTTCGCATTTAAATTACATACAAATAAGGTACAAAACTCAGTTGTTAATTTTATTCTTAATTATCAGTCACTGTTAGTGAACTGTCTTTAAAATGTTTAACGCTTGCAAGTCTTTTAATGCAGAAGGTGTATGCTGACACGAAGTAAAAATCGACGCATGTAACAGCTATGAACGAAATATCCATAACAATTGAGTAATTGCTTTACAAACATAAGAGTTGTTTTAAAACGACTAATGGTAACATGGAAATTGTTGCAACGTTGTTATAAAACGGTAAGTAAAGTAATTCGGATCGGTTATTCATAAAATGTATTTAATTTATAAATATATAATACATTGTCAAAAAAAGAAGAAAAATTGATGTTGTCATGGTCACGACGAAATCGTAAGAAAATACTTTTCGAGAAATTTTGTTATTCTTCTCTTCACTCAATTAATACACTCGTTCTAGTCGTATCAGTACACATAATGATTTATTGGTTTTTTTTAGCCGCGGCTTGAAGTTGATTATTTAGGTTCTGTGTAGCTTCCACGGCAATGTCGACCGCCTGTTTCGTGAATTTAGCGAAGTCCTCCTGAATTTTTCCGGATTGTTGGCTTAGAGATTTTGCGGCATTGTCGGTTTCCTTCAGTACGGTTTGAACACCTTGTTGAAACTTGGCCTGTAAATCAGCCACCTGTTGCTGAGCATTTGGGATTCCGCTATTAATATCTTCGACAACCTTATTCAGTTTTCCTTTAACGTCATTCCACGCTCTTTCCAGCTCGGGGCTTTTATTTTTCACCTGAAAGTATGCAACTGGTTATTATCGTTTATACGTTATTTCTATTTATATCGATAATGTTTCTGTTTTGATATTAATAAGTAAACAGGACTCAATCAAGGACAGTGGGACCAATACTGATAAATACTGATAACATTCAATCAGTCTGGTACCGAAGTACTCAACTGCAAATACCAATGTAAATATGAAATTTTTCGAAATACCGATTAATTCTCTTAATAAATTCCTTACCTCTTCAGTCATGTTCTTCACATATTCTTGGATATTGTTGACAAAGTTAGTGCTTTGTTCCTTAACTGTTTTGACAATGGTTTCCTGGTCGGGTAAATTCCACTGTTCTTGGATCTGTTTAGCCAGATTGTTGATATTTGCTTGGGCCTGACTAATGAGGTCGCTCAACTGAAGTTCAGGAGTTCCTTGGGAGTTCGTGGTACTTTCCGGGGCGACTTTAGCTTCTGATATTAGCGCAATTGCTAAGATAACCGCGAGAATGCTCTTCATTTTTTATTTCCTAGGAAGTACACTGCAGGACAACTAGAAAGTGACTGATGGCTTCAGCTGCTACAAGCTACTACTTTTATAGGCGATCCTTATCGAGGGTGCACGAGGGCAGTATTCATTATCTCGTTTGGATGGTAATGAGTCGTCAGTTCTGTCTCTTTCTTCAGCCACTTTGAAAACGAGGAGAATTTTTCGCGACGACTCGATCAATTTCTACTTCTTTATTCAACATTCTTATTAATTTATTAATACATTCAGTTATATATATGTAATATTTTCCTATGATGATCACAAATTTCTATCCTTTTCTTACAACTTATTTAGGATTATAAGCAATGGGGTGATTTGTTCTTCCAGGTAGATTAAATTCTTTGCTAATAATAAAGCTCAACACCAGGCACAATGAAATGATGACACGAATATTTGGGAATATAAAAATTTGAAAGTTTTTGGTTGTATGAAGCATTGTACATCCCTCACCCTAGGCGGAAAGGGCCAGTTCGTGACTGCGGAGAACCGAGTCAGAAAATATTATCTTTTCGATTTTTATATTTCTTATATTCCAATAGTACTACAATTTTATATTTTCGAAAATAATTAATCGTACCACAGAGTTAAAGTTCAAGGAGAAAGATTCTAAAATTATCATCAATTTTGGGTCATTGCTTTGCTTACCGAATGTGGCGCGATTATTGATACAGAACTTGCCAAATTCTCGGCGATATCTACAAGGTAATTGATAATTTTCTAACATAATACAAGTTCATTATTCTTTTATTAAAATTAACTTTTCTAGAGGAACTCGAAAATTTAAATAAAATTGTCCAAATACTACTTTCCGTTCTGATCTCATTCTCGGACGAATTACTCGAATATTTAAATAAGTGAGAAGCTATTTGATAAGGTTATTGATGATTGAAATTCATTAGTAAATAAAAGATAGTTGTAAGAAGCTACGTCAAGGGGACAAGGTCCTATGGAAAAACTTATCCGGATGCACTTTGTTGATTCTATGAAATCGCTTCTTCAAAGTCCATATGGTACAGCTGGTTATCTCCACGTGTGCTTGTCAATAGAATCCTTGACCCATGACCATTTTGATTCTACTGTATATTTATTAGTGCTATATTAATACGCTTTCACTCGATTTTCATGCGATGCTTCGTTCATTTTTCATTTTACTTTATGATTATTCTGCATATTATGTTTTTAATCGGTGATCATTTTTTTGAGATTGTCCATTTTTATTTAGATTATTTCCTTTCCTAAGTATTATGATTTGCGTCTTATCTGAGCGAAGGATTTCACGGAAGTTTATTCATCTTTATCTTATATTAATAAGACAACTGTGAAACTTGGTTTCATCAGTACTATAACTAATTAATTACAGATTGTAGATATGAAAAAACGAATGTTTATTTAGCAGTAATTTCGGTAAATGATTGTTAATACAATTATGGATTGGTTCAAGTGGGAAAGAGGAAACAACAGACGATCGTCAATTGCACGTGTAACTTTATTCCCAGAATATTTCAATAAAAGAGATACATTATATAACCGTAAACCATTGATTCATCAAAAAGCGTATAACTTACATCACATCAAAGTAAAATATGTTTTTTTTTATCTCTACACCCGTGTCAAAGTTGATATTGTTTTTCACACATGTACACATATTTTAAACATAACAATAATGATGCAATGTTATTTACGTTCTTGAGAACTCGACCAAATCGCTCGAAAATATTAAAGGGTCCCATTAAAAGAGTTTTAGTAACAAATACTTAAATTAGAAATTATAAGTTTTACTGTGTACATTAAATAAGGTTTAGTTTTGCAGATTTTTTAAGTCTCTACTGAGATTATCTCGTGCTTGATCAAAATACGTTTTCGCTCTCTCCATGGCACCGTTTATGTCCACATTTGCCAGATATTCTTTTGCATCATTCAACATTTTCTTAGCTTGAGCCGCCACTTCATCAAGAGTACCCGATGCAGTTTGATCACCGTCATCTGGTACAGGACTAGCCTAAATAATAAAGAAACCATTAATTCCAAGGTTATAGATAACTTAAAGTTATAGCCAGAAGGTACTAAAATCGAGATTACATGGTGATGTAATGATTCAACGTGTGCATACGACGCATATGGATCATTTTCCAGAACTGATGCATAAAAATCAAATGCAAAATAATACATTTTAATTGTAGAAAATTTCTATTTGAATTGTTATAATTTGAAGCTAGAAATCTTCGAGTTTCTCTTCGCAAAAGTTTCCAAATTTCATGTTACGTTAATTTAACTAAAGTCGAATCAATTACATATTTAAATGTCAAATTAATTAAATATTTAATAAGATATTTTACCTGCAGTTCGTAGAAGACGCAGATCAGAAGAACGGCAAGTAAAAGAAATCGAGACATGGTTGTGGCTGTCGCTTTTGTTCGAAGTGTCCGATAACGATAGTTTCTGTGAGAAAGACGGCGGTGGACTGTTTTACTAGAAGTCTCGTGCGAGAAGCTGCTACCACGATCACGTGAATTGAGATCAATGATCACACTAATAAACACTGCGGCCTTTATGCTTCTAAGTTATTTTTCAATTTCTCTGTCGTCGGTCAACCAACGTGCTTCTTCTTTATGCCGAAATAAAAATGGACTCCTTCGTTGTTTCGGCAGTTACTTTTATTGTGACTAATTATTACGTTATATCATAAATTGCAATTCTTTTTTTTACAGTAAATTACACAGTTTAATAGCTATTTGACATTCCGATTCGTAGTATGATTACATAATGTTTTGTGCTGTAATTATAAATGTGTAAATCGTTTTTCTCTTATGTGAAGAAAGAAAACATATTTTCCGAATTGAAACACATTTTGTCGCAAGAAGATATTCAACTATTTGTTTCTAAATATGATGGTACTTTAATACGTTTAATAGAAAAATTGCAATCTTTTCTGAATGTCTTCTCAAGACAAAAATCTGCATTATCGTGTGGTAATTTTTCGCTACTCAAACTGTACAAAATCTTTAAATGTATCACTCGATATCTCTTACAGTTTCGTCACAAAATCGAATTTGAAAAACATGTTTCTTTCAGAAACTATTGCATAAGAGAACGTAGATTTGTAATTAGCGTATAAAACGTAACAACTATCAGATCGAAACGCAAAAAATATTTTGCAATTCGGCGTACAATGTTATCTTTGTTTTGCCGGAAATTATGTAATACCTGTATCTTTGTTTCCTCTGCAATTTATAAGCGTTCGAAATTATACCTCGGGTTTAGAGGTAAGCAACTTTTCGAAAAACAAGCTAGAAAATTACAAAATGTATTGTGACGATAGATTATTCGTTCTTGACTGATTTCAAGAATACAATTAAGATGTTGTCGGTTTCGTCATCGAAATGAAATTTTTTAATTCGCAATGTCAGCAGATATCTAAATTGGGGACAAGTAGGCGTAATCTTTTAATAAATTATATCTTTATTAATAAATACAAATAAATAATCTTAACGACATACATAAGTATACAATTGTCACATAAATTATATAAATAGAGTTGCATTATCTTATATTACTAACGATTAAGAGGTACAAACATAGATAATGTACAGAGTATTTAGAAAGCTTTATCTGAAATAATTTGTGAAAAGATTTCTGCGACATAATCCTCAAATTAATCCTTGTTCGATAGTTTAGTAAACTACCACTTTACCAGTAAATAACTTTGTTAAAAAACTTCACAAAAGTTTTCACAAAATTTCATGTTTCTAAACCACTCAAAGTTTCCTCAACGTCGAAACAAAAATTCTAGTTGTTGTTCGCATTTTGGATTATGGAAATCTTTTGATCGAAGGTGCCAAATTTTAATGCTATCTTGAGGATTCCCAAAAGCAGTTTTCACCTCGAACGGCTTAAAGTAAATCGGGCTAACGGTGTCGATTACGTGACCAATCAATCTCAAACCATTTTTAGAAAGAATAACGATCAAGTCTCCAGGTGATAAAACCGTATTACCTAAAGCTGATGCGATTTCTTTTCTAGGTAGATAGAAGGGTGACTGCGACCGTTTGATATCATTCTTTAAGATACTAGTAAGACCTGACAAAGATGGCAGAGATGCGGACGTACCGCACAGATTAGAATTATCCATCGACATGGGCGAAGATGGAGGGAAACCCCGTCTAAGAAATTCTGATATTTTACTCGACACATTCGGTGGTGGTGCTATTGCGGGATTACCATACTGCAGGTAAGAATAAAGACTTTTGTAAAATGCATCGATAGATTCCAGATAATTAACGTAAGGGCTTGAAACAGGTTGATAACGTGGCAAGTTTGGGATGATGTTCGAAGCTGGTATCAAATAATCGGGAGGTGTATAAGGAATTAAGGGTTCATTGTTGCTCTTTTCAATGTCCCTATCAGGTTCGTTGAGAAACAGTATGCTGGGAGAAGATTCTCCAGGAGCAGATATGTATGCATCACTCGAGAAGTCGACTGGTCTTCTAAGATGATATGGAAAAATTAGTGGATTATTTATTACGAAATCTGGTCTTCCAGGAGCAGATGCGAAAATTGGTGCATTATATTCTAAGAATTCGGTTGGTCTTCCAAAAGATGATGGGTTGTTAAATGAGTAGTCAGTTGGTCTTTCAAACATAAATGGAAGAATTGGTGGATTGTTAACTGATGGATCACCTGGTCTTTCAAAAGAAGGTGAAGGAATTAATGGATCAGCTGATTTATCGGTGGAAGGGATTGCTGGATTTCTGGGGTCTACTGATTCTCCAGGAGCAGAAGGAGGAATTGATGGATTATTGATAAATGAATTTAAAGGAGAAAATGGGGAAATTTGTGGAGTGTTGGTCAAGAAATCCATTGATCTTCCAGGAACTAATGAAGGAATTGGAGGTCTATTGGTCCCTAAATCAGTTGGTCTTCCAGGAATTAATGAAGGAATTGGAAAATTGTTGGTCCCTGAATCAGGTTTTGCTGGATCAGAAGTGGTTGGTAAACTGTTCGACAACAAATCAGTTGGCTTTCCTGGAGAACCTGGAGCAATTGGTGCACTATTCCATAATAAATCAAATGGTTTTGCTGGAGTAGATGAGAGAATTGATGGATTCGTCAATAAATCAGCTAGTTTCTGAGGAATAGCTGCAGGACTTTGAGAATTATTGGCTAACATGTTAGCTGGTTTTTCAGGAACAGATGAACGAATTGCTGGGTTAGTGGTCAACGAATCAGTTGGCCGTTCAGAAGATGAGGGAGTTGTTGGAGTAGTGGTCAATGGGTCAGTTCTCTCAGTAGATGTTGTCGAAGTTGGTGGATCACTGGTCAATGTATTAGCTGGATTTTTAGGATCAGATGAAGGAATTGGTACATTTTCAAAGAATGAAGGTACTATTAGATTATTACTTGGAATGCCATTTGTTTTTTCAGGAGACGAAGGAACTGGTGTTTGTCGATTATTGTGCCTCCTATCAAAATACGAAGGAGTTCTATCAGAAACATTTGGTATTTTCGTAGTCGAGGAATCAGAAGGTGGAGAATCTTTTTGCGTTGTGCTCGATGAAGGTGGCGAAGTTGTTCGTGAAGGATCAGATTTATCATTCGATTGTACGTTAGGTAAAACAGAGAAAATATCGCTGGGCAATCCAAATGGAAGACTTGTGGTTGGTTTGGGTTGTGAAGAATAATGCTCACTTGAACCATAATTGTGAGGCTGGATAATTGTGTTTATAGCTGAAGTAGTAGAATGAATTCCTCCTTGCGATCCGTCATTAGGCGTCAATAAGTTAGAAATAGAAACTGGCGATTGAATAATTGATTCAGAAGCACTTGCAACTGTTGTCTTTGCGGCAGATGAAGTAACATTTGTTCTACCAATTGTGAAAGGTAATTTAGAAGTTTCAGTGTGTTGTATGGAAGTTGAAGAAGCTGTAATTTGACTGATCGTTACATCTTTGAAAACTGATGTTACGTTAACTGTCGATGAAGGTAATGAAAAACTTGAAGCTGTATTCCTTACATGCCAGATGAGCGATAAAACAGCGGTACCGTTTGCTGTCTTGAAATGAAGTAGAGGAATGTTAAAGTTCGTCAAAAATAGATTTAAAATAAACGTATGCAGCTTATCAATTACAGATCCCGAAAATTCCAAGTACTTTCTATAAATGTTTAACAACTGATCGATAGAATCCTTGAAAATCGTTAAATGTTCTTCGAAAGTTTGCCCGGAGCAAAGTTTCTCGAACGCATGTATCACCAAAGAAGACAATTCTGAGAATAATTCTGCTTCTTTCCCGAAAATTTCTAACAGTTGTGAACTACAAATTGCTGTAAAACTTTGACTATATGGAATTGACGGAAAATGTGGAAAAGTTTCGTTGGTTATATGCCAAATTAAAGATAAATTGGCAATCTCTTTATTTGGCAAAACGAAGTGTATGACGGGAATATTAATATTCTGTGGGAGAAAAGCTGAGATGAATTTTGCAATTAGAGAATGCAAATTGATAATTGCAGATCTCGAAGAATCAGAAGTATGATATTGTTTCAAAACTTCGTAGAAAGTGTCGATAAAGTCCTTAAGAACTGTTAAGTTATATTCAATGCTTTCTTCGAAAGAAAGTTTGTGCAGTAACAATCTCGCCGACGAAGCAAATTCTAACAGTAAATGCATTTCTGTTTCTAAATGTATGTCGAACAAGTCTAATATTATCTGTGCTGCAGCGCCTAGTTTTTCTTCCCATTTCTTCAACAACTCGATATAGTTCTGTATGCCTTCGTGAGGCTCGAAATATATAATGAAACCTTGCAGGTGAACGAAGAAATTTGAAATAGCGATTCTTATTCTGTTCACAGTTTCATGAATATTGGAGATCGGTACACATTTCTCTATTAAGTCGAGCATAACATTCACATTCTCTGGATTCTCTAAGAACACTTCCAATTGTACTATACCTTGTTCTATTTTGTCGAATACAGCTCCGCTCATTACAAAATCGCTCAATAAAATCATAGCTTCTTCCGTTTCGATTGGTAGATCTAGTTGAAGTTCGTTCTGTAAGTTCTGAACAGCAATCATAAAGTAGTGCCAGAGTTTGCGAAATTCACAAATAACTTCGTGAAGTAAGACTCCTGCTGCTTCTTTGTGACCAAACTCTGATGCCTCCTCTATGCAAGAATAACTATCCAGTCGATCTAATGACAGTGAAGCCTTATATTCTTCTTCCCAGCTGAAATCTGTTTCAGGGTATTCTTCGGGCGTTGGAGTAATCGCATAACGTTTCGGCAGGATACTGAACTTGGTTGTGACATCCTGTAAATATTCAATTTACTGTACTGTTCATATATAACAAATATATTGAGCGTTGATAAATATTTAATTCTAAATTTACTTGATTTAAGGTTTCCATTGGTTCAGTCGATGTCTCATCCGTTGTGTTATGGTTAACATCTGTAGTTGCCGGTGATGTCCAGGTTACAGACTCCTATAACAACGAAATCAAAAAATGATGCTGCTACGCTTAACACTGCTGCTCCAAATTAGAAAAGTTATTAAATAAAAAATTACCGGAACTTCTGTCGCTTCTTCCGTCACATTTTTACGAAGTGGAAATTCTTGCGAAGCTCTGAGCGGATCCTGACTAGATTCGAGCGAAGAATTTTGTAACTGTATATCAGGTACTTGTGTTCCGATACTTTGGTCGCCATTGGCGAGAACTAAGGTAGCAGCACATAGTACCACCGAGAATAAGAAAGGTATAAAGTTCTTGTTCTTCATCCTTTTGATCGAAAAGAACTCTTTAATTTTGACCACGTTGGCCAGCTTGATATAGTCGCAAGATTGATACCCGACTTTCGGAAACGGCACGCAGATCGTGCACAATTTTGGCAACAGTTGAGATTATTCGGTGATAAGAATCAAAGTCTTTCTGATACCGTCGATTGAAAGTACGATCTTCCTGGTTTTAATTACTTCAAATTATCTGAATAGACTGGAGAAGAATTCGTGAAATGGCACGTATTTCATAATTTACTTATTTACTTTACGCGATAAATTGTCGCTGTTAACGTTAAACAATGATCCTGTTTTATTTTACTAAGTGGAAAAAAGGATAAGACGAATATCTTACTAATAATTTGTTTTGAATATCATTTTATTTTCCATACCATTTTTTACAGTGTTTAAAAATACTTCATTTTATGATGGAACTTCACAAGCGGGAACCAATACCCGATCAATTCGTGACGTGAGACCTTTTAATCGCACACGTTTCTCTTGATAGTGTTCCATATTGCTAAAGCAAACATTTCATTTAACCCAGTAAGTAAGGAAAGTTATATTCCAATTTAATTATCGTACTTACTTTTTCGTTGGAACTGGAACCTCAATGGCATAGTTATAATTTGTCTGCGTAGGTAGAACGTAAGAAGCAGGAGGAACATAAGTATTGTACGTATAAGTTTTTCCTCGTAAAGTGTCTACCGTGGACGTCCTTTCCATTGATGGCGGAGTAGTGCACGCTTTTTCTATCTCGATTGGATATTCAATTTTACGTGGTTGTACAAGCATGTCAGAAACAACTTTCAAATTCAACGATATAGGTATCTTTTGTTCTTGTCTCGGTGGTTTGGGTCCCTAAAATTATTCCCTCTCAAAGTCAAGTGATTTACACAATTATAATATAATATTCTACCTCAATTTTGATCGGTAATTGTCGAGTTACAACACAAGGATCTCCATAAGTTACTATTTGAACACCGTCTTTGATAGGACTACAATCACATTTCAAAGTAACAATCAAAAGAGTGGCCAAAATCGAGACTACTGTACGTAAACTCATGACTGTATTTTGGCCTTAAAATCCAGTTAAACTGCAGTCAACGATCTGACGTTCTTAATATATGTTCGGAAGAAAGTCTAATTCCTGTTTATTATGAAATTAAAAAATATTTGAGTTAAGCAATTTTTAAAAATGCTTACGAACAGGAAGACTCATTCTTTTCTTTCCAAAATAATTCTTCTACCTTTATCCAAAAATTTTGTAATCATCAAATATGTTTGAACCAACGGAAGTGCACGAATTTTTTATTCGCGGAAGTTGTAAGCTAAACAGGATGTGTTTACGGAAAAAGCGGATGGAACACACGTACCGTTGGCTACGAATTTTAAATATAACCGTCTTGTATCAATCACTTTACAAAATCATAGCCTGTTATTATTGAAGCAGTATTATTCATAAATTAGAATGATTATAAACATTCCAATGCTCCATAGAACGTTGCCAAAAATATTCCGTGTATATAATGAACATTTTCAGAATTCTGACGTAATTTCTGCCCAACAAAGGCGTTTATGGAAAATTGATTTTCTTATCTTATAAATTAAGTACTCACAAACTTTTATAGATTCGCTTGCTTCCGAAATGTTCCAAAATTTCAAAATCAGAAAGTTTCGCGTTGAACAAAAATTATTACTTTATTATTTTTAAAACATCAAATCGTAGCTAGGTCAATAATGACCTAGACCTACGAAACGCTTCTTTAATGTGAATGGAAAAAGGTGTATGAATGAAAAGAAAGAATATAACAACCGAAAAAATGGTACAAGGAGTTAAAAGAAAAGGGTCGTTAATGAAGAATACGATAGCGCTTTAAATAGCACCGCGCTGTGCATAGAGATTCATATATTACATTCCCTTCAAGACAATCATCATGTTCTACCATGTGGTGCTCGTACCAAAAATTCCCCTTTCCCCTCTTGAGAGAGTACTTCACGAAGTGTTGACAGGTTCGCTTAAACCACGGAAGTTGAAGGAATATCGTAAATTTTGAAATACAACTACGGCGCAAGAGAAAGCATTTTTGTTCTATCCTTTTCTAGATCACCGATTAAAAGTTATGTAAAGATTATATTAAATTGAATCAATAATAATTATACTTCATTTTGTATGTTGTTAATAATGTGGCTAAAGAAATTTAAAACACAATATTAATTGTATATATGTACATATATATACATGTATATTATTTATTGCTTTTGAACATATTTATGTATGTATAACAGGATTAAATATTACATATATGTTTAACAAATTAGTTAGGGCATGGTTCAGATCTTGAAGATTGGCGGCTGTCTATAATTCCACTCATTCCTCCATTAAAATCTTCAATATTATCTCGTACAATTTCTTGTTGAACTACTACCCTTCCTGGAACATAATCTGATAGAGGTGGGCCCAGTGGACCACATGGTTCTTCTGCACTATCATTAATCTCTTCGTTGTAACTTATTGCTCCATTATATTTTCTAGAGTGCATATAGGTTGCATCTACTGGTGCATACCCTAGGTCTCTGTAAATAATCAAAATTAATTATTAAATATTTAGTCGAGTAGGGGCATTCTAAATATTTATAGTTATCAGACTTACTTATATGTAATAAGACTATCTGACATTTGATCTATATTTTCTTCTTGCGTTATACTTTCACGTTCAATTGCTTCAAGTTCTGCAAGTTTAGCTTCTTCCCGCTCGTCGTAGGAACCGATAACTACTGTTCTTGGAGGTGCTATTTTCAATTCTACGACAGGCTTATCAACTGTTACAAGTTTTTCTTCTGCAATATCTAAAATTTTACTGTCACTTTTTACATCATTCGGTACTGTCCTATGTCCAAAGGATAATTTATCTTCTGGTACAAATTGTTTCCCTTGTCTGTAAATTACGTTTGGAGCTCGAAGGTTTTTATATGCAAGAGTAAGGGATACTGCATCTGCTGGTATTGCTGGGTATGAATAATCTACCTGAGATCCACCTGAAGAAGTGTATATTTTTATATTGATATCTTTAAGTAATTATAAATTGTGAGATATTATATGTAACAAACCTGCAGTATCATCAAAGCAGTCAGATGAACTTAATGTCATCTTTGAGTATTGTCTTTGTCCATTAGCAGAATTTAAATTAGCATATGCCATAGGTAATTTGTATTTTGCAGGGGTTAATTCACTAAACATTCCAGAATTTGTATTTTTATGTAATGTTACTCTAGATCCACTGAATGTTCTAGATGCGGATCCGCTCATAGTGCCAGTTTTCCCGAACGTCATTGGACCAAATACAGAATCTTGTGGCGTGCTACTCATCGCAGAATTTGAATTTTCATACATTAAAGTACCAGATTTACTTATTGCATCTGAAGAACCCGATATAATCGTTCTACTTATAATTTCTCCAGTGAGGCTATTCACACAAACTTGATAAGGAGCTACTGGATTACAGTTTTGACAAACAATTTTTCCAGGATAAGCTGGTACTACTTTTATAGTCTTTTCTATTAGCTTACCAGTACGAGAATCGACTGGAAGAGGATTACATAAATCACCAATTGGTGAAAAACTGTAAATAAAAAAGGAATTGTATGAAACATATGTGATAAATATAATTATTCATATAATTAAAAAGATCTTGTTAAGTACCTTGGTACAATTTCACCATTTGAACTCTGTGAATTATCTATATCCAAAGATTCTACTACCTTTTGATTGCTACTGCTACAGCCACAACCAGATTGATTGTCGGCATTAGTTTCAGAAGCAGATGCATCATTGTCGTATACAACCAGTGTACCAGAAGAATCTGAAGAGGTACTGCTGCCGCTGCCACAAGCATTGGAGTTACTAGTGCTTTGTGTTCCAGAGTTGCTGCTACTTTGTGATTCAGAATAACCATTTTGAGATGCACTGGCTGTTATAGTAAGACGTGTAGCTGCAGCATTATTAATTTGTTGGGGTGATGCATAAAACATAGGTTTTGGTAATTTAGTAGCTTTTACAACTACATCACTGCAGGTACAAGGATTTTTACCTGCAATCAATAAACTGTAATAAATAATCTTAAACCAAATCTGAATTGTATGTACTAAATCTATATCTGAAATATATACCTTCCCCTAAATTTCCACATGTACATTGCCGATTATGCGCATGGACGATTAACGCAAATGTTGCAAAAATGAAAAGAATTTTCAAAATTGACCTCATACTGATGAAAATCTTCTTAATTTTGCGTTGTCTCTTATTCAGATTGCTTTATATATACGATAAGATTTTGAATTCGAATATAGATTACGTAATCCGCAATGAATGGTACTTCCTGTTGCTTTTTAAATATTTTAAACACTTCCTATATTTACAGGAAGCATAGTACATATCTTTGTTCATGATTTGGTGTGCAGATGCATGAACGTGCGTTTGTATCAGTTTATATGACGGAATAATATTTTGAAGAAGTCACTTTGTACGTGATAATCCGTCATTTCCGTATTACTTGTATGTCTTGTAAATCGCGCATCGAGACACTAAGCGAAATTACTGTAAGTCTTTCAATTAGTTAGTGTAACATTACAAGAAACACCTTTACTGATAAGATTTTATTATAAAATATGAATTAGACGATATACACAATTAATACTTATAAGATAAATTAATATTATTTGTTTAACCATATACTAATGTATTTACAACAATATACACAATACACAGTATTGAAATAACGATATACTTTAATTTACTTTACGTGTTAAAAAAGTCAGCCGCTCTTTGCCTTTGAAGAGGCAAATTAAGTAAATTATCGGTGAGAACAGGTCCCTGACATCGCGTGATGGTGTCTTCAGATTCGAGACGTTTTTCAGATTTCGAAGGTGTACTTATTCGCGGAGTACTGGGTGTTCTAATACCTATCGAGGGTGTTCTCGAGGATAAAGTTCGTCGCGGAGATGGTGTACTTGCAATACGAAGTTTCTGAGTAGCTAATCTTCTAGCTGCTGGAGACATGGTACTTAAACGATCTATAGTTGATCTAGGAGATGGTCTGTAACAAAACAATCGGTAAATATTAATGCAAACGATTTTAAACAATCTTATACAAAAATATCAGATACCTACGTTGCTAATGATTTTCTTGCTGCTTCTAAAGCTTTACTTTTCCTATCTCTGTGCCTTTCTCCAGCTTTTTCTGCCAACTGTAATGCAAGCTGTTCTCTTTTAGGTGGTTCTGCCATTCTAAATGATGGTCCTTGACTTGTTCGTAATAAAGGAGTATCTCCACCATCCAATCTAAATGGTGTACCTTCAATTTGACCCCATGTCATCAAAGGGCTTTCACATTCCCCAGGTCTTGGACTTGGTGTTGCCACAAAACTAAATCCATTAACTCTAGGCGTTGGATTTCTTACAATTTCTTTACCATCAACACCAATTTTACCATCATTAGCTTTTGATTGACTCTTTGCTAACTCGTTAATAGTCTCTTTATTTTGTTGTTCATTGAATGGATTAATCCGTAACCTTGTATTTTCATGTACTACCATTTGTCTCTTTTTGGCTAAATCTATCCTTTCATCAGGAGTTAATTCAACACCATCAGGAACATACATAATATAATTTTTATTTTTATAAGCCCAACTATCTAACTGATTAGGTTTCTCATTACCATTCTCAATAGCTAAGATATCTGAATCTGCCTTATTAGTCAGTGCCTTTGAATTTTCTTCTGCTTCATACAGCCAAGCAAATTTTAATTTGAGTTTTTTTTCTGCTTCAACCATCATCTCTTCAAAACTAGCATTATCTTCGCTTGTATGTGTACTCAAATATGCATCTAATCCAGTTTTAATTTCCATTTTATCGTTATCTTTTGAAGTTACATTTGCAGGTGCATCCTCTGATGGTTTTGTTGGTTTGAATTGTTCATCTTCTGATTCAGTCTTATTCATAGGTGTTTCAAATGTTGCTGGACTAGCAGGTCTTTCAGTTGCAGGTCTTCCTGAACTATATTTCTCATAAATTTCTCTCATCTTTTTTACATCATTCTGTTCTAATGCATCCAAATACTGATTTTGTGCTTGTAGTTTATCCAAGTGTGGAAAAAAGTCTCTTTGAATAATTTCACCCATTCTTTTTATGTATGTGTCTTCGTCTAAAATCTTTGGTTGTAATTTTTTATACCTTTTAACTACACCTATTGGCTTCTTAAATATTGTCAAGTCTTTCATGTTTTTTGCTGCTTCTAGAGCTTGAGATCCTGGAGAATTCATTGTTGAACCTATAAACAGTACATTTTAATAGTTACCAGAAAACTAACAACAAAAATTTTAAGAACATATACAAACAATAGAAGACAACAATTAAAGCACTGAGACAATATATCTTTAAATACTCGAATGTTATAGAGATGAGTAAAATTTATATTTACGTTTTAGAAAAGTTAGGTTATGAAATAAAATAATTCCAACTATCTCCCCCTATTGCGTATTGCAACTATTTCTCTAATATACAATCATTTCCAAGTTTTAACAAAGCTTTATCGTTCACAATTGTTCCATAATTACTTTCTCAATTATAATCAATACAAATAATACACACGCAACACCGAAAGAAAATGCCACTTGTACAACAATTAGATTTAACCAACGAATGATAACATGATCTTTTAGTGTAGCATGTGGCGCCATTACGCGTTCAACGAGGGAAGAACTAAATGACAGTTACATACCTACGTACTTAAATTCTCTTACATTTTTGCTACATTTATCGCAAATATAATATTAAATTATTGCGTAAAAATAATAATAACGCTAGTTAAAAAACAGTAGTATTTAAGTCAACTATTACTTACACTGGAAATGCATAAATATTATAAACGAATAAAGCAACAATCTTTACAAGGTAATTATCAACGTCGATGGGATAAAACAGTAACCTGTTTTAAAGTACAATATAAGATATCCATTTTTATATGAAGTCTCAAATTAGAATATTAGATCAAAAAATTTCAAGCTATTTATAATTTATAGATCCTAAACGTGACAGTATGATTCATAATAAAATTCCCACGTCAATTGTATATCGTTGCATGTAATAAGTAAGAAGTCAGATGGAATATGAAAATCATTATATGCCGTTAAATCTCAGAGCACGATAATGTAATTATTGAAGTCCATAACAGATTGACAGGGTGATTGTCATACCGTATAAACACGGCCCTGGTTTTGGCCACTCAGTAAGTAGCCGAAGTGATATTTTGGTCGAGCTGGGACAGTGGGATGGGATATGATTGCCTTCTCGTATTGCTGTGCTTGAGACATGAGCTCTTAGAAGAAAAGAGGAAGAGAGACCGAGCAAAATGATCCGAGAGCCTCCGAGGTGTTTGGAAAGGCACGATGAAAGACATATGAGGATTCCAGCGGCGAGATAGGATATGCCTGCCGACTATGTTACGGCGAAAATCTTTTGAGGCCCACCTTACGCATGTTGCTTCTTTTTCCCGATTTTTTTCTCAAAATCGGTAGGTCTTGAATTTAAGCAAAGAAATTTGATAAAAGTGTCGATTCCATAAGAAAAAGGAAGACTTCCACTTTTGAAATTCAAAGACCTTCTTTATGTTATTTTATGATTTGATATTTCAGATTCCATAAATTCAAGTGAGTTTGCCACGCGGCGAATTATCACGTGTCAATAATAATTATTAATTATTGTAAGCAAAAATTAGAACATAGAGCTTAGTACAACGATGAAGAAAGTTTGAAATTCATGGTGGTTTGCGGAGCACGTGGCGCTGTCAACCTCGAACGCGAGTCAAGAAAGACGTCCCTCTATTTACGACATAAGGTAAACTTCTTTTAGGTCTTGCGGTTCACGGTCAGTGTCTGTCTTCAGATACTTCGCTTGCTTGGACAGTTTTCGTGGCACTAACAGACATGTCCGTCCTTCTTCCTGTCTTCCTCTTAACCAGATATATTTCCAATAAATTTTATTTCTAGGATCAGAAGACAACCTAATGAAACGAAAAAAGAAAAGTTAAAACAAATTTTGCTGTAAAGGTGGATTGTAAGATTTGGTGCAGGAAATGACGCGCGCGCGCACGTGCGCGTAGGAGAAGAGAAAACAGAAGCGTTTGCCATTTTGGCACGAAGTTAAATTTACGATGAAACCCAATTTTAAATCATATTTGTTCCAAGTCACCTGTCGTCGTGCAATTAAGGAGGATGAGTCGACAAGTGGTAACCTACGGTCATTTTGTTGTTACTAATAAGATCGTGGCACATGCTAACGACTATGTTTGTCATTTTTTAACGTTAATTAGACCATTCGATTGCAACGGTAACGACTATAAATTCCTTCATATATTTCTTTGTCACTGTACAAATAGATCATTTTACTTTATCGTAATATGTTATTCGATTATATTCATCTGTTGAATAAAATTCGCAGTGAAATCTAATTTTCGCTGTCCGAAATTTTATCATGTTCTTAAATTTTCTGACGTAATTATAGAATGAAAACAGTTCACGGGACATGTGAATCGGACTCAATATTTAAATAAAAGCGACCGAGAAAAAGAACGGTGACGACGCAGAAGTTTAAAAAGTAGACAGAGAGATGAAGGTTGCAGACGTAAAGCATAAACAGTGGAGGTGCGATTTGACGCGCACTCAGCCATCCAAGGCACATCTCGCTCGTTGAACGTACGCTTTAAGAATCCCGAAGAAGCGACCAACCCAATGGCTGGAATCTGTAAATCTGTCATTGCGGCCATATTCGTGCGGCTGGTACCGCAGGATATGAACTTCTGCTCGTCGTATACGCCACCGTCGTACAACTCTAGATCTCTGCGTTTCTCTTCTTTTGAGAGCTTTGCACCGAAACGGAAGCTTCTCCCTATTTCTAGAAATAACAAATTTTCTTTTTGTTTTCACAAATGCGACAAACTCTAAAAGACTATTTTTTATCATTCTCTATCGACAAAGTCAATATTCTTTAAAAAGTACTAGAAGTTAGTAAAGGACTAGCTTTACTTTGTCATAATGCGTTTGTACTTTTTCAGCTTCAGTTAACTTATATGTACAATGTACATCTATGACGAATTTGACTATCATGGATCTCAACCTATCCTGTTAACTCACCTATTACAACTTGATACTTTTCAATTTATGTAACATATCAATGCTCAACTGAGAAGATTGAAGAAGTTAACGACGTTAGTTTTATACTTTATAATGGAATCGAAGGATAAATATCTTTTATTATAGATGATGTTATAGAGATTGCAGATTCTGTGAAAAGCTCAAAAGCTATTTGGTTGTATCAAACTGTGTGGAAACTATAAAAGCCGTGGCAGTCGTCGCACCGTATACGCGGTATTCCCTCTGGTAGCTAGCGATGACGGATTCATGGCCCGTGGGATAACGCAAGACCGCACCCCGAGATGTTTCGGTTTACGGATGTACGCTCTTTCCTTCTTTTTTCTCCTATTTCTCACCTTTTTTTTTGGTTTCATCTTCCGAGCGATTCATTTGTCGGTCTTTGATCCGCAACCAACAAGCTACTACCGGAAAATTAGCGAGATTTATTAAGCGGTTGTTTTCCCTAAAACGTGATCTATCATTCATTTCTCTTCTGCTTTTATTTATTTCACGATATTGTAGAATATACGCCGTTTATTGAATAGACGTTCAAGAGGCTTGCATTTGGGTGGTCAAAAGAGCAAGTGGAACGAAGGAAACGTGAAAAATTCCAGATACGTTGTTGGAGGTCCTCGAACCGTGTTCTCAATAGGATACGCAGAACCTGCAAAGGTCTTCAATACTGCAAGAAAAAAGGTTATGGTTACACGGTAAAATCTCACATGCTTTTTTTTAATTCTAAATCTTTTCATTTAGAAACTTTTTGTTATTACTTTATACATTTTCAGATTCAATTTATTAAAGGAAACATATTTGTCAGAAATACTTTTGTGAACATGTTTACACATTTTCATAATTTATCAAGTCGATCACATCTACTAACAAACTCGTATAATTCGTGAATCGACAGACGAAGTACCCTTTTTGCTTCTGCACCACCCCAGGAGATTTTTTCCCAGTTCTACACACTCACGGCACGGAGTCCTTTGAGAACAGCTGATTCTCGCGAACAGAGGTACCACCAGTAGTGCGAAGTCAACTAACCCCGTCAAGGGGTTAACTGTCATGGGGCTGGTACCTTCGAGAAAGATGAAAGAATGAGCGAAGATAGGCCGACGGCGGCTTTTTATTGCCGGCGCCGTCACGCGTCACCGATAAGCGCGGTCTCTCTATAGACGAAAAGTTTGTAGCTCACACCGGTACCCTCGAAACACGAGATTTCTTCTTCTTCTCTTCTTCATCACCTCTGCCCTCACCAACCCTTCAGTTAAAAGAAAGTTCCACTTTCTTTGTCGACGCGTACTGAAAATCGTAAAACTGCATCTAATACTCTCCGACAAAGTACTTGACAGAAATTTAAGTCACAATGGGTTGTCACGTATCAAATAATTAATTGCGAAATGCAGAATTTAATGCGGTTGTAAAATAAAAGGTGGCAAAGAATTATAAGTGAAGGTTGATGGAGTATGAAATCAAGTTTGGCAGGAAACTAATCTCAACGTGAATGGTTACTTGAACCGCTTTGATCTTTTTTTTTTATTCCCGTGCTTTGCGACAGAACTCGTGCAGCTAGCGAGTGACTGCAAAACGTTTGGATGCACGAGGGAAGATATTCACTGAAAGTCATTAAGGATACGGCTATAATATGTTTACACAACGAAGTTCTTCGCGTCGCCATCAATCATGAGGCACGTCGGTCCATCCGTTTTTCTACGCTTAGGAACTGTCAAGCTTAGCCGCTCGAGTTCCATGCCGTTTCACTTTGTTGGCATTAGTTTGTCTTTTCTAACAGTTCTGACAATCAACTGCATTGCTACATGCTCTTAAAAAATGTTAGGAACACCCCGCGATGTAAACTCAATTAGACATGTATAGGTCGACGGCTCAATTCACTGCTATATAGTTCTACTATTTTATTATTTGGTTGCTTAGTTATTTAGCGATATTCTAAGATTTGTGACACAACATTGTCTCTTCTTCGACCTAATTTTGACTATTGGAATGCTAATCAAAGAGAATGAAAGGAAATAAGGGATTCATGAAAGGGCACGTTGAAATTGCACTTTAAACCATAACACTTGACATCAGGTTCACGTTTATTTCACAAAGTTCTCCTTCATTCTATTTTCCTTTGAACATGTACAGCAACAGTTGTGTAATTAGAAGCGCTCTTGAGTTGCTTAATACTAGTAGGTTCTCCAGGGATAAGCGTAAGTTTGAATAGGGAGGAAAGTTTCGAAACACAATGGCACACGATACTTGGGGAATAATTTATTAAGGCACTTAGTAGCCAAGCTCTCTCATGGGTTGTCACGGTGCGTTTACTTTTCCTGTCTTGGCTCGAGAACGTTTTAGGCTCGTTTGGCATTTCAGACACCCTGTATAAATAGATGCACTTTGCTCCTACAAAAGGCACTTTCTTTTTCGACCGTTCAACCACGATCTACGACATCAACCGATTTGTATCACACGATTCGATCATCGTGTACAACGGTGACACATTTCAACTCTTTTATCCTTCGTCGAGATTCTCCAATAAATTGTCAAGCATTAAGGCACGTTTAACGAATGTCATAAGTACTTTAACATTTTAAAAGTTATTTATCAAAGATATATGTTTTTAATAATAAATAATGTAGATAATGGCTACAACAATTTATTCGAGGATCTTCTGCTAAAGGAAACACGACAAAAATATTATTTCTTTTTAATAAACCGCTCTTAAAATTCTACTTACAACAACGCGTTAGATACGAATATAATTTAGTTGATTCTATACTAAATACTTAAGATTATTGACATCTTTGGTATAACTTTCGAAAATATTCTCTATGATTTAGTCTTTGATAAGGCACGACTTGTTTGACTCGTTAATCGTATAATACTTACTCTTCGGTACATGTTTTAATTACATTAAAATCCGCTGACAAGGCATTAAGTCATAAATCCTACCGATCCCCTCAATCACCGATTATTTCGATACCTTTTATAAATCTTTGAAAAGTCTCTTTTTACGGATCAGATACATTTTGCTATCATACAAGTATGTATCTATCTTATCACGATCACAATTTCCCACATAAAAAAGAAACTTCACTGAAGCGTTCACCAACATTTTTGCAGGAAATAAAGAAACACATCCTGAATTATCGTGGTCCATACAAAGACGCTCCTGGATGAGGATGATGAGGATGCGCAGGATAATGAACCGAATTTATGTGCGCAGTTGATTGTCCATGATGTGCAGGATAAGCCCATGGTCCCGTCGCTGTTGGGCCGTAGAACTGATGATGCTCTTGACTCGATATGCTTGGAATTTGTACAGCAGGTATAGCGTTCACGTAACTGGATGACAGTACGCTAGTACTCGCGGTTGCTGGTCTTTTCGCAGGGTTTTGCATGCTGGAAACTGCAACTGAATCGCAGTCGTCGGATTCACAGTCACGGAAACCTTTGGCAAATGGATTGCTAGCGATCTTCAACTGAGTTATACGATGATTCTGGTAGGCTGTTACCGCGGTGAATCGAGTCTCGGAGAAAGTGAACGTTTTGAAGTTTTCTGTGCGAGGATCTGGAGCCGAACCGGGTGGTGAGGGTGCCACTACCACGTGACAACGTGGTTGATATCTGTGCATCGAGTTTAAGATTATCTGAAACGCAAGGAAGCAAACAGAAGTTATTAGTGGAGTAAATGATATACATTTTAACTTGGAAAGGAAAAAGAGAAGTTAGTTGCAGTAATTCATAGCGTAAACGCTTACAGTAAATCTGGAAGAAAGCTTATCTCTGGGAATACAAATATCCCAGGTTTTTTCAATGATCGTCTGTTATAATCGTTATTCTAAGACAGTGGTCGTAAGGGGGTAAGAAGAAACGAAAAGGAAGAAGAATCAAAAGAAAAAAAAACACGTGAGGACCTTCCTTTTTCTGGAGGAAGGACCACCGCAGGGGGGCGGTTACAATGTTTGACAGCCACAAGAGACTCGGTGACTAATTAGTGTAAAAACTAACCCTGCGACCTACTCTGGCAACCCGACACCTTCGTCCTTCCTCCCGCGCACACTTACTGGCATATGCTAGGGCATGTGTCTCTTTGGATACATCGAAAGAAGAGCACAGAGAGGAAAGGAAAGAGGAGATGAAGAGTCATCCTCACAATACGAAAAGCGTGTGTGTGGCCTGACACTGGCAACTAAGGAATTTGGACACGCGATTCTTCTTATTCCCTTATTCTATTGTTTCAATTCATTAAGAGTTACTCTTTAACTCAAAACAGTAATAAAATGTCTGCTTAGTACATTCACTGATTAGAGTAATCTGTATTTTCATGCTACTATGCTTTTCATGCAGGAACACATAGGGGATAGAATGCCAATTATAAAACAGAAATTGTCGAGAATTTCACTGCGTTGGATTCCAATTTTTTACAAAGCTGGGTTGGCACGTCTGTCCAAGAGCAATTAAAGGAACAAACTGTTTCATGGCACATGAAAGAAGGGTCTACGAGTCAAAATTCTTTCCGCGCGTAAAGCAATAAATTCTCGAATGGAACACGAGCCAAAACCATCAAGAAGTTTCCCTCTCTTTCTCTCTCTCCTTCTACTTTATAAGCGCACTGATTCAAGAAGATTCGTTTCAACAAAACAATGGTAGGTTTACATATCTGCCATTGAATAATTTACGCGCGAAACCCTCATTTTTCAAGGATTAATAAATGTATACTAACTGTAAATAGTAGAAGCCGTCAAATGAATCTGTCGGCGTAAAAATTTGATCCATATTTATAATAACCGACAATACGTTGAACAACAAGCTGATTATTTAAATTTTGAAACAGGTAAATCAGGACCAATAGCAACCAAATGGAAATTAATTCCAAGAGGACAAATTTCGACATTATTTTTGATGGTGTTAACGGGTGATTCCAAAGATTCGCGCACCGTCCTCCCACCGATTAGTGACTGAAGAGGGATCAAATTCATTAATCGGGTATGCCAATACGTCTTAACACTGAATCATTTCGTTTGCAATGGTGCTTGACACGCTGAGTTTGGCACGGATACATAGGGACGATTATTTTTAGCGCAACCGCAGGTGCATTAGGACACAATGAAGAGGGACGAGGGTTAAGAAAGACAGAACGTAAAGCTTCTTGAGATTCGACACGCGAACTAGAGCGTAACAAATAGCTTTTTTGTTTCCTTGTCTGAACATGACTATTCTATAAACATCATTTTTCTCTTGGAAGTAACACCATAGAACGACAAAGTAGTATACGTAAAATTTCTTATTAATATAAATTTGTAGTGAAATTCTGAGATTTGTCTTACCATAGTAAAAAATTATAGTTAAAATAATATTTTTTACCAAACTTTTTGAAACTCTCTTAGGCAGACATTTGTAATTTCCAACGCTATGGAGGATTCTTTCGTGCTGGTAATTCTTTGGAAAGTCGTAAACACGTTCAAGGCTTCACTGTCTTTCCCAGGCTTCCAAGGCTTCGTTTATATTACATATGTTTACGTTACTTTACGCACGGTACAGTTTCTATTGCTGTTCCCTACTCATGGCGACAGGAGAGCGGGATTAATAAGGCGTGGACAGGAGAAGATCTAAAGAGTACACAAAGTGGGAGTGTGGTGCTCGAAATACGACGAAAGCTAATGATAGAGTTCCGATACGAGCAATAGCGATCGTTCAACTGATTTTCAAGTTTATATGTCAACGAACTATGCGAGATGCCGCCTTTCAATATCATTAAAACTTACTACAAAAAATATAGATATGTTATAAAAACACTTCTTTTGCCCGTTTCAAGTATGCATCTCGTATAGAAATAATGTCATTGACTCGTTTGTGATGCAATAAAGTTTCATGTACTGGTAGGGCATAAATCTGAACAACGTGTTAAAACAATTATTACTACTAATTACTCGCAAGACGATAATAGCTTCTAATGCATCCATGCTTCATTGTCGTACTTTATAACAGGTTTATAACAGGTGTAAAGCTAAGATGAGTATAAGACGTTTCATTCAGGAAAGAATGAATATTGCATCTATAAAGGTACTTAACAGATTAACTGTGCGTAATGATTTACTCCTTAAAAAATTGTACCTTCCATTGTCAATATTTCTATAATTCTAACTGTTATAATTTCTTTTTGAAGGTGTAAAGAGATTGAAAAGATCAGCCTGTGATAATAGTCGCGTAAAGAAACGGATCGACCATAGATGTTTACCGTGCGTAGCTCAGGCCCTTATAATTTCTCGTGGAAGACGGGCTCGTATCTCAGGTCAATTAAGGCGAACTCGTCCGTAAACGACAAACACGTGGAACACGATACATACTGTCGCAAAGACTTCCCTGCATCCCTCATTCTACTTTATTACGTAGGTGTTCCTCTTTCTCACCACTTTCAAAATGAATTAGTCTACTTTATAACCATTCCCAACTTCTTTTCCAGAAGGTACTTTTTTATGATAAATTGAAAAGTATTTCAAAAAGTTGACACGAAATTTCAAACACCATAAAAAAGACGATTTATCAATGTATAAGAAACTTACATGTCCGTTGTCATCCAGTTGATTGTTGGTGAGTTTCAACTTGTCAAATGAAACCGGTTGCTTCATCCAGTGTGCACCACTGGCAGGACTATCAGGGTGAACATGGATCCTCGGGGGTGAGACCGGATCCGCACGACCAGCAACTACCCATGCACTGCTGTGGAAAGCATATCTGTACCTCTTGTCATCGCAGGGAACGAAGTCCATCACTAATAGGTAATCGGTGTTTGGGTCCAAACCGAAAAACCGACACTGCAAAATTAAAATTTCCTTTTTATAAGTTTCCAAGTTTTTCCAATATTCTAAGTTTCAGATATTGTTTTAAAAGAAACGAAGTGATACCTGAAAGGTAGGGAACATCCTTCTTCCAGCTTTGGTAACAATCATTTCGGTTCCTAATTGATGGAATTCTTCCCAAAGTGGTTTCGCCTCGAGAGCAGCTCCAGCACCGACCAAAGCAGGATGAAGTGGCCTTTTCGAACTGACTTCTTCCGCCGAATTAGCGCCATTTTCGCTGGGATGATGATCTCCGTGATGATGATTGTTGTTATTGCTGTCATTACGAGATTCGATGGTAACCGTAGAAGAGACTGAATTTGCAACCCGCGAAGTCAACACATTTTTCGGTAAGTTCGGAGGGCTACGGGATCGTTTCACTCTTCCAGCTGATTGCAAACACGCTGAAACAATGCACAACAGGAGTGCACAACGCGAAGCTATATAACATCCTTGCGTGGTGAATAGACACATTTTAATAGCGTATAATACAGTAATGAATTAATTTTAAACTTAGTAGATGCTATTCAATCCTTAAGAAATAAAAGTACCTTCCATTTGTTGCATAGGTGATGGCACATTAGTGATGGACTGACTATGATGACCCTGATGATGTGTAGCCCATTGCTGATAACAACAATCGGCAGTGATGTCGTGTCTCTGCTCATGTTGCTGTTGCATCCTTGCTAACTTCCAAGCCGCATCAACGAGATCCTTTATCCTTCTTTAACAACTTCACTATACCAACTTATCTAATTTTTTTCAATCTTCGATGATTTAATTTGAACTGTCATTAACTGCACATAATTTCTTTGTAATTACTTAATATTTCACAATCGAAATCACCATCGTATCTGTAACTAAACACGCACCACCCCCTTGGGAACACTTTAAGCTTTTCTTTTCTATTTACGATCTTTCTAGTTGGCATGGAACAATGGACCGACAGATGGAAACGGGTACATCCCTCGTTGTCAACGATGAAACAACAGGAAGAAAGAGAAATCGGTGGAGAATGCTTATCTTTCTTGTGGTCGGTCGGTCGTTAAGTTGTCGCAATCAGCGAGGTTCGAGATCCTGGCGGAATATCAGAGGATGCTCGACATCGTCGACGGGTTCTCACACCTCTCGTCAACAGGACTTGTCCTCACCTCGGTATCCGGACGCTGACAAGAGCTTAAAGCTCGCCTCGTGAATTGGATGAATCAGAAAGAACTCCCCCGAGTCGACTACACACCTCGTGGCTTATCATCGAGACATCACTCTCCTATGTGTATATATTCCCTTTCTCTTTTCATGAGGGAGAATCTCCTCCTTCTTCTCTACTTTTCTGTTGGTTTCCTGAGATGAACCGATTCAGAGATAGTGGAGAGGAGGATTGAGAGGCAGGGAAGGTTTTCTACAAGGAAGGAGGGGTTTCCGGAGGATCCTCCTACGCGGGACACCCACGCCAGGCTAACTTCGGTTCACGCGGGACGCTGACTGCAACCTCTTCCTTTGGATCCCGTGCCAAAAGGCGGAGTCTTCTCAAACGAGAAGAAACACTTGGGGGGGAATAGAGCATGAGGTTTGCCTTCTCAAGAGAATGAAAAACGTTTCCTTGTGTATCACACGTTTGGTCGCTAGACCACTAAGCTTAATTGATTAAAATGAGGTGATGATTCCTGTGATACCTTGCGACGATCGACTGAATTAATTTGCTTTAAGTAAACGCTATATATTTCAGCGGGAATACTTCCTCTTTTGGAAAAATTCTTTTCTTCTTTGGATTTGGAGCAAAAATCGTTGACCACTTGTTACATACCATCAAAGGAAATTATCACGAATAATCTTCAATCCTTTAATATGTACATTTAATCCATGCACGCGGACAAGGTAATACAGAAAAGTCCAACTATTTAATTAGAAAAAATTGAAATGTATTCTACTGTAAGAAAAGTAGTTCACTTTCATTAACCGTTGTTCTGTTACAGGCGGAGGTTTAATGAAGAAATATTGTAGTTTTTAATAGACTTTTGTAAACATATCCAATAGTTAATGGATGAAATTTGATGGAAAATAATGAAACATTTATATTAGTACGTTATATTTGTATAGAACTGAAAGATTAATCATTTGTCTATACGAGCTACTTTATCCTGGATAATCATTTATCAGAGTTTACAACATCGCATAAATTATCCTCGGTAAGAAACCAAATCATAACTCGGACGTTTTTGCGCTTAATTTTCATCTCAAATGTTCACTCAATGTTCAGACACATTAATGTTTCTTCAATTTAATATTAGTGTGGAATTTGTGAAACTGTACCGCTAATACCATTTAACGGTGCAGTAGTAAATGACGTAGGAAATACTGAATTTCAAAGATTTTACCGGTATATGTTATCGGAAAATCGACGTTTTGAACTTTTCTGACGAACTACACACATTGCCCTTATTTATAAATTCAAACAGAAAGTAATTTCTTCTTTGATTGCTCTCATCGTTAGATGGCGCTAATTGTATCTTTTTCGTGATATGCGTTGATTAAATAAAAATTATATTATGGTAAAATGATTGTTTGCGTTCAAACGCTTTCAAAGAGAAAATAAATTTAAGAACATTGATTCGGAAGAACGACTTTATTTGTTAATAAAAAGTTCTTCATTCACTTGATACATTTAATCACCCTAACTAGAAGGATGTTATAAGTACAAACATCTATCTGAAATTGATACATATTCCAATTCCTGTACTTATTCGCAAGTTTCATCGTTACTTTTTAAAAATGCATTTTCATCTAAAAGTCTGGTTTAAATATGAAGTATCGGTAATTGTACATAATAGTGCTGACAATACATGAAATTTCACAACATGACAATTCTATCAGCTTCAGTTCGTTCTTGATAACATAATTGTCAGCACTATTGAATAACTAATCAAATCCTCCTTATTTCTTTAGCACGAATACAAGCCTACCGTAATCTAAGCCGCTAAAAGTACTTAGTCAAAAAATAGTCGAAAAATGTATCGTGGAAAAATGAATAAATTTGTATAATTAAATACGGAGGAGTTCGTTAATTGTTCGCGAGTAATTATTATTTTTTTTTTTAGAATACACAATCTAAAAATCTTTCATAGTTCAGACCGCTCTGCTTGGTATTCAAGTTTGTTAGTTAACGAGTCATCTATTTGACGTATAAAAATGACACTTCTATTACTTTCATCTAACCGAGAAGAATTATAATGAGCTTGAAAAAATGTTGCTAATAAACGTAAGTTCGATTATAATTCTGATCGGATTATTATGAGTATATTTATTATTTAATTTAAATATGAACTAAACTGCGAACAATTAAAGAAGTCCACGTTGCATTACAAATTTATTATTCAATATTAGTCGCAATAGTATTAACAATAGTACCAGTGGATCTTCAGGTATGTACATATAAAATATTTGATGAAAAAATCATGAACTAAACACGATGATTACGTAAAACATATAAAAGAAAAGAAGTGAAAACAAAAATATAATGAACGAATATTTTTTGTGAGTTTTATTTATAAAATAGAAATTAATGTACAAGTACAAGGGGAATAGACATGATTGTTGTTTCTTTCTCTCGTGCTAACTTTTACAATATGATACTTTATGATGAATTTTTGTCATATGTAATTTATAGTGACATCACTTAGGAAAATGGTGTACAGTATTGCCTCGAAATAAGCAACAGCTTCGAGCTTCGACATTAGCGAATTTCTATCCCCACTTCTTTAATTGAAGTCGGCTGCTGAGTGAGAAATCAGAAGCTAATCATTTTTGACCGATAAGAAGACAGAACATGTATATTGTTTTCTAACTCTAACACACAGTGATTCAAAAAGCAAAAGCAAGCCGAATAGCATACCACCTTCGAAATGAGCAACTGCCCGGAACGTATTGCTTATTTCGAGGCAATACTGTATGATCTAAACGGTGCATGAAGGGAAGCATGTAAAAAGAATGAACAAAATCAATAATATATATTTATATACTCCTGAAATTAATGAAGTTGTCCCCACAAAATAAGATCGTTAACATTTATACGATGAAATCCTTAGAAATCGGGGTTTCTTCTTACACTCTTCGTTCTTTGAATTGTATGTATACATATTTGAATAACGTCACTACTTGCATTATACACATTTACAGCTCAATTGTATATTAATTCTATTATTATGATTCCTTCCCAAAAAATTAGTAACCGCTAGAATGTTGAATCAAATCCAGAGAAGCTTCGCGAAATATATAAGTCAACGCTTTTCGAACATTATAAATTTATCATGGGATGTAGGTTTAAATAAGGAATATATATATATATGTATAAATCTTTTTCGATTTTCTTTCTTTTAGTTGTTAAAAATATGATTTAAAATCGATCTTGATTGAACAGCTAAAACGTCATTTTTTTGTGATTTATATAAATTTAATTACAAAAGCGCATTCTACAAAAACGGTTCCTTTACGAAAGTCGTATCTGTATGTCGTTTACAAATTTTGTGCAATTTACAGAAATGTAATAAAGCCGAAACTATGTATCACATTTCAAACACTTATTGTTCAAAACCACTATATGCTTGATGTTACGTATTATAATAATAATCTTAGTAACAATGTATGTTTGCATGTCACGACAGCGAAGAGTGGCATAATAAAATTGTCCCTGGCATTGTATCAATTGCATTATACCATGTTGTTTTGATCGATGATATCGTAAACGTCCTAAATAAGTCGATTTATAAAAATGTCGAAGAAAATATTATAGCGAATAATTATGAATGAGTTTGTTATGAATTTTGAAATGATATACTTCTTTTTGTAAGAATTTTATGATAGTTGCCACGAATTTCTATTCTACTTTTGAATCGTCAAACTTAGAATGAAATTCCTTCTAAACACTTATTTAAGAGTATTTTATTTATTTTTTTTTTTACTTAGAACCGTTCTATCATTGAAAAACTTTCTCCTTTTTTGTTGTTTACCAAGCAATGCCCCTCCGGATTTCATTTGTTTACTTATTGTGTCACCATAAGTAGCTCAATGGAATTCATTATAAATTCAAAAGTAATATGGTAGTAGCATTGATAATAATAATAGCGATACTAGAAGAAATAATAACAGCAACATCTTTTCTCTTACAAGAACTTAACGTTTCAAAAGATGGTAGGTTTTTGAGGGAGTTACTTCGGAGTTCTAAAACGTTGCGTTTAAAAAAAAAGATGAGAAGCAAATCTAAGGATTTCACTTCTTCTTGCTTTTGTTATTGCCACCACCTCGTGGAGGAGTCACTGGTCTATTTGCGTTGAGGCCACCATACGTTAATTTCTTTTTATCGGCTGGTTTCAGAATTTGGAAACTACACATAAGTGTTTCGTCTACGGACATCATCGCTCCAGCATTATCAAATTCGCCGCAATAATTTGGTGCCGAGAATAGAGTAACTAACTGCCTCTTTGCAAAGAATTCATAGCCATCTTCTACCACCTAAAATTTTGTTATTAATTGTAACTTATTGACTGTGTATTGTCATATCATCTTTCCAGAAGTTCAAGAACAAAATATTTAATTGAATAATAGACTATATTTAATAATACTGCACAGATTGTGACACACATACCTGATGAGCACGACATATGAGGTCAAAGTCATGCTTATGTAAAAATTTGGCAACTACTTCAGCCCCAAATGTAAATGATACGCCACGATCGTTTTCTCCCCAACCCATTGTATCCTTGTCTGGGTCTGACCACAGTAAGTCACACAATAATCCTTGATCGGGTACATCCGTTGGTCGCATGATACGTCTGATCTGTTCCATATTTTGAAGGTCTGGACTAAGACCACCATGGCAACAAAATATTTTTTCATCAACTATTGCCGCGACGGGTAAACAATTAAAACAATCCGTGAATGTTTTCCATAATTTAATGTTATATCGACGTTTACCTATACCATATTAAAATTGTTGCAATATATAAACGTGTTGATATGAAACATGAAAAATAAATAGTTCACGCTGGGTTTAATATCTCACATTCATCATAGAATCCATATATCCTGTTAATAGATGCACATTCATGATTTCCACGAAGTAAAAAGAAATTTTCAGGATATTTGATTTTATAGGCAAGAAGGAGACAAATTGTCTCCAAAGACTGTTTTCCTCTGTCAACGTAATCTCCTAAGAAAAGATAATTACTTTCTGGTGGAAATCCACCATACTCGAATAGCCGTAATAAATCATAATATTGCCCATGAATATCACCTTAAAAAAAAGGTATATTAATTTCTATAATTAAAAATACTTGAATAATACTCTTTCAAATACATATAATTATTAAATAGCATTAAAAAGCAACTTACCACATATTTTAAGCGGTGCTTCAAGCTCTAACAAAATAGGTTGTGACAAAAAAATTTCACGTGATTTCAAACATAGTCCTTTTATTTCTCCTTCTGTCAACTGCACATTTTTTCCTGGCCTAGCTCCCCGCACTAGAAGAGTTAATAAAACAAGACTTTATCTTCAAATTTCACTACTTAAATATAAATGGGCACTAGAAAGAAACCTTCTCCAAAAAGAACCTACAATTAGGGAAAAGATTCCAATCATATATTTAGCATACATAATACTCGTTTACTTTTCTGTTATCTACAAATAATAATTTGTTTCTAAAAATAATACAATTAAATATACGAAGGAAGAATTATTAAAAAAATTAGCTTTATTTATTAATATGTTTACGGGTTTAAGAAACAAACGATGCATCGCAATGAAAATGGATATCAAAAATTGTAAAGTACACGTTACCGATCGGTAACAGCACAGGCGGGAACCTCGCCCAAAAAAGTGTAAATTTCTAATACGTATTGTCAATTCCATTTCGTGTAAACAAACAATTGTCGGTTCATGCGGAATTTTTATGTTAGGTTGTATTTGGAGAAAGTTGCGTAATCGATTAAAGAAAACAGATAACAACAAGGAGGAAAAAGAAAAAAATAATTACAAGGTGAGATATCTCTAATAAAGTGTTCAACTTAGATACGAGGAAGTACGAGTATGGAGGAAGTATAACAAAGGGTGACGCGGGCGACACTTTCCTCTCATCGCGCATCTTCCCCTCCCCCTCAAAGAGGGCAAACGGCAACTTTACCTTCCAAGAGCCGAGCTATGATGTTGTCAATATTCAGTTTGTCGGATTCAGCCATCGGGCCGGGGTTTTGTGCGCGTCCCGGGCTTTACACGCAGCACCTTTCTTTAGGGATGACTTTTGATTTTCTTTGCGTGGCAAACAGCACTCAACTGTATCCGCGGTTTCGGACAAAGTACCCGCAATGGCTGCCCGGACAACCGCGCACTCCACTCCCTTTTGCCCCCTCTTAGTTCGAGTTCTTGCTATTCGATAAGATTCGATTATTCGATTTATCGAACACGTTCTATGCAACTTTTATTAGTAATTTCAGTATTGCCAATTGTTGGTTACATACTTCATTCGATAATAGAGTTATCAGATGTTCCTTTTGTGTACACGCGAATTTAATTTTTTGTATAAAAATAAATCATTTTGTTATATAAAATATTGTGTATTCTTCAACTGAACCAACATATAATTGAACTGTAGTTTATCGCTTCTATGTGAAGTTGTATGATAAACAAGTTAATATTTAAAGTCCCTAAACTTCTCTCATCTTTATATTTTAAGAATCTTATTTATTTTAATTAAGTTGGAAATAATACATCTATTAATAATTGCAGTTTACCTGTTGATTCATTTTACTCTTGCATAATGTTGCACTTTTGTTCAATAAAATATGATGGTAGTAAATAGTTACTATTTTAAATATGCCTATAAATTATCATGGAACCGTATCATGTAATATCGCGGTTTCCTATCAAACAAGTCGAAGTTGGCGGTATTTGATAACTAAGCGCAAAATTTCTGTTATAAATCTTATAAAAAATGCCAGAAAACGTGGTAAACATTTTTTTCGCTATTCTCATTTAATATTATTCAATACATTAGCGATGATTGTTTTTCCTTATATATTTGAAATATTTTAAGCGACGCTATAGGTTATATTACCGCGTCTGTTTAGAGACAAAGCAGAATGTTACCTTATCGTGTATTTAATAGTTTTTAATAAATTTTCAAATAATTATAAATTAATACAAGCATATTTTATTCAACTGATACTTGAAAAGAATTGATTTAACTATTTTATTTTTATTTGTAGCTAAATGGAGACCATGTTGATGTAAAAGCTGTTAATTGTGAAACTCAAAACAATGAAGAAGACAATAACGAAGAAGAAGTACATTTTGAACCGATAGTTTCTTTGCCATTAATAGAAGTATCCAATAATGAAGAGGATGAGGTTGAAATGATAAAAATGTAAATTTATTACTAGCAAATAATGCATGAAGTTAATATATTTATTTCATATCAATGATTGTATTTGCAGGCGAGCAAAGCTGTATCGCTATGATTCTTCTAGTAATCCTGCAGAATGGAAGGAACGTGGAACAGGAGAAGTAAAATTATTAAGACACAAAATAAAGAATACAGTGAGAGTTGTAATGCGTAGAGATAAAACACTTAAAATTTGTGCTAATCATTTCGTGACTCCTTGGATGGAATTGAAACCAAATTGTGGAAGTGACAGAGCATGGGTATGGAGCGTACTTGCTGATTATGCAGATGAACAACTTAAACCAGAATTACTTGCTATACGATTTGCAAATGCAGAAAGTAAGTATACTATTACAAAAAAATATGTAATTGGTATTAAGAAATAACTCTTATTTATAGATGCAACTGTTTGGAAAGAAGCATTTGAAAAGGCAAAGAAGATAGTAGGATCTGAATGTGAAATATATGCTGGTAAAAATAATACGGAAGAAAAACATGTTGAGAGTGATAGTGAACCTTCTAGTGATGTAAGTTATAGTGAAAGTACTGACAATGAAGAACAGGCTAAAAAGTCAATAGGAGATTCAAAGGTTGAAAATAATGATATTGAAACAATAGAAGATTCTGATAAAAAAACCAAAGATGGGGAAAGCGTGGACCAAGTATCAAAAGAATTTGAACAATTACAAGTTAAGGAGCTTGAGAAAAGCAAGTAAAAGGCTATGTGTTGGTGCATAAAAGGTGTTGATTATAAGTGCACATTCCAACGTAAACATAAATGCATGCATATGCTTAAATGTTTGATCATTGAATTTAATGTAGAAAGATATTTTAGCAATAACAGGATTAGATGAATGAAATACATTTTCAATTTACAAATAAGATAATGTTTATATAAAAGTTGGGTTGTTTGTGATTTTTAAATGGAAAATTTTAACATATACGCTATTATAAAGCAAACATTAAATTCAATGAAAATAAGAAATTAATCGATAAATTAGTAGTTTAATTTCAAATACTTGAGTTTATTCGACTATAATCTTATTAAATTTATTTTAAATGCATCTTATAAGGTATATCACAATTATGTTTCTGTTCTGATACAAAACTGGAAATGATTAATATGAAAGTGTAACCATTTATGATCACATAGCGCTTACATAAATCTGGAACTTTTTAATCGTTTGTCTGTTTTTAAATATTTTTTACAGTTTTTGACATTAATATAAATTACATTTTAAAATAATGGAATGTCTTGAGTAAAACGAATGTTATTCCCGTTCCATGTATTGTTTTGAATTGCAAGAAATGTGTTACAATTACAATTAAAATGATTGACGGATATGGAATTTAAATACAATGCTATTTTTTAAAAAGCACTCGCGATAAAATTTGTAATACCGTGTCATGTTAACTTCTTCACAATTCGTCTCTATACAAAAACGAATGAAGGATATTGCGTTTCTCTTCCATTGTGCGTTTCTTTTCGTTCGATAATTTTCCTTTTAAAATACCCTCTATTCTTGTTTGTTCTGTTTGAACAAAGACGTCTCCCCTTTCTAAAATTCTTTCCATAGTTTTAACATAAACTTTAGCTGCATTTCGTTGTGTTTCTGGTAATGTTTCTTCAAATACTTTAGCTTTGTTTAATATTTCCTGCGAAATAAAGAATTACTTTTACAATATGTAAAATTGCTTTTATAATAATTTTATAAATCATACTATTACATTACAGTATACATTACCTTCCTGTCCTTTTCACTGCTGGACTTGAATTCCTCTGCCAGTCTGTCTAATTGCTCTATACAACCAGGTAGACCAAGATATACGCCAGATTTCAATTTAATAAATCGTTTAATATTGTCTGCAGTGAATTCAGATTCTTTTTCAGCAATAAATGGAATAGGTTCTGATTTTCCTTGCAAGAATAGAAGAATGGCCGGAAAAGATTCAGATTTTATTTTATAACGAGCAGCAAGATCGGAATTATCTTTATTGCCGTAATCTTTAACTCTAACTTCAGCTACTAGTAGATCATGAGCATCTTTCGTTGCGGCGGCTACTTGTGCATATTGCTCGTGTTTTTCTCCGTACGGAAATGATACATCAAATTTAACAACTGCAGCTTTGAATTTTGGTATTACCTATATTTTGTCAATATTAATTACGAATTATTAGTTTGTAAATATCTAAATATTTTTTATAAGCTAACGCGACGTTATACAAAGCCGCCGCTAGTAAGTATCGCATTTACCCAGCTCTAATATTAGTCCTAACGATTTATAAATTTTATATTAATATTTAAAAAATAAGGCTGATCAATCAACATAATATTCTTTTGTTCGTAAATTGTACACACTATTTATTAACAAATTTATGACTTGATTAGGCGTCTGGTAACCATGGCAACAAACTACTGTCAACGAGATGAAAAAACAAATGAACAGAGATATCACTTTCCGCCATTTGTTTTAAAAATCTACTTTACAGTGTCGTTTAAAAAAATTCTATTCAATAAAAGCTATTAATTTATTAAAATTCAAATACCTTGTCAAAGGAATATGAATCCAGGGAAACGCATCCTTTGCAATCTTCAGCAGCAACGATACCGAAAGCAAGCAATATTAAAATTGATGAGAGCATTTTATAATTAAGAAGAAATTTTGTTTCCGATTCTTGCACCTGTAAAAGTAATACTTTCGTTAATAAAATTCTTTCGTTTTATATATTAATGGTAAGTTATGAATTAATTCTTCATGAATGTTCTGATGACTTGGCGGTATCTTTGAAAGAGGAAATACTTTTTTGCTGGATATATAAAAAGTACCGGTATAGTTACAACGGACCTGTTCTAGCTGTCGTTCATAACTAACCTCACAAGTTACGGTATGAATATGATCTGATGAAGTGCAGATAAAACAGACACAACACTAAAGCGCCATCGAATCAGAACAGACCACGAAATCGTCCGCTAGAGGATGTCCGCGTGATGTCGTGAGTTTTTAACCGCGCAAGTCCGGCTGTTGCGACTACACGTAGTTACAGAATAAAGGTTCACGACATTTTGAAATTGCCAAATCATACATTTCAAATGATACATTTGTACTTTCTCATTACTATATAATACATTGATTTAGGTAAATAAATCTTTGGTGGGAATATTTCATTTCTAATAGTGTTGATACTCCATTTTTCAATTTTACCGAAATTCGAAATGGAAGAACGGTTGACTCGTTTTAAATTGTTGATTGATTTTAGATGCGAATATGTACCAGGGTAAATAAAAGGTTACAATCGCTAAAATTATAATGTTATAGTTATCGAGCTTTATCGCATTAAATGTACTGTTATTGGCAGGCATACAAATCGTATCGATATATAGAAAGAGTTAAAAGATGGAGAGTAAAGAAGAAAGAGTACAAGTAACAAGAGAACAAATCAGGCAGAAAAGATATAAGGTGAATAAAAAAAGTAAAGGAAAGAAAGATCGACGAAGAACACGAAGGGTAAAAAATTAATTAGAACAACATTCGTTTAATGGTACAAAAATATACGCATAGAGTAATACGAAATTTGATCGATGAATATTAATATACCGAATCATGAAAGACTACGTGTGTAATATAACTTTGCTTTATATGAACAGATTGAAAGAAAGGAGGCAGATAAAAGTATATATATTCCAATCTAGATTCACCGTTGCCAAAGTATCAGAAGGTCGTTGTTCTACTTTTGTAAAATGTATTCACGGATATGCCGAAATGGTAGGTTCTAGTACAACGTTCGAATCACGTTCTTTTTTTACAAATTTTACCGAGTTTTGAAAAGTCATTTTAAATAATATCATTTTCAAATGTAAATTATTAACACAATTATATTTCGCGTATTTCAACAGAGATTGAATAAATTGAGAATGACTACATTGAATTCAGATTATTTGGATTACTCGGACTGGAATCGAACTAGATATCAGGTTTGTCTTAAAAGTATGCGAATGCAAATAAATTTGCAAAATATTGGTCAAGATAGGCGAACGATGGACGGTCATAGGAGTAAGTAGAAACAGTCAGCGTTTGGTTAGCCAAAGGGAGGTAGAATGGAGCAAAACGGAGAACAGAACGTATATGGGGTGTAGAAGGAAGAGTGGGCAAGGGAGGGTATTAGTCACTAGAGAACAGGTATCCGCCGTAGGCGTCGTACGTTCATTGATAAGCGTATGACGCCCCGTGCCTTAGACTCGTGACGTCACTCAATCGCACAGACGCCTGCGCTTCTATCAGGGCCGTGTCTATCGTACGGTTCTTGTCCCCAAATTTGCTTTCTTCTTTCTACGTCTCTTCGACTACGTAAGTCGGTTCCAACTACTTCGCGGAGTGTAAACCAATAATTGGATACTAAATATAAATGCCGACAATTCCGTATTGACTGTATTGCTCCGTTATAAATTCTTTTACGTTCCTCAGGTACGGTCACAAATATCATGTTGGATCACACAGGGAAAAAGAGGGGAGAAGATGGAAAGAGAAAGTTTCTTTAATTGACGAATCACAAAGTTCTTGCACGTTTAAGTTTTCATACTACGATTGCTTTAATTTCGTTTTTTATTTTTTAACCACGTAGATGGCTGCTCCATTGAAAAATAAAACGGAATGAAAGGAAATTGTACACGGGATAGCGAGCGAGAGAAAGAAAATAGGCGTAGAGGGGTGGAGCATAGACGAACATAGGCACACTGGGTAAGTGGATGGAAAGGAAAACAGAGATAAAGAGAGAAAGAGAGGAGACGATGGAAAGAGGGCAGGGGTGGATAGAGAGGGGACAGAAGAGAAAGAAAGACAGTCGAAGGAGTAAAAGGAGAGAGAAAGTCCGGTGGATCGTCTCCCGTGTATTGATTGGTCTTTTGTGAAAGCTACACCCTCGCGTAACCACAAGACGAACCATTCCGTAAAGTCACTAGACTTGCCAGGGTGTATCATATGTTTTCTAGCTAACTATCACGATACGCCATGTTTGATTTTCCACGATTCAAACTACTCTTTTAGTATATCGCTCAGCTGGATATTTCCAAGATAACTACCAACGTTATATTGGATCGACATTGATCATTAAAAATGCTCGGTTTTTTATAAATTTCCAATAGATAATCGTAAAAATAAAACATTAGTTATCGCATGATAGAATAGAAACGAAACAAGCGATCGCAAGGAATCCCTAGCAGCGAAGGGGCTCTATATCGGCATCGATCGTAGAGTGACCCATATCTGGTGGTGACGGGAGTCCTTACCCCAGACCTGGCTGCTTTTCCAGCGGCAGCACCCTTCGCTACCTCCTCTCTCTCTCTTTCTCTCTTTTTCCCGGTCCTACATCCCCTCCATAACTCGGGTACTCCCACCATAATCGTGTCTACCCCCACTCGTTTCCCCTTTCTCCGCTGGACAAGCGAATATACCTCCTCCTCCGATTTCCAGCAGCCCTGCCGCCTGCCTTCGACGGCCGAGCAGATCTTGGGGCTTGTACGGGATGATAGCCGAGTGAAAAAGCTCGCGAGTCCCGTGAAGTTCGCTCATCAGCAGCAGCAGCCCTGGCCTGCCACAATCCCTTCGACTCGGTTATCGTAAGTGTCGTGCAACCCCGTAAAAAAAGCGTAAGCGAAACGAGACAGGCCGTGATTAAACCGAAACGAGAGATTGTGTAAGATCGTATGATAGAAGGGAAAGGAAAAGGGGAAGGTTTGTTAGTTTCGACTAAGGAAAGAAGAAATAGAGAGATAGAGAGAGAGAGGGAGAGAGAGAGAGGAAGAGAATGAGCGAGTGAACAAAAGGTATGCCTGGGTATGTGTCTGCGCGTGAGAGAAACGAAAAAATCTATTACCGTAGTACATGTCACGAGTGTCCGTCCGTAAAAAGTGTCGAAACAGAAGGTTTCTTCGAGGATCGCTAAATGTCACTGGAAAATTTCACCTTCCGATTCCGTTCGAATTACTGGCAAGATAAGGTAGAACATTTTTCACGGTACCGTTGCAACGACGATAAAAATACAGAATGCTAATGGAACGAGCAAAGGAATAAATTTGGTGGAGAATTCGGTGTAAAACTATTAACGTTAAAAGATCGTGAATGAAGAGGCAGAAAGGGTGACGGTGACGGTGGCACGGTTATCATTGTAACCATATATTGGAACTCGTGAAGAAATGCATCGAAGGGTTGCTCGTGTCGCTGTTGCCCTTACTCGTGGTGGTAGCAATTGGCAGTTCATAGTGGTACACAGTGGTTGCACTACGTATCGTCGTGCAGTGGTGTCCCGTGCGCACCGGGTGTATATGTATACTACGTACCATTAGTAGTGAGATCAATAAGCAGTGCCGTGCCACTCGACCCGTGCCCACGAACGGAAACTCATTCTGAATCTCTCCTTTCTTTCTCGCCTTTCAATTCGAACTGTGGTTCACATCCCTTCTTTTTCAACCGGAATGTCGCAAGGTCACTTTCATTTGTTTCCTTTCTGAATTTTTCATCGTCTCTTGAGAGCTTCGAAAACGAGTGTCTCTTTTTTGAACGGTCAGGCCATTGGTCCGCTATTTCGGTGTTGTTCCCTATGCGTGTACCGGTGTCTATTCGTCGCTTCCGCTCTTCACGTACATCGACTGTTGTTTCCTTCGTCCGTTATTGGATTAATCGGTACGTTTCACTTTCATTCCTCGATAATAGCAAGCGTTCTTGTCTCTATCGTTTGAAAGAATCTTGTCGGCGAAACCTTGAGCCTCGTCATTTTCGGTTGTAACGAACACTTTTGTGTCATCGGCAAGCTGTAATACACTTTCTTAGTGGTGCATGTTCAGCTTGTTTGCTTTTAGAACCTTTCAGTAGATCTAACCGTCTGACCACTGCGACGGGCAATTAATATTTTAGCTGCAAAATTGAAATTTAGTTTTATAGAATACCTTGAATTGCAAGAAGAGAAATATTCTTCAATTTATTATGTACCATAGATAGATGTCGTTGGTTAGATCTTACTACTCACGCCTAAAATTCTTCAGTGGATTAAAATGTCTCGTCTGACCGTGATTGGATCGCGAGCTGATTTAACCGGTAATATTAAGCTACCGCAATCATAAAATTAATAAACCCCTCATAAAAAATTAAATGACATTTTTATTGGATCGCAGGGGATGATAGAACGCTGCTATTCGAATTTACAATAATTACAAATTAAACGCGATGGCAGTCGTCTAATAAAATTATTTTGAATTTCAACATTCAGGTTCTTTCGCATAGTTATCGATAATACTTCGTCATCTTGTCAGCAAAATTTAAGCTCCGACCAGCATATTTCTCGACAATGATGTAAGAAAGAAACCTATTAGATCGCTTAAATGCACCAGTTCAGAATACGAATATTTATTAATTTCGAATAACTATTTGTATAGCCTTAACTGTAAATAGTATATTTAAGAAATGGATCTGATAGGAAAATTGTAATTAGAGTATGTTTCCTTGCGTTCTCGGGTATATTCGCGTCGAGAATAACTTCTCCGAGTTAATGTATGGAAAGAAATTCTTTTTTTCGAGAAAATTTCCCGACAGCGTATCGTGCGAGGATAATAATCAACGCATCGATAAACCCGATAAAAATATGTCGCCACAGACGACGGTTCACGCTTGAGTGTAAAGTGTTGAACGGAACGAAGGTCGACTTTCGATCGTGTCCGGTGTATTTCAATCGAAACTTCCCCGAAGAACCTGTTGCCAGTAATCTCATCGATTCAATTTCTCCCATTTAAGGGCAGAATAATCGTTAATTCAGAATATCGAGCTCACTGTTTGCACATACGTACATACGGTTGTTTGAAAAAGATTACTTTCACGCGTGCCACCCTCCACGTGTGGTTATCAGACTCTGTAAAATCGTTGCGACGTTACTGTGTGATATTCAGATTAACTCCACGATAAGAAATAAGTTTGGTTCCTACGACGCATCAATGCTGTGAAGATTAAGCGAAAATGTAGGGAAAATTAAAATTTTAAATTAAACTTTGCGTTTTCTTGAAGTTTCAGTATGCATAATGTTCACTTTCACTGTAACGATCAACGCGCTAGCACAGTAGAATATGTCAGCCATGTCTGACACGGCACGCTATAATATGGAGAATTACAAAAATTCTGAGATATAAGAAGTCTCAGGAAAATTATTCTACATTTTTGAGTAAACGATACGTCATAAGAAACAAGCTATTTCCGCAATGTTTCTACGCTCGCTTATCATCATAATTAAGCATTATAATTTTTGTTCAATCCTCTGTAGCAATCTCAGAAGCAAAGTTTAATTCCTAGAGGGGAGATGTGACTATTTATATTATTTTTATTTACAAATTTTCATTTTGTTAATTATGAACACGTAAAATCGTATCAATCGATGTTGCAATGCACGGAGGATTGAATGCGAAGGTTTTTTTCGTGGTGGATATACGAAGAAGGAAAGTAAGTGACTTGCACGTGGGGAAGGGAGATATATAGGTTATTATGGGGAACGAGAAAAAAATTCCTTTTCGCACCCAGAAAGAATCGTACACCTAATCGTGGGATCGTCGTGTGCAGCCTGGCAGGCCCCGCAAAAGCCGCCAATTAATTAAGATAGCTCCTAGATACACGGTAGATCGATAGGGACTGGCCGTGATAAAGACGGGCGAGGGTTTCAGACTTCAGGGATGTTGCAGTGCTGTGGTGTTGGAGGTGGCGCTTCCACGGCACCTCAGGCTCCGCAGCTGCAGGATACCGGATCTGCTGTCGGGATTACCACCTCCACGAAAACCACCATCATGCAGGACGCGGTTCTTGAGTCTATCCTCGAGGTGAGTTTTACCCACGATTTTCACTACCATATCCTAACACTCCATCACCTTTATTTTCCTCTATATTTTGTATTGTTACTTCAAAGAGTTCATTCCCTTCAACTTTCTCGTGGTTCTGTATGTTCTATAGATTCAATTTGACGGAGGTTATAATTTGAAACAATGTGCCAGACGCGAGCATGAGAGTTCAATAAGTAACGAGATAAATATAACGCTGTGTTCAATGAATTAAATAATAATATAATATTTCGTGGTCATAGAATGAGATTTCGTATACGATGAAATATCGTATATGTCTATAACTACATAATTTCAATCATTTTTCACCAGCATTTTCTCTAACATTTGTTTTAATATTTGATCCGTTTTTATTCAAGCACCAAAAATTAACAGTTTTTAAAGAAAATATACGTTGTTTAAAGAAACAAATTTTCTATGCAGAACATCGATCAGAATGTTAATTACGTATACAAATAAAGTGTGCACGTAATAATCCATGTACCGCGATGCATCACATGAATAAGGTCGTTTCTGAGGGTCAGCAAAAGTGTATCTCAACGAGATGTTCGTCAGCGGATGGATATTGATGTTCCAAGCGAATTTTCAACCAGGCACGAAAGATTCTCTTTTAATTAAAAAAGATAATCTGTAGTAGCGTATTTTTCGTTCTTCTTTTTTTTTTAAGATTTTTGTATAAAAGCCTGGTAGAATTAAAGGAACAAGTTTGCGACGAGTAAGTTCGATTGTACGTACCTCCGAGGCATTCAGAATACAAAAGCTCCCTTCATTATTAATGTCACGCGGATGATTCTCGTCATGGATCATGCTTCCAACTAGACGTCCCTCCGGGTTATTGAAGCTGGTTATCCACCTTCGGTCGCAAATATTAAACGGAACTAGACTTTCCTATATTCTCGAAAATCTTTCATCTTTCGACAATTTGACTCGATTGTTTATCCACGTGTTTAGTAGGAACTTCATTTTATTTTAAATCTCGCTTGTCATGTTGGGTATTCAAATTTGATCGAACACGAGCTTATCGAGCCGATGTTTGCAGCAAATGCGTGAGACGGAAGCCCGAAAAACGGAGCTGGAACGCCAACACGCAGAAGCACAGAATCAGCTACGCGAAAAGATAGCAGGCCGATATCAAGGCCCAGAATCTGTCGAGGCATTGCAGTCGAAGATAAGAGAACTGGAGAAGAAGACGGAACTACAGATGGTCAGACACGAGGAATTATCGTTGGAATTGACAAGTCTGAGACGAGCACGAAGCAGAGGACCGATGAGTCATTCAGCGGTACCGACTTCTTGGCCTCCGGCTGGTTCTGAAATTGACAGAATAATAGCAAAAATAGAACAAGATAATAGGTGTGTTTTTGTCTTGCTATCCTTTCTAGTCTTCCAATCTGTTTCAATATTTTAAACAATCGATATCAACGTCGCACAACCATCCATTAATCTTATCTAATTTTTATCTATTTCAGTGCTAACAGGATGATACACGATTTGGACCATACTCGGGGAACCATTACCACGCAGCAACCCTCAGTTTCACAGGGTATTTTGCGATCCAGCTCGGAAAATCTTCCCAATCTCGGTCAACATCAACATCCACCCCATCCGCACGCTTTGAGCCTGGGAATACCGACTCAGATGAGTCACGTACGTATAAAATCATGTGTCTGTGATCTTTAAAGAAAAGGCAGAGTCTTGATCGAAAATCTTAAACAGTACGCAGGTTCACCGATGCCCCTAACGCCGATGATGCCCGGATGTCCACCGCTGACCCCGAACGGGCCTCCGTATCATTACAGCGAACCAATCCCACCAGCACCGTCACTTTCCACCAGTCAGTCGCAGCCAGTTTTTCAACAAAAGATACAGCAGTATCAGCAACCCCAAGTAACTCATACCGAGTTGCCGAGCTCTCATTCTCAAACTGCTCTACAAACACAACAGAAGCAACAAACGCACACCCACTTCACGAGCAGTCAGTACCAGGAGAGTTATCCTCATACGCAAACCTATCAGCAGCCGCTCCAGCAGCAACAACCGCAACCGCAGCAACATCCGGCCTCTACAACGTACCTGACATCATCGAGTCAAAGCGTAATTCCTCATTACACGCAGCCCACTCAAACCGCCCAAAGTTTTCAATTAAACGGAAGTCAACAGGTACGAAGAAATGTTACGATCGCTTTTAATAAGACACTTGAATGTTAATTTACGAAATACTATTGGTTTCGTATGCGCAGGCAACGACGTATCCAAGTTTGTCCATTACATCCCATCCAAACGGAACCTATAGTACAGGAGCGGGTAGTAGCTTTACCTCTCAGTTGTCGCATCATAATTTCTCTGTTCCACAAACTAGTATCCCACAAACAACGCTGTCGTCGTTGCCACCATATTCGACGAGCTCCTTTCATTCTACCTTGGGCGCGCTTACTAGTGTACCCCAAACCGTTCTTCCTTTCTCGAGCGTACAGAGCTGTTTTGCTACTAGTGGATCGACTTACTCTACCGTCGGGACCAATGCTTTTGGCACGTCTGGCGTGAGCTCAGGTACGGATCTTTTAATTTTTATTTTTCTTTTCGTCGTACAGACTTTTGGCAAAGAAATCGTGACGTTTCAGGTACAACATCAACAGGCTTGTTACAAGCAATAAGCGATCCTCTTCAAGCGATGCAGCAACTTTCTGCGCAATCTCAAGCCAATCAGCTGCAACAACAGGCAATCATTCAACAGATTCAGCAAAGTTTACGCGCCACATCGCCAACGGCAACAGCAACGACGGGTCATCATTTTCTTGGTCCAAGGCAAATGCCAAAAATACCAAGTAGTATACTTTCGAATCCCTTGGATCGACTGACCAATGACAATATCGTGCCCGAGGGTCAAGTGGATATGTTAGACATACCGGGCAAGGGAAGATGTTACGTTTATATAGCTCGTTTCACTTACGAGCCGTTTCAGCACTCGCCCAATGAAAATCCAGAAGCTGAACTGCCTGTCCAGGGTGGTGATTATCTCCTCGTTTGGGGACAACCGGACGAAGATGGTTTTCTCGACGCTGAAACACTCGATGGCAGACGAGGTCTCGTTCCAGCTAATTTCGTTCAAAAACTCGTTGGCGACGATCTACTAGAATTTCATCAAGCTGTCCTTGGCCTTAGAGACGTCGACGATTCTGCTTCCACAAATATTCCTCAAGTGAGCAACGTGAGTTTTATTATGATTTACCCTGTGATGAAGCGAATTGAACAAATACTTCGCTCAAAGAATAATAGTCTTTTTAAAGTAAAGTAATATGGGTTCAAAAATCCCAGAACTTGATAATGAACCAACGATGGCGTAATGAATAATCTAGCTACGGAAACGAGGATCCCAAGTTCTTACTGCAGTAACAATTAAAATTATATAAATACATTATTTGTTTTATTTATTATTAGTTAAAGTTACGATTCTGGTTTGCTATTTCAGTGTTATCTACAAGATATCGATCTCGAATTAGCGGCTCTAGAAGAAGGGAATCGGAATCGACAGGCTGAACTGTCCGCTTACGCAGAACTGGATAACATCGCGGAGGAAGACGAACAAGAACCACCAGGTTAGTACATTTTCATACTGTCCGTCCAGATTTTTGCTAGAAACAAAGCACGTAGTACGTAACGAAAGTAGTCTTGTGCGAAAAGTTCAAACACATAATTCAATTTAGAGAATGTTGATGTACGCGTTGGTTGTAATTAAGTTTAGAATACTAGATTAAACCTGTTCAATGTGTTTTGAAATGCTAAATGTTTCAAAAGTTAGATAATTTGATGTTTAACCTGTTAACTGGGCTAATCACGAATCGTTTCCTTCTGTTTACGAGTATTATTAAATTTCACACGACTTTCAATCGAGTTACTAGCTAACACACTTTTCCGGTTAACAGGGTAATAAACAAAGTTTGTTTCCCTTAATTAGTGACTCGTAATTTAAAAATAATGCGTTGACGTTGTAGTAGTGGGTTCCTTCTTCTATAGCTGTACCGAGTACGTAGAATGTTTCTTCGCAGTAACACGCAATGTGTTTTAATAAGGTACATGTACAATACTGTTTGTTCATCGAGCTTGTTCCTCGGGCTTGTTCATAGTGGCAATAAGAATATGAACCTTCCTGTTTGATCAACCTTCCCGACTTAACTAGTGCATGCTATATCCCTCTATAGCGGTTATAAACACTATTCCTATTAAGAGCAGAGGCAAATAATTCGATGAACAGCGTGAACGAGGTCTTGCACTGTGTTGAGTATTGGATGGTCTTAGGCTGGTTTAGAGAATTAGATAGCAAAAGAGTTTTAGTTACAGCTAGGCTTGTCTTGTCTTTTTTTCCTGAAGAAGTCTACCTGTTTTCGGACCTAGTTCCGGCGCCGCAGCACCTCACTCTCGAGCGGCAGCTGAACAAGAGTGTCCTAATCGGTTGGACAGCCCCAGAAAATACCCATCAGCTAGAATCGTACCACGTCTACGTAGACGGGGTGTTGAAGGTCACCGTGAAAGCAACGGAGAGGACCAGAGCATTGGTTGAAGGGGTTGACTCTACCAGGGTTCGTAAGAAATTTTCCTATCTTATAATGACTCTTCATCTAAATAAAGCTTTACATTATTCTATCGTAATATACATCAATTGAATTAATTTAATTTGATCGACAATATGTAGCCACACAGAATAAGCGTGCGTTCGGTGACACATTCGAGAAGAACGTCACGTGACGCCGCTTGTACGATGGTAATCGGTAAGGATGTTGCTTTGGGTCCAACTGCCGTCAAGGCATCGAACGTAACCGCCACCAGTGCTGTCATTTCCTGGATGCCTAGTAACAGCAATCATCAGCACGTTGTTTGTGTGAACAACGTGGAAGTTCGAACAGTAAAGCCTGGAGTTTATAGACACACAATAACCGGCTTGGCACCCTCCACGATCTACAGAGTGACTGTCAAAGCGAAGAATTTGAGAGCGACGCACTTCGAGGACCAAAACACTCAAGCAGCTAATAATTTAGCATGTCACGTCCACTTTAAAACACTACCCAAAGGATTACCTGATCCTCCGGTCGATATCCAGGTAATTAAGCGTTCAAATCTTTCCCGACCTTTTGTACTGTCACGGACACTGCCATTCTCTCTTTATCAAGAAAAACCCTCGAGCCTACATTTTCGTGAACGTGATGGTGCAATATATTTATCGGTATTAAGAAGATAATCGTACGATATCATTTGCAGGTGGAGGCTGGACCGCAGGACGGCACTTTGCTAGTGACCTGGCAGCCTGTTGCCCTAAACGGTTCGGCCGTCACCGGTTACGCGGTGTACGCCGATGGGAAAAAGGTCACCGATGTAGACAGCCCCACTGGTGACCACGCTCTGGTTGATATACATAAACTTATGGGCCTGAATCCAAAACATATTACAGTCAGAACTAAAAGCAGGGAAAGTCAGTCGGGCGATAGTTGCGCCACTGCTATTCCCTGCAGTGTTCTTCGCGGCGGAACTACGACCCATTTACAACATGGAACCACTCATATGCAAGATCAAGGACAACCGCAACCCGGCATGGGACAACCGGATCCGCATCGTATGGGTGTTGTAGATCAGAGATATCCAACGGCTCCTGTACCCTCTCATATGAGAAGACACAGAAGCACTAGAGTCGATGCTCACGGTCAAGTTATCATCGAAACCGACGAGAATTTGTCTGACAAAGAAATTTATCCTGGGCAGAGCATGTCCCAGATGGGTAAGAGTTTTTATAGACTCTAAGCATTTTAACAACTCCGTTGATTCTTTCAAACGAACTTTCCAATTTGCACCTATTGTTACTACCGTTTAGGGGTTCCAGAAATCACCAAGGATTCCGCGAGCGAAGCGAATTACAGCGAAGAAGACGATCCTTCCCGTAGATGTAGAGGAATGCCATTACATCATGGCGGACAGCATCGATACGGTCCTCAAATGGGACAACAAGGACTTCCAGGAACACATAGATCCGATAGAATGGGTGGCCCTGCTGGTAGACCTCAAGATCCTTATTACGATCAACCAGGTATGCACTGATACGATATCTACTTGGTAAGTTTCGTCCATTAAACTCTAAATCTTTGCATCGTTTCGCATCGACATTATTTTCGTTTTCTCTTTTCTCGTATAGGAAATCAGAGAGGCAGGGCTCCTAGCTATCGTGGTGGACGAGGGACACAAGCTCAAGGTGGTGCTGGTCACGCATCGAGTAGTGCTCAACAAATGAACAAAAGAACACGCTGGTTTGTTGCTATTTACGATTACGATCCAAAAACTATGTCGCCAAATCCAGATGCTTGTGAAGAAGAATTACCATTCTCCAAGGGCGACACCATCAAGGTCTTTTTTAATAGTTTTTACTTATGTCTGTTCCCCGTTTCAAAGAATCTCAACTTATTAGTTAATTTGTTAGGTATACGGCGAAAAAGACGCGGATGGATTTTATTGGGGCGAATGTCACGGTAGACGAGGATATGTCCCTTACAACATGGTTGAAGAAATCAAAGATCAAAATCAAGCTGGACAAGGTCAAGCTGGTAGAAGAGGAAGATGGGGTGACATTTATGCCAATATGCCCGTGAAGAAGATGATAGCACTCTATGATTACGATCCTCACGAATTATCTCCAAATGTTGATTCTGTAAGATTTATCGTGGGTTTTAATTGTTATGTGCCATTGAACTAATTAAATACGCTTTTCAATTCCTGTTTTGTCAGGAAGTGTACAACTATCTGTATACTCATTCGGCAATTTTATAATATATTTTACCTCCGCAGCAAGTCGAATTGGCGTTCCAAACTGGAAACGAGATCTACGTGTACGGTGAATTGGGTGAAGATGGATTCTATATGGGAGAACTAAACGGAGTTCGTGGTTTAGTTCCAAGTAACTTCCTTACCGAAGCTCGCGAACAACCACCGCAAGGTCAACTTCCGCCAGGAAACAGAAGACCACCAGGACAAAGTCAAGGACCCGGAGTGAGAGGACCGCCTCCTCCACCTCGAGAACCTCCTCCGCCTGGTCATCGACGAGGCAAAGGTAAAATTTGGAAAAGCTGACGTTCCATTCTCTCTGTTCATTTTTTATAATGTCACAAGCGATGACATAAATAAGCTCCTCAAGCCAAGTAAACGATGTAGCAGGAAGCCTAAATTTGAAGCAACAAAATTGAATGAGCAACAGGAAAACGAACCGAAGCAACGCGCAAGATCGAGCTCGAGAAAGCTGTACATCGATACGAAGATGTTACCAGTTTCAAGGAATTTGCAAAGCTTCGAATAAATTTTCGTTTAGAGAAAACGCCTGATAACTGGCTCGAGGGGTTGAAATACATTCACACTGGCGCTGTTTAATATCGCTAACAGAACAATGACATGAAGAAGAGAAGAAAGAAAAATCCTGGATGTCGACCAGACGTCAGTGTGAATAAACAAAAAAGTATATACAAAACGGCAAGCAACACAAGACACGAAACTAGATGTGCTAGACGACAGGCAGAAAGGTCACACAAGTACTTATACATGAACGAACGATCTAGTAATATTTAATCGTTATTAATCGAAACCGAGCTCATATTTTCTTTTAGGGCTACACTTGTCTCGCAAAATTATCAACAGATTGAAAACAGTAACGCGTTGTTACTTTCGTTAAGGTATATTCGAGTAAGTTATTTTCTTTCAGAAACTTGCAACAGCAAGTACTCGTAGGTACTCGTTCGAAATTGTTGCGATGTAGAGTCAAGCAACGGTATTATATCGAAATATCGATCAGAACGTCCGCGCAATATGTGAAATTTATTTTGTATTTATAAAAGTTTCTTTTTTCCTTTTTTTTTTAGGAACACGTGTATTATCACATGCAAAGCGATTTCTATATTTCTATCTATCGACCTGTCTATCTTTCTATCTATCTATCTATCTACCTATCTTTCTATCTATCTACCTATCTATCATCTATCTATCTATCTATTTATCTATCTATCTACATATATATATATGTATTTACATATATTTATATATATATGTATATTTACAATGAAACACTAAGCTGCTTTCAGTGTTTTCTATTAAATACATATATGTACATACAGTGAATATGTACGTATCTACGTATGTATGATACTCGTATGTTTTCTTTCCGAGCACCTTTTGGCTCCGTTACTTTTTTTACGTGTCTATCTTTCCTCTATTATGTACATATATACATATATGCGCGTTACTTTTACACAGTATGCATATGCAAATACATATGCACATATATATATACATACATATGCATGTATATAATGAGAAAGATATATATATGTATATATATATTGTATATATGTACACCGTACGCGTATGTATGCAGGGTGTCTCAAGAAAGATGCACACTGTGAAAATTGTAATTATAAATTTTCTAGGATAAATGTCATTGGAAACTTGTTTGTCATTTTTGTTCCAAGACTTTATTTTCGAGATGTACGCAAAAGAATACGTATGATCACCCAATCTGCTGTTCGCCTTCACAGAGCTCTTCACAAGCGAAAGATCAAATTTTTAATCATTCATATCTCGGAACAAAGTTTTAGATCGCAAAATGATGAAAAGATTTTCGTTTTCCTTTATGAAAAGGGATTTACAATTGCAGTTTTCACTATAACTTTGAAACGCCTTATATAATTATACTGCGTGTATTCTATAAAACATAATCTATTTCTGTGTGCCTGAATTGGTCGATGGTCGTCGTGTCACATGATTGTCGTTCGTGTCGTGTTGTCATGCTGGCCATTTAAAGATTAAGATCGAGTAACAGATTTTGATCAGATTTCGTGTCTTGATGCATATCAAATTCGCGAGAAAAGAAAATTGAACTGTACGCGTGCATCCAAGTTTTGCCGAGTAATTTCTTTTTCTCAGTATCGCTGTTTCCAAGGGAAAGAAAATGATATATGATAGTTATTGCATAAGTAACGAATGAAACATTACTCGGCATACTCGGCCACGCGTTTAAATGTCTTGTTTAATAAAAAAAGAGACATACACAAATGCGCCATGAATGACAACACGATCTTGTTCTCTTCTCTGTTGCTAGATGCCTGCATTGTGCCTGTGTCTGTCCCTGTCTGTCACTTAGACTCTAGACAACAACAACAACAACCATCACTAATGAACAACCAACAACATGAACTCCAACATCAACAAAACAATCCACCGCATCTAGCGTACCAACAAGCGAATCACCACAGCTACACAACTGTAACCACGTCCAATCAGCATGGGCCCACGCCCATGGGCGCCCATCAACAAGGTCCCGTACCGCCCCATCTTCAACAACAGGTGAGTCCACTGCTCTATCCAAAAGTTTTTTCACTTTTGCTTTTCGATGTGGCTTTCAACCTTCTCGCTACTAAACTTGTATACGATATTTCTAACTATCGTTTCTCTTTTATTCTATTCTTTGATTCTTATTTATCGAATAGAATCGAAACGTTTAATCATTGAATTATATCAGCATAACAGTGTTAAAAGATTAAAAATCTTTTCAATGATTCAGGTATGTCTCTTCGTCGTTGTGTGGACAAGTAACGACGCGACAGGATTCGAATTAAAAAATGAATTCTTTGAACATTTTAATACAATGAAGTCTCGCTATGTGGCAACAGACGGGGTGGAAAAGGTTGCGGAGTTGGCCATACTACAGTGAATCAACGCAAACTCGTTCAACGTATGATCATATAGCACGAGCTAAGGTGTGGTGATTCGAAAGGAAACTCATCTGACCACGTACATAGATAAGCCATATAGCAAGGCTTCGCTGTATTAAACAGAAACAAAAAATTGACTAGAGAAAATGAACATTTCTTATTGCATGAATTCGCATTCAATAGATTGCATTTTGCTACAATTTTATCACGCATTATTCTATGAAACATCTCGATTACGTTTAAACGAACAAAAAAAGTTATGAAATAAAGACATCGATTTGATTAGTTTAAGTTTCTGTTAAGTTATTGCATACGAAACGACCATTTTTCAGACAGAAGGAGTTCACCATATAAATATGAAATGCAAAAATGAATTAAATCGTTCATTAATATTCGGTCGTTTAATTTGCAACAACTAATATATTTCGATGCCTACAAGCATGCCCGTACATCGACATGCAAATTGCACGAATGCTCAATAACTCATGCTTTCAAAACTATTACATATTTCATTGTCTCCGTTTCTTTCTCTCTGCTTTCGTTAATCTTCATTTTAATCATTATTCTACGAGATTCTACTGTCTCTTTTCATTTCGTATTAATCATTTCATAAAATCAGCTTCATACAGATCGAAATATTGTCGAATCGGTCGAACGTAAACTCATTACGATTAGATGATCAGATTATGCGAATAGATTAATTATATTTTGATCGCAAACATTCGTTATAGTAGTCACGTATTCTAGGACATTTATTTCCGTGTTTCCGTTCTTCTCGCGGAACACGTACACACACGGAACACGTTATGTATTTCTCATGAAACATCGTAATAGTAGGACGTAGGAAAAGTTTCGACTAAAGCAATCGATCGTTTTTGGACGAAATATGTTCTAGCGAGCATCGCATGAAAACCGAAGAAGTTTCTTAAATGAAAACGACAGTTTCTTCAAATTTTTCAGAACACAGAAGCATCTTAATCGACGCGACTTACTTAAACATAACTCAAACATTTACGTGAAGGATTACTCGAGAAACCCGTTCGAGTCAAGGAAACAAGCAACTTTCTATGAAAGAAAATTTTTTTCCATTAATTTGCATCGCTTTCGTTTCTAGGGGAAGGGGAGGGGAGGCGTGATCAATCGTCGTAGTAATGTACCAGGAGGTATGCAAGGTCCTGGCCAGCACATGCAGCAACAGCAACAAGATTACCAACAACAGAATCAACCGTATCAACAGCAACAGCCTAATCAACAGAATCAGAACTACCAACAACAAAATCAAGGATATCAACAGCAAGGTCCAGGATTTGGCCCACAGGGTCAACAGTTCCAGCAACAACCTCAACAGCAACAGCAGCAACAACAACAGCAGCAGCAACAACAACAGAATCAACCGTACGCGCAACAGAATCAAGGTGCTCCGATGCAGGGTACTCAGAGCACCAGCAAACCGATGAGAGGAATACCGACGGTGCTGCCCACACCGCAAGCGAAAACGCAACCGAACACGACGCAGGGACAGCAACAACAGCAACAACAACAGCAGCAACAGAGTACAGGGCCGAATCTGATGCAAAAATTCACGGAGATGGCCGGTGCGAGCGCTGGCGGCGATATTCTGTCCAAAGGGAAAGAACTGATTTTCATGAAATTCGGTCTGGGCAAGTGAGCTATCCTCGTTCTGCTCGCGACGCCAGTTTCTTATCCATTTCTGTCCTATCGCGTTCAGCTGGCTGTTTCGTGTCCTCGTCGAGAGGTCTGTTCATAAATCAGTATTACTGTGAATCGTGGAGATCACGGAGAAACGCGAAAACCGATCAGATCCTTGCAAATATCCTTAAACAATACGTAACGCGCGAACGTGTGCTGCCACTGCTGCTGCTGCTGTTGCTGTTGGTACGACTGTTATTTAATTCGCTAACGAGGCCTGGATTGCGAGGTTCTGTTCGTAACAAACGAGAAAACCAGTCCTTCGTATGTATCTTCCTCGGTGGAAAGTCCACGTGTTTTACGAAGTAAAAAGAGACAAGTATGTTAGAGTTTTTTCTAACGAGCCAGAAATTCGTTGATAATCGGGGTGTTAAGAAGGAACAATCTTTGTTAAACTCTCTTTAATTCTCTTCTTTCAATTATTCATCGTCTTCTACTTCTTGTTCCTTTTCGCGTAGTAGGATGCTTGTCCCGTAGCAAATTAACCTTTGCACTCCGATTTTGCCAACGTTTCAACGTTAACTTCTATTCAATTTTATTTTATCTAATCCTATTTCAAAATTAGTAACTAGTACACCAACGAATACCGTATGGGGAAGGTCATGTCCCACCACTCGCCTAACCCGTTCATTAGGCGCTTACTGTATACTGACAGTGACTACCTCGTATTTCGATTAGGATACTATGCGTTGGGGTGCAAAGGGTTAACATACTCAAATTTTTGGCCATATAAAACGAACACATCCAGCAGGCGTTACTTGATGTTTCTTTATTCTTCAAAAATATAAAAATTAAATAAACTGTAACGGATAGAATTTGCCTCCGAGAGCAAAAGATTTATCCCATAGTCAAACAAATGTCCTTTATCATTTTTATTTGAACTAAATAGTAAATAAATAGTTGTGAAACACAGCATATACCAACGCCTGCTCAGGGACGCGAATAATCTTATAATCAGACCATTACAAAGAGAAATAACTTATGAGTTAGTTCGATGAGATAATTGTTCTTGTTATATAGATATTTATTAGCTTGATAATATTTTATCTATGTGTATAAAAAGAGACAGTAAGAATACGCTTTGTGATATGAAAACAGCGACATGAGAACGAGGCGAATCGTTTCAGTGCTTCGTTGCATCACGGATTTTATAAAAAAAGAAGATAAACAGAACAGAAACAGGATCGAAATAAAATGATTACGTTCGTTCAAGTGCGAAGAAAATTACATATACAAGGGAAATATAGAATTTTATATTCTTTGTTCGAAACAAATCACTCGTTGAGTTTAAGATTTAAGAGATTTAAGAGAAGGACTAGTTAAACTTTGCTACGAAAAAAATCCTTGTTATTCTCTGTTCTAAATTATGCTACGTAAAGATATGTTCAACGATTGATATCCTAAAAGGGGAAAATATAATTTGTTCGATTGAAAGAACAACCAAATAAGTAGCGCGACGCGAACGGATAAATCGTAAGAAGACTAACAAATTGGGAAAGTAACTTCTCTTCGTACTCGAGAACGATTACGTGAATCAATAAGATACTTTACAAAACGGAAGTCGAACGAACACGACAGATAAAAACAAGCACTTAACGTGTAATCGACCGAAGAGTTTATAATACAGCGACTCGTAGATCAGATTGAACTACGACGTAAATATATAAATATATAAATATATAAATAAACGACAGGTGATGGGGTTTGAATTCGATAAACGAATGAAATTACCGGGAGATGAATGTGGACATACGGGAAATCATAGCATTACACATGTTACGATAAAAGAGATATAAATATATACATATGCATATACTAATGTACATATATATACATATACGTATATGTACAGACCTATGTCTATGTATAGGTATATATATATGTATGTATACACATACATATACATATTATATTTAACTATTGCAAAGTGTTGTTACATCGCTACTTGTATCGTATTTTGTACAAAGTATCCTTACCTTCAATTGTTCTTTTTTCTTTCGCCGTGATATAAATATATAAATATAAATATAAATATAAAGATAATTATAAATATAAATATAAATATAAATATAATTATAAATATAAATATAAATATAATTATAAATATAAATATAAATACGAATATAAATATAAAGAAAATCCTTAGGCGAAGGAAACGTGACAAAACTTCGAAGTCATTTTGCCAGAATCATACTTTGGGAATCATAACTGAGAAACTCGTAATTGTTATTAAATATCGCGGATATACCTGTTTAGAACCGACAGTTGCCTCTCGTCCGTTCGTGTTGATTGAGTGTCGACAGATGCGGCAACAAACGGCAAAAGCTGTAATTACTTTTCATTTAATTAAGAAAAGTGTCAAACGCGCGGCCCAGTTAAGCTTCCTGCATAGGGTATCATCGTTTAGATTGGATTTTATTAAAATTTTCATTCGATAGCTCGGAACCAGCAGAATCACAATTGACTAGATTTTCAGTTATTCCTTTGAAGTAAAAAGTTAGAGTCGATTTTTAATACGTTGACTACCACAGTGAAAATTAGCGTACATAGTCAGACACGCTGTAACACTGATTATTAAAAAGGAAAATATTTTTTATCGTTACCACTTAACTTGTTAATATCGTCAACTTTTTTTAGATAATTAATTTGTAGTGCCCATCAGTGGTGATCGCCATGGCAGTCAACGTGTAATGATTCCTCTTTTTAAGCCTAGAGTCTAAGAATCCCTTATTGGACCACGAGTTTGAACAACCCATAATAGTACCGTCATTTAATTTTGCACATAATCGTGAAATGTTGCTTTTATAGTATCGATCACGATAAATCGCGTGACGACTTAAAGAGGCAAGATCACAGAGCAATGTATACTACGACTATGGACCAAACACCTTCTCGAGAGACCAATTCGGTTACTGAAATGATACGTTTCTCCTGTTTCTGTCGAGACGTTTTAACATTTAGTTATCTACGTGTCACTATAATGTTCTAATCGTTTGTTCATTTATTTTCTTTTCATTCCGTTTGTCTTAATATTACTTTGTACCAATCCACGTGCAATGGATTTACGTAATGTAAAATTAAAACGGCGAAAGTTGGTCACAGAGACGATGCTAAAGTAGAACGAATAAAATCTATGTTTTCAATATTCACGATTCGTACATTCGTTATACTCGTAGTCTGTAGATACATTCGTAATCGATTTTCAATTCGATCCATTGGCGCAACTAGGATTCTTCTGGGTTGAACCAGGTCCACAAACATCAATAATATGTAGTATCAACGCCACACGTCAAGCATGACCAAGTAACATTTGTGAGAATTTGGAAATTTGAAAATTTGCTGATTTGTATATTTGGAAAAGGAATCAGGTGTCCCACATTCCACGTTAGAGGCCAGACCCACTTTAGTCTCTACCTAGTTACACCAATGATTCTACCATTCTTTACGAACAAAAGAATTCCACGATGTAATGCTTGCTCGTCGTGTTCGATGAAACGCACGAAATTGCAAGTTCAATCAAACGTCGATCTTGTCTGATCCATATTTCGCGCGAACGTCGAGAACTCGATAGCTTGCCTGAATCAAAGAAAGAGAACAGAAAAGAAAAAATATCTGCCCAAAGAAATAATTTATATACGCTTCCGATACAATTCTTTCGACGATATTTATCGATAAACTATTGCTTTATCCATTGAACGTAAATGTAGGATCGCGCGTAGTGTCTATCGACAGCAGAGATTCGCGAATATGATTTTAAACGAATTAAGAGAACTGTATTCGATTCGATACCGTACAAACATTATACATATAGTCAAATATTACTAGGGTATCTATAATCTTTCATCGATGGTTTTTTCGACGATTCTACAACACGAACGAGAAACGAATCGTTCTAGCCTGCTGACCGTAATCGTTCCAATGGATCAAGTTTATGATCAACTCGTTTCTCTCGATTATCGCCCAACACGATCGTTTTGCGAACGATGTTGCACTAAACTAACGGTTAAATGTCGAAATTCCTACGAACCTTTGCTGTAAAACATATCTAACAGGAAACATTGATTCAGGCGATTAAAGGGAAAAGAATAAAACGAATAAAAAAAAGGAAAAAAAAAGAAAAAAGACTGACGTGACATTTAAGATCTACATGTATACTTAACACGTTCGCTACCAAATGTTTGATCGGGATTGATCGATCAGAATTAATCAATCGACGAAAATTCGATCCTTTGCTCGCGAAGATGAAAATGACTAAAATTCTTAAACGAATCAGCGTCGCGTGGGAAAAAGGCAATTAATTAAACGAAGAGAAAATGAATTGATAATCTGAAAGTCGAGAAATACCGTTCAAATGGTAGTGTAGGTGTTAAACCGATAATTACTTAGAGGATCTGTAATCGTTCATCTTTCATCTCTTAAATATTTTCGTTTACTTTTCTTCGGTTTTATCATTGTTTCATTAGCGATTGTAACAAAGTAGTGAAATGAGTTGAAAGCGATTTGTAAAACGAGGTGTACGCGAGGAGGGAAGTAGAGAACAGGAATCATTGAAAATGTAAAACGTAGCTGTATCGATTATGTACGGGGTGTTTCAAGAAGGATGTACTCTTAGATGCAACGTAGGATTCCTTTGGCCGAAGACAGGTGTAGAGAGAGAAACTTCCCATTGCTTGTCAAATATTTCGAATTTCCAAATCCTCAAATTCCTGAATTGCCAAATGTCCAAATTTTGAACGCTTCAATTGAAAAATTTTCAAATTTAAAAGAACTAACGATGGACGTTGCTCCTCTACGTCGCTTTTTCACCTAAGGAAGGCTAACGTGCTCAATAGCGTGCGATTGCAAATCCTTCTTAGCAAAAGAAATCGGCAAGTCCTTTACCATTTTGCATACCGAATCTTCGTTTTCGAGATATCTTGTACAAAAGAGGCGTAATCGTATGTTCGTTCAGTTGCCTATACGTGTAGGATGTTTGAAAAATTTTCAATCGCTTGTATTTAAGAAATGATACTCAATAGTACAAAATAGTAAAGAACTTTTCGATTACTCTTACATCTATACATCTTTTTTGAAATATCGTGTATACGAGAAAAAGTAAAACCGTTGATAAAGAAAAAACCCTCATCTATTATCGTTAGATGTTAGATGTATCGTAAGAAAACGCAAGTAGTCTTAATGGAGAAGCAACAAAAGTAAACGCGAAGGGGAAAATAAAAAAGTATCATTTCCAAGTGTCCCGCGTGTTGGGAACCTAATTTCTGTCTCTTCTCTTTACGATCAGACCAAAATTTTCTTAGGAGATAATAATTTTAACAACAGGAACAATAAACTGACGCAATGCAACGGTCGATAAAATACTTACAATTAGAATCGAATCTTTTTATTTGAACGTTTACCGAGAGCGAAGATACATAAATTAATAATTGTATAAAACAAGGCGATCAAAGCAAGCGCAGACTGAACGTAAACTAACGCCGTAAAAAATTTAATCGAGAACAAACGAAACGAAAGAAAAATCGACATATAAAAAAGGAACAAAATGTTCAAGGGGAAAAAAACAAGAGAAAAGTCAATTCTCTTTGAATGTCTAAAGATCATTTCGTTCGACGTCGACGCTCATTTTTGTGTAGGTATCTCACTTGTATATTGTCATTAATTATAAATTTAGTCGTTGAATGGATTCGTATAAAAAAAAACATACAAAAAAAATCTTTTGATACCGCGACAGCTAATGCAAACACGAATCGCAAATGCAGAGGATGATATGTATGCGAATAAATATTCGAAATAAAGGATCGAGATGTAACGGTGAATGGATCGTTGATCCTTCGTCGTTGAATGAGAAGATCCAATCTAAAACGTATGAAAAAGACTTCTGATTCTATCGAAGAAAGAAGAATAATAAGAGTTTTAGGACTGTACACGAAAATTCTCTTACAAAAAAGTGTTTTTCATGTCCTAACGGAAATAGACGTACATGCGTTGTTTCGATCTAGATAACGGTTAGCTAAATAATATACGATATCCCAACAGTTGTTAGGGACGAGTATTAATCTCGTGCGAGGATTAAGGCCCCGTTCGAAATTGTAGAACTTTCTTCCATGAAAACACTTTACGGAGAGAACGAAGAAGAGGAACGAGCAAAAGAGAAAGAATGTGCATGCGCACGATTGTACATATGTATAATGAATGAATAAATGATGAGTAGGAAAAGGATGGAATAAAAAAAGAAATGATTGTGGAACAAGTAGCCATAAGCGAAGAGTATGAAGTGAAACCGGCAAGAGAATGAATTTTGATGGTGTTTGTAGTTAGGCGCCAATTAATGTCATTCTTTCTCTTGTATCGATACCCTAAGATTGTATAAACCAGACGGTAGCGCAAAAAGAAAAGAAAAAACAGAAATCGATTATATACACTCATACAACTTTTAATAATAACAAATTACCGCATCGATTAAGCATGTCGAATCGCCAGCTACGTTTGTTATCGAGTAATCTTGCGCTTTGTTTTTTCTATGGATCGGTGCATAACAATCTATTCCTTGTTAGCTCAACTGAAATATCAGCAAAAAACCTACTACACAGAAGAAAAAAATCAACAAAAAATCACGATGTTATTATAAACAATTAATTAATAAAAAACGAATCTTGTTTGTTGTTACTTTTTGGTATCCTGATCATAATCCTTTTCGTTATGACGACCGAATTAAATACTTTGTAAAATAAGTTCATACAAATATGACGAGTAAATTGTACTTTATTCAATATGTAGTATAACGCTATAGAATGAGTGTATATAAGTATACGCATATTGACGCTATACACAGTTCTTTAATATCAAGGACTAGCGAAATGTAAAGAAGGAAAAACAAACGATTGGACATCTATGTTTCCTCTTCCCAGACAGTCTCAGTTAAGATAGCAATATTGTCCAATCCTCTCATTGGCGCATACTCCAGAGTCCACATCAAATTGGTAAATACCACTAAAATCAATGCAAATCAGTTTTATTACTCATTCTAAACAAATATACTTTTAAGTTTCATTTTTTTTAAATTGATTTATACGAGCAGTAAAACAGTTCGGTTATATGCTCATAAACAAAGATACTCAAATTGCTGATAATAAATTGACCAAAATTTCAATTACAAAATAAAGAAACTTACGCATTTCGCCTTGATGCAGATCTGCTATTAACTCAGGACAAGAACTATTGCAAGGATTTATAGGAGTCAAACGAAGTTGCGTAGCTCCTCTCAACTGAGCCAGAGCAATGAGACCAGTGTCTAGTTCTACCTTTTTATAACTTGGACTATTATAATCCGAAGACATGAGCACCCAGTTGAAATGTGCTGGCGAGACTGTACTCGAAAGGAAGTACGGACGCTGATAATATTTCCGCAACACCTTTACCGCATTGATCTCGCAATTTTGCCAATGCACAAACCACTTAGCTACTTCTGGAGAATGCACCCGACGTAAAAATGCTGCCAAATCGGATGAACCGGTTCTCAAATTTGAGGTCAAAGCGCATGGTACGGTTTCCATTAATCGTTCGTTCTCCAAATAAAGCTATTTACACGAAATACAAAATTGAAGTATAAACTTGATTACTTTTCAGCTAATATACTTAACTTATTTTTAAAAAATAACATAATATAAAAATAATACTATCTGAAATAAGTACATGTTTTTACCTATTGCTATGCTTCTACCTACATGAGTAATATTATCAAACCAGAAATAGTCTGTGTTCATGACTGCCCAAGAATCCATTGCATCAGTAATGATTGCAGGTGCATCACGACTTAAATAGTTATCAACAAGATTACGGTATCTCACATCTGACAAACGATCGATGGTTTCCAAAGCTTCACAGGTCTACAAATGTAATTGAATCAAAATAATGATCAAACTAATATTTCTTTCAAGAAAAGCTAGTCTTGTTACGTATGTTGTCAATAAATACCACGCAATCTTCTTCTGTTATCATATAATCATTATAGAAGGGATTGTTGATCATACAGTTTTCATAATATAAAGGTTGCCAGTTCCAAATTGGCAAGACTTTAATCAATAAAAGACGACTGATTGCAGTAAAATGTGTTCCAACAAAATCAAGTTGTGCCGCTAAACAAGCCAATGTGCCAAGAACTATCAAGACAATTGTACCACGGAAGACAAGTTGCAACCAAGAACGCCGCATTGCAGCTACTAATGGTTGACAAATAATATCCATTTCCTCCTCTGTAAAACCTGCCTGTTGACAATACCTGTAAAACAGTGGTCTCATAATATATCCCTACGGTTGTCATCATTTTTTTCTATATAAACAATAAAACAAAAGATAATACCATAATACTTTGATTAACTTCAAACATTACATTGTTGTGTGAAGAAATGAAAATAATTGCTATGTATAACAAATTGGTCTAAATAATGCAAAATATCTGAAATATACAGAAAACATGTAAATATTGTGTAAATGTTGTGTTATAATATAAAATCGTAAAAAATAATTACAAACATAACAAAAAAAAGATACAATAATATTAATATAAAAGCTGCAAATTTACTTGTAAAACGCGTTCAACTCATCATCTATCAACCGTAGTTTTTCCGAATGGGTCATTTCCTGCTGTTCTTTTACATAGTTTTTGCGAGGTTGTTTAACACATTTACTGCTCGACATCTTGTCTTTTTAATAAAATACAAACTTGTCAATGTTACACGCAATCAACTTATAAAATTCGTGGTTCAAAAGCCAAGAAACAAATCGGCTCTTATCGAGCGAAAATGCTCAGCAGACATAACATGCGCAGTGCAGCTATTTCAGATTAGGTACATTCATGTGCAAATCCAGCTTCCCTGGTGAAAACAGGAGTCAAGGGAAATAATGTCCCTGGCATGAGCATTATTCCTCATTTATAACAGAAACTTTTCAAATCCATAAATAATAACATTTTTACAAGTACATGCATATTTTTATAAGCAGGCTGTGTTACTCATTATCTTAGATATATTTGAAAATTTATATTTTTGCGCGCACTTTCTGTAAATATAGCAGAAGTTGTAAGGTAAGTGACAAGGAAACGTAAAGATAGAGAGAGAAGGGAACACATTTCCAGGTTTGGTAAAAAAGTAGGGTTGTGTACCTCTAAACTCCTCTGCTAGTAGACTCATTACACGCCATTCTGGCATGCTCTTGCCAAAAAGCAAGGATCCCTAATCTCTGCTCGTGTTTTAGATATGAGGGACATTTGCTTTTAAAAGTAAGCATGTACTTGATACAGTACTAAATTTGAAAAATCAAATTTGCTTTCGACTGTACAGTCAGTACAGGCTTTCTTAGGGAAAATGGCGGCTAAGGATATCTATATACGTACGCCACGTATTGATTCTTACCGTCATTGCTAAAAAAGTGGCAGAAATATATATTGAACTTCATAAATCTTGCATGACCGTGCAATAAATTCTTGCGTTACATGAATATGAAAAGCATATAATTATATAATTATTCAATTTTAACATCATATTATTTTGATTTGTTGAAAGTTAAAACTATGTTAAAAATTTAAATTTAATTATTTAAAGTATTTTTCACAAGTACAAATAACTATATATCAGAAGTACAAACATTATTTAATTATCGATCGACAGCTTTTTAACAATAATTTTGTTTCAAAGTCTGATGAGTCTGATACAACAAAGGACTTATCTGGCTGCTATAATGCTGTCACAAAGTTCAAGTTGCATATACATATAGGTATGTCGGTAACTTTGCTGCCTATATATATGTAAAATTGCGAATGCTGTGCTCGTAAAGTGTTATATTAATAAACGTTGAAACATCAGAATTTTTAGATTTTATCATTTTGTTAAACATAATTAATTAAAATGAATAAAATAAAGTTACTGGGTAAGTTTCTATAAAAAATACATATTAATATAAAAGAGAGTAAGAGTTATTGTAATGTCATTTTTCTGTAATAAGGAACTCAAAATTTATCCATGGTATTTAACATAGTCACTCGAAATATTGCTGCCCTTTCCATGTTACCAGAGGAACACAGAATGCTTCAAAAAACATGCAAGTACTTATTAATATTTTTTTTTTAATTACAATTTATAATCTCCCAATATAGAATTCTATTCATATAATAAAATATGTAAATATTATAGAGATTTTGCAGAAGGAGAATTGAAGCCAATAGCTGCAGAAATTGATAAAAAACATCTTTACCCGAAAGACCAAATACAAAAAATGGGAGAATTAGGATTAATGAGCATAGCAGTACCTGAAAATTTAGGTGGTACTGGACTTGATTATTTGGCTTATGCTGTTGCACTGGAAGAAATATCTAAGGCTTGTGCCAGTACAGGAGTTATAATGAGTGTAAATAATTCTCTCTATTTGGGACCAATAGAAAAATTTGGCAATAAATATCACAAAGAAAAATATATAACTCCTTTTACAACTGGTACAAAAATTGGATGTTTTGCCCTCAGTGAACCTGGTAATGGCAGTGATGCAGGTGCTGCTTCTACTACTGCTGAGAAAAATGGAGCTAATTATGTAATTAATGGTACAAAATCATGGATAACAAATGGATATGAATCAGATGCAGCTGTTTTATTTGCCACAACAGATAAGACAAAAAAGCATAAAGGTATAAGTGCTTTTATTGTTGATAAGCCAAAAGAAGGTCTTTCTCTTGGTAAAAAGGAAGATAAATTGGGTATTCGCGGTAGCAGCACCTGTTCTTTAATCTTTGAAAACTATGAAGTATCACCTGAAAATTTGTTAGGAGAAGCAGGAATGGGTTTTAAAATTGCAATGATGACTTTAGGTATTGAATAAATAAATATTTGCCTAAATGCAATGTTTTGAAAATATAACAATTAAATTATATGATTTTAGATTCTGGTAGAATCGGTATTGCCGCTCAGGCACTAGGTATAGCTCAAGCATCCCTTGATTGTGCAATAGAATATGCATCACAACGACAAGCATTTGGCAATCCTATTATCAAGCTACAGACAATTCAACAAAAAATTGCTGACATGGCATTAAAAGTAGAAAGTTCAAGATTATTGACATGGCGTGCAGCTGTACTTAAGGACAATGGCGAACCATATACAAAAGTATAATAAAAATGTAATTATTCGAGAACAAACAATTTCTAATATTCTTTTGCTTATAGGAAGCCGCTATGGCGAAGTTGTCAGCATCTGAGGCAGCTACCTTTTGTAGTCATCAATGTATACAAATTTTAGGTGGTATGGGTTACGTTACTGATATGCCCGCAGAACGTCATTATAGAGATGCGCGTATAACTGAAATTTACGAGGGCACTTCGGAGATACAAAGACTGGTTATAGCTGGAAATGTTATTAAAGAATACAATTTAAATTGAAACTGTTAAATGTTTCGGATAAATTGTTTTTACGCAAGCAAATATTTTGGATATTCCCTTCTCTTTTTATATGCAACATATATATGTATTTTTTCATTATACGAGAAAGAAGTCAATAAATTTTATACATTATGACTTCTGGTTTTATTAGTCCTTTAATCCCATAGTGGTTTTATAACACAAAATATATATGTATATATGTAAATATGCAAAATATAATTATGCACGTATCCATATATACATATGTGCAGCATTATAGGAATTTCTACTCACGATTCCTACCTTGCTTGTTATAGGATCATAGCTAACAGTCTATCTATTAAAGTAATACTAACGCATAGGGGTGGTAAACACTGCTCACAGTGAGATTTTATTTAAAAATCTCTGTTAATATTGAAATCTGATGAGATCGCACATCAAACTTAAATGCTAAGATCCACAACTGAGCAGCATAAATTCAGATATTCTGCACTGCAATCTTCCAAAAGTTAATTACTTTATCTAGATTGTATTTCTAAAGCTACCTTAAATACTACAGAATAGATTCTAGTATAACAGGTAACAATATACATATAATTTGTGCAAACGACAATTACAATTCTTTTCCAACTATATTTTAATTTAATTATTTTTTTTGCATAAGCGAACATGTTGGATATGATATATAATTTGGTTTAATTTCTTGTACAGATATCTATTGGAATGCAAAGAAATATATAAGTATTTATAACATTTCAATTTGAATTTCTTTGTATGCCACTTTTTTTATATACAGTAATGTACCCTTTCTGCATTTACCGACTTTCACAGCAAAATATTTGTCTCCCCCGTTCTATGTATGTATGTACGTACATGTGCACATATATATATGTATGTATGTATGTCAAATACTGACTTTACATAATTGCTTTCACATTTTTCACAGACCAATGTTAGTGTAATAACTAAAAATTTATTAAGTTGATTATGATTTAAATGTGTCTTTCTATCCTCCTTTTTTTGAATCGAAAACATAAAACAAGAAAAGTGTAACTATCTATAACTTATTAATCATTTGTTATTTTATTTCGTCTGACAGTAGTAGTGAACGTTAGTAAATTATCACAAAATTAATTTCCATTCGCAAAAGTGCCAAAATACGTTTGTTTAATTTTTTAAGTTATTATACAATGTATAATTGGACTTACAGAACTGTAGATCATATCGTGATGTTCCCCTTCTCAAAGTAAAAATTAATAAATTTAAAATCAAGCTATAAGTTTATTATCAGACTCACGATTCCTGTGTTAAGTATTCCTGTTTATATATGGTAAGCATTCTGAACATCTTATTCATAAATTTTAATATCGAACTACTATGGTGTTAAATAACAGTTACATCTTTTCCACCTATATTGAGTTTTATCGAACTGTACTCTTTTTTTTTATATTTTATACATCATATAGATCAAACTGACTTATCAGCTCTTTCTCTCGTTATTGGCTATATTATAATCTTTGACTGTAGATATATTTATCTAGAACGTTCGTAAATGTAAATAAATTAAAATTGTAAGTAATTGTAATAGACACTGAATCTAGACACTTAAGTTCTGGAAATTGTCCCGATCCTGCAGGATCGCCTATGACAAAACGTATGTGAATTTATTTGAGATGTAGAAGGAAATTAATTTAACCATTCATAACAGAAGCTGTCAAAGCCTCAATCATCAGCTCGCATACCCCTTACTTCTCCTTGATGTCTTTGCTGAAAAATGCAAATACATTTTTTTATTAATAGTACACTGAACTTAATAATTATAGTACTTTAACTTTAAAAGAATATTTACCCTATCCAATTCTACTTTCGTATTTTCTTCAATTGCTCTAATATCTTCCATTGTCAAACCGTACCAACGATCTATCCAACAAAACACTTGTCTATGAAAGTTAGTAAAAAGACGCCTTTCTGCTTTTTGAATATAACTTTCAACACGATTTTGTAGACCAAACCACTTAAATTCACAAGTGACTAACTTATAGCATGTCATTATAGGTTGAACATTATTTTTCCAATCTTTGCCAACAAGTGGGCCCCGACCTGTTTTTACAGATTTAAACTTTGTTGGATCTTCATCCTCTTTATAATCAGCATTTGCAATCGGATCATTTGCAATATCTATATGTACCACTTCTCTTATTTTTAATTTATCAGGAGGTAATTCATGAACCTATAAATTAAAAAAGTGCAGTGTAGAACATAAAACAAAATCCTATATTTTCTAAAATTTGTATACATACATTATTTTGATTTCCAACATCATCAATGTGAAATGATTCTATCATAATTACAAAGTTCTCTTTCATATATCCAGGATTCTGTACAGAAAATAGTGTGCAAAAATGTTAAGTAGATATAAGAAAATGTTATAACTGATACACTTAATAATTTATAGTATCACCAAATTATACTTACAGTTATAACAGTTTTGCAATAAGGATAAGCATTCCAAGCTTCTTCGTGAATTTCCATAGAATTCTTTGGCAGCATAATACGAATAAAAGCAGGCACTCTACTAGCTAAATGATAAATCTTGTATGTATATTGGCCTGAAGAATATTTTCCACCAAGCAAAGGATAATCTGTGAATGGCTCATTTTTTAGCACTTCTATACCCTCTCCACCGCCAGTATTATTTTTACTAGCTTCTGCTACAGAGTACAGCTGAGCCACTTGATACTGCCATAAAGCAAATCAGATTTTATGATACATTGTACATATCATAAATGATAAATTATATTACAATTTAAAGATAATAAACTTATTAAAGTATACAAAATTTACAAAACATATTTTTAAACACACATTGCTTCAAAAAAGCACATTTCAATTTTATAAAGAAAACTCAATAACATATAATTTAATTGTCATCTAAAGTACAAACATTCATATAATTTCAAATCATATTTTTTTCTCATAAAGGTTGAAAGCAAAAAAGCTAAAAGTAACAAATACATAAATATCTAAAGTAACAATTAAAGATCATTTGATAAACTGAAATTAAAGAAAAACTCTTATTACATCACAAAAGTTACCAAAGATAAGTATAATAAAATGATTTGACAACTTCCAGATATAATGACTGGAAAATTCAAAACATAACATTTAGATTAAATACATGCTTCTAAATAAATGTTAATTAAATGAGTTGCAAGTTTTGTCAATTGCACTATACTGATACAAAGCTAATTTGAGTTAGTTTCTCTTTTTCTAATGAAACAACATGTTTCAAAATGGGTCATTATAATAAGACCTTGCTGTTCATCAAATACATACCTCTTCCACTGTAAGAGGCAAAGTGACACGGCTGTAACAAAAGAAACAAATAAAATACATTTATGTTTTATCAACTAATAATTGAAATGATCTATAATCTATAAGTAATGGCCTTGAACATACACAAGTATGAAATAAAATATTATTCATCAAGTACCAAGAAATGAGTGACGAATGATAACGAAAATCGAACGATTATTTTGAGAGAAGTATATTTATCAGTTAAAATGAAAATGAAGTTATTCATATCATAACAAAATTTCGGTTATACGAGTGACAAGGGATGAAAAAGCATCCCTCTTTGCCCCTCCAATCCCACCCGCTGTTAAAGATTAGTAACCATATCCAGAGAATCGGTTTTAAATGTACGACCAATATTCGTCTCTCACGTTTATACTAAACAAAAAATCACAAAATTCATGATAACTTACAATTCCTTGATAAGCATTTTAACAAGCAGAGCACATGGGCTGTAGTAATTTCAGTGCGACCACACAGAACAACCCTTGCTTTAGCAAATTCACTCGTGTTATCTCAACCCGCAGTCATACGCATACAACGGCGCCGACTTCTCAACCGACTGCCACACACTTGAACCACCGAGTAGGTACCACACAGCCGCGCAACTACCAAAAAGCACATATACTTGCGCACACGTGTACATCAAATTTCCCCACTCCTACTTCACAGACACTTTGCAAATGACGTCATGCTTATATGCATCTTCGTACGCATGCGTATTTATTATCTATCCAACTCACAATTATCTAGTCTGGGGATTTTACGTTAAATCTTTTATGTAAAAGTGTTAATTATTACAAAATATTGTTGTTCATTTATTTGTCATATAACACAGTTTATATACGCAGTATTAATTGCATTTAAATTGCAGTGAAGAAATTGTAGCTTACATATATATGAACTGTACTTATATATACTTCTATATATATGAAAATTGATAATGAACATATATATATATATACACATATACCAAATATTTAAATAATAAATATTTACTTAAAATATTATATTAAAAATTAACTACAAATATAAAAAAATGGTCAATTCTTATTCTTATAATATACAATATTTACTCAAATTTTATAAATGTTCAATTATAGTATAAATTAAAAAAGTTTATGATGTTCATAATGCTGGTTTTAATTGTCACAATATTTAATTTAAGGCAGTTATATAATGCACTTAATTATATAATAACCTAATGAATAAATAAGCACATTATTTTCAATAAGTTCTAACAGGGAAAAGTTTATAACGAATAAAGAAAATGATTATTATCTTAAAAAAGTTTGACTACAGTAATATATTAGTAAATATAATAATCGTGCAAAATATTTTAATATTACAACGTATTATTATGTATATGCAGATAATTTACTCTTTATTCATATATAGTCTTTCAAAAATAGATGATCATTTTGAATGGTTACTTTTTATCTGAACATTAAGGGAAATTTTTAAGAAAATCCTAGAATAATCACTACTATTAAATTACTAATATTTGAGTTGAGTGCTTATACATTCAAATGGCGCTGTATGCAACGTCGATCAGAAAGAAAAAAGAATCATGTGAAGTCTTCCTATCTCTTTTCCACACCGCGTAAATTGACAAAGGATTGATAGAGAAAAGAAGACCGAGACACGTTCTTTCTCTTCCTATCGACTCCTTTAGATTCTCAATATTGAATACTTACTTCAATATATATATTCTAAGGTTGAGTATCTCCAAATGCCCACCTTGCAGAGCTACATCTATGAAATACAAGAGCTATAATCATTTTATTATTACTACACAATATTGTGAAAATTATTAAATTTATCAAATTTAAACATAAATTGAAACGTTTTACAAAGTTTAATTTAAGCAATAGCGATATATTGTTTATACTCGTCAATTATTATATATAAGCACACTTTATTCACTTGTATTAAATATTTCTTCATAGTGACATTTTTAGTTGCACAATATATATAGAAGTATGAGGTTTATGTGTTTGTGTAACAGTTGTTGGCCTGTTTAAAAATCGACTGCAATCGACGAGGTCCGATTGATCGATATGGTTCTGTATGTGTGTTACAAAATGTACTGAGATGACAGCGCGCATACTGACGCGCCTTAGAATATTTGGTTTGCGGAGAATGAAAAGATGGAAGAGTAGTTCGAAAGTTACAAAAAAGATCAAGTAACATGTCTACACATTCTTATGCGAGGTGGGTTTATTGGTGGACTATTATACTGATTTTCTGAGTTTCGGTCTTTCCTAGTGCACAATAGATAAGTACGACAGGTGTATGGCAATTTGTGGAAATACCAAAACCAGGACGCGTGGGAAGATCTGCGAAACAAGAACAAGTTCGTTCCGGATAAACAGAAATAAGTGAAGAAATTAAAGAAAAGAAAACAAGACTAAACGTGAACGTTTGAAACTTCAAATCATAATGGATGAATGTACTCTGAATGATTTGTTAGAATGCTCGGTATGTCTCGAGCGATTAGATACATCGAGCAAAGTACTTCCTTGTCAACATACTTTTTGTAAAAAATGTTTAGAGGAAATAGTGAATACTCATCGCGAGTTACGTTGTCCTGAATGTCGTGTATTAGTTGATGCTAAAGTAGATGATTTACCTCCCAATGTATTACTTATGCGTATTTTGGAAGGAATGCGTAATGCTGCACCTAAATCAACAAAATCTGTAGCTAAAAGCAATTCAGGATCTCAAAGACTTTTTGGTGGTCATCAAATTACTTCGACTACTAGTGTAACTACCAATTCTACTCCTAATGCATTCACGAATGAACCAATTCGGCATGCGAGTGCTACAGCTAAACAAGTTCAGCTACATAGTCAAACGTATGGCCGAGCAATTTATGATTATATGTCAAAAGTACCAGGGTAATTTTTATAATTTCTATAAACCTCACATAATTTTATTTAAATGTTATTTTACTAAATGATTTATTTTTTAGAGATTTATCATTTAAGAAGGGTGACATTGTCATTCTTCGTAAAAAAATTGATAACAATTGGTATTTTGGAGAAAGTGCTAACAGCCATGGGGTTTTTCCACTATCTTATGTTCAGGTATTTTAAAATATTTTAAAGCATCAATAAAATCAACGAATATTGAAAATATTCTATTGGCAGTAGCATAATAAGTTTGCATTATTGTCATAGGTAATGACACCATTAACACCACATGTACCTCAGTGTAAAGCTCTCTATGATTTTCGAATGACTAATGATGATGAAGACGGTTGTCTTACATTTAACAAGGTACTTAAATATATTGTTATGTTTTTATTTTTTTTTACACTTTAACAAGTACTTAAAACAATATTTTTATAGGGTGAAGTTATCAGTGTTATTAGAAGAGTTGATGAAAATTGGGCAGAAGGAAAACTTTTGGATAGAATTGGTATTTTCCCATTGGCTTTTGTAGAACTGAACAGTGTAGCAAGAGCATTAATGAAACTTTCAACAAAGTAATTTTATTATTCATAATTTAAAAACAATATTTTAATTTTAAATTAATTTGATTGTATTTTTTCAATTAGTACTCAGCCAGGTCCATCAAGAGTGGCACCTCCTACACCTACAAACGAAGAAACTACACCCTTAATACCAACTGATCATTCACGTAACATACAAACAAATCAGCGGCGTCCCCGACTTGTGGTATTATAATTTATTTATTTATTTATTTATTTTCATATTTCTATAAGTTGAAATACAGTAATTTATAATGTACTTTTTAACAGAGCTCAACTTTGCCAGTGTCTGATACAGTCTCAAGTGTATCTTCAGGTGGCAGTTCTTCAACTACAACTTCAAATACTCCCAATAGTTCCACTACGTCTAGTAGTTCCAGTACTGCTCCAAGTAGTCCTAGTAGCCCAGCAACATCACCACCTGCAGTTGGAAATAGACATAATGTTAAACGTCACAGTTTCACTGCTATCAATACTGGCCATCAAACTCATCCACATCATAGACACAGTGCAGAAATACTTAGCCCACCAGTAGATAATGCTGTTGGTAGCAGCAATAATAGCTGCAGTAATGATTCATTTTCTCCGGTACAGGTGTTAACCAATTTCTTTTTATAGAAATAACTTATAATTTTTAAAACTTTTTTACATTATATTATTTTTCTATCAGACTGGTACCAGCATTGTAGATCACAACCTTCGACATAGACGAAGTGGTAGTAGTGATCTTGCTCTTGCACAAGCAACACAAAATTTATCCTCTACTACACCCGGAAACGCTAATTTACCAGCTGCGTATATAGCACTATATCCATATAAACCTCAAAAAGCAGATGAACTTGAATTGAGAAAAGGTGGCATTTATATGGTAACGGAACGTTGTCAAGATGGGTGGTTTAAAGGGACTTCCAATCGTACGCAAAAGTGTGGAGTTTTTCCTGGAAATTATGTTGCACCTGCTAAGTATGTGAACTATTTGTAATATGTATATAATATGATTTTTTGATTTTAAATCACTACATTTTCATAGATGCCAACGTGGTTTATGCCGAGGGTCACCAAGTACAGGACAACATCAGAATTTTTCATCATCAACGACTCAAAATAATACTGAGTCGAGAATGACTGTGACATATACCAAAAATAAAGGGCCTGCTCCTCAACCTTATAACCCCCGTACGTTGTTACCTCCAGAACTGCCACCACGGGCTATTAGTCCATCTTCAGTGGTATCATCATCTTGGCATGGTCAAAGCCAAACACAAAGTCAAGAAAACAGCCCACCACGGAGCAACGAGCAAAACTCTGTGAATCCTCTCGGACGTAGTCACAGTGCTGTGATAACATCAAGTATTTGTACGTAATAATTACATGAAACATATTAGTTCAATGCTTATAAAGTAATTATGTATTTTAGCTTCTCCTGGCAAACAGGTAACTTTGCCACAATCATTAACCACTACAACTACTATTGCTGGCATCAGCAATAGTGGTACTGTCGCCACTGCCACCGCTTCTTCCATCACGAGTGAAATGAATAAAAGTCCCAACAATACTTTGCGAGCTGTTGCTTCTCCTTCTTCAACCACGTCTGTTGCCGCGACCAAAAATACTGAGAAGGTATATTTTCATATGGCTAATATGTCTGTATATGCGTGTTCTATATATATATTAATATATTTTTTTTAATCGTAGCAAAAAGAAAAGAAAGATAAATGCGTTTCTTTGATGCGCCGATTAACGAATATTAAAAAATCAAAATCACCACCTCCTACTACATATTCAATGGACAATCCTGTATTTGATGATGGTAACTCCATCAACCCAGTGCATGTTCGGTAAGGTTTTTGTTTTACTGTTATAATAATAATGAATACTTCATGCAGTTGTAATGTATTAGTACAATGCGTTGAATTAACGCTATAATTTTATATTAAAACAAAAGATTATTCTGAATAATTTGCATGTTAATAGCGTACTCAATGTTTTATTAACCGTTCGCATGTTTTGTTATTCAGAATCATTTACATGTTGTGTACGTATAAAATATGTGTATATGTGTATATGTATTGTTATTATGTATGATATAACTATTAAAATCACTGCATGATTATAGTGTTTGCACATACATATATATATGAACAAGGCGGTTATATCATATGCAGAATAGTGTAAACGTTTAATTATTTCTTTTTTTACATCCCATTCTTTTTTTTAATACAATGTGAGCTGCACGTGTTGAATTATTTGTCTAATTCTACACGGGGGGTGGGTGGGTATATTTAAAATTAGATCGGGATCTTGTCCAAGTCAGTTGCTACAGGTGGGAGCTACGCAGGAATTAAATGCTTCAAACAACCATCATCGTTTGTGTCCAGGCTCTATGCAGGGACACGTCACGTCTTCACAAAGACTTAAATACAAGGAGAGACCATCTTTATCGGTCTCAATCTTTCAGAGGTTAGTTATTATTTATAAATATGAATTCGAGTAAAGTATGGTTGATGAACAGAATAAGTGAAGAATTAATTACTACAGTTGAAAAAAGTATTTAGTTTAATGTATCTATTTAGCTTATGCATAAAGAGGAAGTTGTTTTTTATCTTCCAGCTAAATAATTTGTATGTAATACTTGTGTACGTGTTTAATCACATTAACATTTATAATTACATATATAATCTTGCTATAGATTGGTAAGTATATTAATAGAAATTTAGGAACCTTACAAATGCTCTACTTACATTGATAGCATTAAAGCACTATATATCATGCTTGTTGTATGTATTTACATTCCACAGCTACTGTTCTTGATTTTGGTTTTTTATTTATATATATTTTTTGCATGTCAAATACGTGTGCATTTAATGTGTAACTAGCATATACAGTTAGCAAATATTAATAACAAGATAAACTAAATTTTAATTTTCTTTAATTATTACCGTTAATAGATCCAACGAATCTAGTGGGATGGCGTGTACACCGGTAGGAAATCATCACCGTAAAAGTAACTCTTTAGATGCTGGTATGGGAAAGCAAATAAAGCAACAACCTTCTCGTGAACGGTATGCGATACATAATTTCTATCAGGCACTTTATTACCTTTAAATCTTTTCTGATTACTGATTTACTGATTTTCTTTCTTTTTTACAGAGAACGAGTATATAGATTTCGCTGTATTGTGCCATATCCACCTAACAGTGAATTTGAATTAGAACTTCGAGTGGGAGACATTATTTATGTACATAAAAAACGTGATGATGGCTGGTATAAGGGTACTCAGCAAAGAACAGGTCGTACAGGACTTTTCCCAGCAAGTTTCGTCGAAGCCTTCTGAGATACAGCTCAAAATCATCTTGTATTAGAGACTTGTATATAATTTTGCACAAGTTAAAAGTGACTTATGATAAAGTTACTTTCTAAACTTATTAATGATATAATCGATACAAGGGTAAGTAGTAAGAGTACGGTTCAAACTATAGATCTGATTTACACCTACATTGTATATGGTATGTTCTCATAATTTGTTGTTATAAATACAACAAAAAATTGTTTAAATCATACAAGCATTAAGTATACTGAAATTCTTCAAAATGCATACTGCCACTAATTAAGGGAAAAAAATTAAACAAAGTATGAAATTGTACTATATCTATACTGCCATTTGAACAAAAATATTAAAAATAATATATCTTAACGTTCTTATTAGTGTAAAATCAACTTCGTTATTTGAAATGTACCAAAAGAACCTTTGTTCATACACACTGGATCGTCAAAACAAAATGTTTAAAATCACATTGTTTTTATATTGCCTGAGGTGTTATTGAAGTATGTGTTATTACTACAAAAATATTTATTTATTTTATGTAACAAATTTTTTTGTTTCAAAAAAATTTATAAACAAAGTAACATTATTATTAAGGTATTATTTAGATCTTTTTAAATTGTTATTTTTTAAAAATGTGTGTAGTATATCTTGTAATACAGAATTATATACATTTTTAATAATTTTACGAATTCGCTATTTTTTGCCTTATTGTGGTTGCTAACCTTGAGCAACATTTTTTCCAAACATATTTTTTGTTTTAATCTTTTTTTTGGCTAAGTTAATTGTTAACATCCCTTGTTTTATACAAGAATACGTAAATTTGAGAAATAAGTTTGAATAGCATAAAACATTATATTAAATGTTTATTGGTTGTCAAAGACTGGCTTCTATTTTTACATTACTTAAGAAGTTTTCCATAGAGAAATTAATGATATCGTGAACGATTTTAATAACATTATATTTATATGACACCAGTGACAGTATATTTTGTAATTTATTTTGAGACTAAGTACACGTTCGTGCATGATAACAGATGGCATCGTTAAAAATCAATTTCATATAATTCTACAATTATAGAAAATTATGAATGTAAATTGACGAGCTTCCAGAGACCGAGTAATAATCAGTATTTAATGGAAACTTGTTACTATCCCACATAATGTGTTATTTACAATCATGCACAAATATCTACATATATGTAAGATTACACATGTTAGTATTTTTCATTTTTACACTACAAATATATTAATTTTTAATTAATACCATTCATAGGTTAATTTATATAAAAATATGTTACATAATACTACTGGTTTTTTAAAACTGAACAAATATTCAGAAGTCTGAGCATGTATTGTCCTTCTACATATGTTGTAATTTATTTAATTTATATATTCATATTTTATTATAAAAAATTGTTTTATATAAGTTTGTTAATATACATATACGTACATATACAAGCGCACACGTACGTACACAATATAGAAATAAGATAATGGAAGAAGAAAAGAATGGTAGAGGGTATAAACTAGTAAATGCTTCTGATTTAGTAATGTAGAGAAATTATTCGTTTAAATTTTTAATGAATTTGAACTCCATTACGATCTTTACACAAATCGATATACTTGAAAAATTACGTTCATAGTGTCATATTTTATTTTTAATGAAATACTTTCGTCTTTCTCTCTTTTCTGATACACAATTTCCTTTTTCTTCTTTCTCTGGTACTAAAGAAAAATATGTTCGTCATATTTAATTATACAAATACACCATATAAAATATATTTATATGTATGTGTTTTACATAATATAAAACCAAGTAATTTATTACTATTAATAATGATAGCACCTTATAAAAGGAACATTACTTCATTATAATACATAAATTTCAAATAATAATACAACTAGTAATAATAAACATTGATGTATCTTGTAATGAAAACTTACCAAAATTTATAACATGTATGATCTATTTGATCATAAAGTCTATATAATTTTTCTATTTTTATTTGAAACATGGTATAAAATAAGCAGCATAAAATGAATGTTGCTTAAAATTGTAAATAAAATATAACACCATGACAAAAGCTTAAGCATTCTTTACAATGTTCAACTGCAATAAATAGTAAAATTGAAGATATTGTATTCAGTTTTTCATAATATATTCAATTCCTGTATAAGAAAATGTTTGTAATATCGGCATTGTTTAAAATTGATTGTATACAAGCATTAACTAAATTAATTTTTATTAATGTAACACTTCTGTCCTCCTTGTAGGGTAAATAATTTTTGCCTATTATTAATTGTACATATTACTCAGTAATTTATATTCTGTTACAAACTATTATAGCAAATTTATTTAGATATTGTACTCAGTATAATTTAGAAGTCATAAAATTAACATTTAAGTAAGAAATAAAACATGTAAGAAACTTTTACAAGTAGTTGTAAAATATTATATTTAAAAGTGATTTTCCCCTATTATAATACTGTAATTGACTTATTATTAATAAACTTTATTATATATAGAAAGAGTTGGTTCAATGATTACATTAATACAAATTTTTTACAATGAAATTTATTTACTTTTAACGAAGGTACGTATATTATGTTTAGCAAAATGACATCATTATCAGGAAAGAAAAAACTACCATAGATAAACATATATATAATTAAATGATAATAAATTTTAAGTATTTATCGATAAGAGTAATATATTTCAGCATATAAATAATAAATTTTTATGAAAAGATGGCTCTGTTCAAAATTATAGTTTGTTTAATCTTTAAACACGCAAACTTGTCGAGAATTATCTGTACGACCATGGCCAACCTATTTATTACAAGTGAATTAAAGAGGACATAAACGTAATGCAGTGTGCAACCGTGACTAGCGGACGCACAATCGTTATAAGCAATTGTAAGTTATTTTCTGTTTTCGTTAATGGTATTTACGTAACAACAAAATTTATAATTCAAATATATCGTTCGTCAAGTTACAATAATTAATAACAATACTGTTATATCCTTATATTTTTCACATGTATCCGTATCTGTTAGTAATAATGGAAACAAAGAACAGTGAACCCTCGAAGTTTGAATTAAAGGAGAATATAACTTCTACATTCGAACGAAAATTCAAAGTCCAAGTAAACATTAAAGAATAATTTATAGTTATATATAATAAAATTTTAACTGCTTGTGACGGGAATTGCAACTGAGCAGTGTATATCATCATACAATAAAAGCATTCAATTATTAAACTTGTCTTTTATTAACTACCAATATGAGGGCATTTAATTTAAAGTTTGAGTCATCTCGTCAAAAGTTTGTGTGTGAACTTCAAGGGTCTGCAGTATAATGAAATAATGAATTAGAACTTTACAACCAAGAATTCTTTTTGCTCTTTTTCTGATTTATTTTTGAATTATTATTATTTTAATGAAAGACATTATACTTCGTTAAATGTACGAATCATTATCTATAACAGATTTTAATGATTCGAGTACATATAATATTGAAACGTATAATAACTCTGAGACAATTTATCATTCTTATGAAATATATATAAATAAAAAGTGAATGTATAAGTGAAATTCGATATTTTCGCTTGATAACTTATTTGCGGACGTAGGTATATACCAGTGTATACGTAAGTGGATAACGGGAAGGGATAGGCAATTCAGAATATTAAAGTATTAACGAATAAAAATGTCATTAGATAAGCTAATAAATCGTAACCATCAGATTGTCATTACTCCGTGACGAACTCTCATTTACGTATAAGAGAATTTTAGGACTAAAATGCATATACCTAAAGCTACCTGTAATTCCTAACCAGTAGTATTTATACGTGTTATTATGCTAAATAAGTATAACATATTCTTACTTAATGCATCAATATTTCCTTACTCTGTTTGAAATATTATTTATTCTCAAACCTTAACAGTTGTGTTATTGCTATTAGCAGTCGGTTTCATCAAATTTTTTGAATATAACACAGGTGATTATTGTGAATAATGATTGTTGGGAGAACTTTACTGTCTACCCTTGCAAGGGTACCATTAGTTTCTTATGCACAATCTCAGTTATTAAGGCAGCAGCAAGATGTGGTAATGTAAATTTATAATTTTAATTCTTTGGTTTCTTAAGATTTTATTCTCTGATAATTGTTATCTTCTTAATTAGAATTTATTTTTGTTGGTGGGCAAAGTATCCAATTATCATACGAATAAGAATATTGAATATATTGTACAAAGTAATCAAATAAAAGGTCATAATAGAACAATTGAACAGTCTGATAATGTGAAAAATAGGCCATTGTTAGTTTTACTTAGCTGGCTATTATCAAAACGTAAACATGTTATGAAATACACGAATTTGTACAAGGAACAAGGTTTTGATATTGTTGTAGTATCAGTTACTCCTTGGCAACTATTGTGGCCTTCAAAAGGAACTAGGGTATGTATAAAAAAATGAAAATTATTTAATCGTTGATTTATTTGCATCATATATGATTTAATTTGGAAAGCTTTTCTTTTAGTTAGTTGCTGCAGATCTATTAGACTTCCTAGCGAAACATAAAAATTATGAACAAATATTCTTACATGGGTTCTCAGTTGGTGCATATATGTGGGGAGAAGTGTTAGATATAATGCAAAGTAATCCCCAAAAATATAATAATATAATTGACAGAATTGTTGGTCAAGTATGGGATAGTGTAGCCGATGTAACAGAATTGTCAATAGGTATACCACGAGCAGTATTCCCAAAAAATTTGGTGTTACAAAATATGTTGCAAAAATATATGGAGTAAGCTTATCTTTCTTAATAATTATATATGTTTTTTAAAACCATAATCTTTAAAATACAGATTGATAAAAAAGGGATCCAATATTTGCAGGACTTACAGTATTTACAGAAAGGCATAAGAAACCTTTAATTAGCATAATCTGTAAAACCAACTGTCATTAAATAAGATTGTTGCAACTCATGTTTGTGTCATTTTGCTTTATCAATACCAGAGACATGTTAGTTGAAAATTGTAAACAAAAGATTATGTCCTTAATGCATAAATGCAAGGTATATGTAATAACAGAAAAAGGGCATACTGATTACATTATATGTATGTTTATAACTATATTTATGATATTGTCTTGAATAGTCTTTGTTTATAGTAGAACACAATAATCTTCTGTTTGTAATCTTAAACTAATATATTTTTGTTAGAAACAAAATGGCATGATCATGAAAAAGTTAGTCTTAGGACCTATGTTTATTACATATTTTTTACACTTCTCTGTGAGTATTACAAGTTCTGTAAATATCAGACCTTTTTTTTTATAACTCTGTACATGTATATTAAAATAATTTGTAGGTATCACTTAAAAACATTTTACAAACAATCTACGCAATATTATGTACGCTCCAGTCAATTATTTCATACAAATTTGGTACGTACCCCTGCTTTATTTCTCATGAGTAATACAGATCCTGTTGGTTCAGTAACTAGTAACATGAAAGTACGTGATTCGTGGGATAGTTTGGGTACAAAGGTAAGATATATAATTATATGTACATAAAACAAAGGTACAGATTTATTATTTTCATATATATATCTTTCAGACTTATGTCAAAATATTTGAAAACTCTCCACATGTTGGGCATTATCAAAAATATCCAAAAGAATATGTCGCCGAATTATACGCCTTTTTATATAAATTAAATTTAATTCAAAATGAAGAAAGAATGAGATCACATTTTTGAATGTGATATTTTATGTATAATCATTCATATTTCAATATAATATGTATTACATTTATCAAATATGTAATCCTTTGGTACATATTTAACTTTTATATAAATTAATTTTGAGGGAAACAAATGCCAAAGTGATCTAATGTATAATTAATTAAAATTTTTTACTTAATTGTTTTAGGCTGTGTATACTTTATTGGCTGTAACTGAAATTAATTTTGTGCAATAATTTAAAATTTAGTAATTCAAAATTACGATTATTAAATAATCACACAAGTGTTCACTTAAAGATATATGTATGTTCTGTAGAGAGATAAGGAGCTAAGCAGGGAACTGCACAGGGGCAAGGAGAATATACTCCTCACGCCTATGCTGCCCAGATTCCTTCCATTTAACTTCTTCTTATCTCTCTCCTATATAGTAGACAAGTAATAAAAGAAAAAAATGAGACAATCTATATTCTGTAGGTACTTTAAACTTATTTTTTGAATTTAATATAGAAAACGGAATATATAATAATCTAATCATCAACTGTACAGGAAACGATATAAATACTCGCCTTTTATATGATAAATATATTATGTCTGTGTACACTTTATAAAAATAATAAAAATTAATTATACTTTTACTTGTATTCAACTTATATTATATTTACTCTTATCAGTGTCTTTCCTCTTTGATTTGTAACGTTTTTTCCTTTCTATAATCTCTTCAATTTCATCAGGATCCTTGCCTTCAAGAATAAGCTTTTTACGTTTATTGATTCGTTTCTTCTCATAAAAGTCCGTTTCGTCTAATTTCATTTCCGCTTCTCGTTTAGCAACAGAAATTTGTGTTAGGATTTTAATTATTTCCGTATCTGTATAACATGTTTCATGTGAATATGCGTTTGGTCATTACTTTATTATATATCAAATGTGAAAATATATATTACCATTAACTTTATATTCTGTCAATTTTGTTCCAATAGCTTCCTCAACAGCATGTAACAATTTAATATCGTTGGGTGCTATCAGAGTAATTGCCATACCTCCTTTACCTGCTCTAGCTGTTCTTCCAACTCTATGAATGTACTCTTTTGGCACATTTGGTACAATATGATTTACAACTAATTCAACTGTAGGAATATCTAAACCTCTTGCTGCAACATCTGTAGCTATTAAAATTTGTATATGATTTGACTTAAATTGGCTGAGTGCTGCAAGACGATCTTTCTGTTTTATCATTGCATGTAGAGCTACATTTTTAAACCCCACATCACTTAACATCATAGACAGTACTTGACAATTCCTAAAATGCAGTTAATTGATAAATTCTGATTGTACTTAACTGATATTCATGTATATATTAAATATTTGCATAATTTTGCTTTACTTGCAAGTGTCTGTAAAAATCATTATAGATCCATTCTCATTTGTTGTTCTAAATGTTCTTATTACTTCTACTAAAAAAGAATCGCGGACATCGCTTGGACAAAGTACATAACGTTGATCTAGTTGCCTCACTGTAGCCACACCAGAATCCTCTGTTGATTCCCAAATGAAAGCCTTTAAAAATAATAGAAACATGTGCAAAGTGATCATTTAAAATTGTTGGTTAATGTTTAACTTTCATTATTCTTAAAATTTTATAATACCTTTTTTGATACTATATCTTTTACTTTGCTAAGAGCATCTGTCATTGTTGCACTAAAGAGTAACATTTGCTTTTGTTTAGGTAATGCATCAAATATAACTTTTAATTGATCATCAAAGTGTCCTTCTAATAATCTATCAGCTTCATCTAAAACTAAGAATTTTATTTTCTTCAGAGAAAATGTGTTGCAACTTGTCAAGTGATCTGCTAATCTTCCTGGGGTTGCAACAACTATATGTGGATGTTTTGATAGTTCTAAACCTTGTATAACCATATCCATACCACCAACAATTACACATTTCTTCAAACCAATAGATTTTCCTATTGCTGAAAATTGATCGGCAATCTACAAATAAAAGTATTCATTTTTATGCTTATGAACACAATAAAGACAGGCATCAAATGTGCGTTTTAAAATTATAATAATATTCAATATACTTGAAAAGCAAGTTCTCTAGTTGGTGTTAAAATAAGTGCAAAAATGCCATATGGATCTTCTGATAATTTCTGTAATATAGGAAGTGCAAAGGCAAGTGTTTTACCACTGCCAGTTTTTGCACAACCAATACAATCTTCACCTGCTAAAATTCTAGGTATACAATTCTGTTGAATTGGTGTGGGATTTTTTAAACCTAAAACAAAGAACAGTGTAACAAGTACCTTAGTCTATTAATTAACATTTAGATTATTTCTTACCCATAAAATTACACTGGTCAACCAGCCATGAGTTTAAGTTTAACGTTGTAAATGTCATGATTTATCTTTTAATATAAATACATATGATAATACATCATATAACCTATAAATGCATACATAATTACAAATACATTTGACTTGATAATGCAAGTACTACTGATTCAAAATTTTAGTACAAACACAAGATAATTTTTTATTTTATTAGTACCATCGCTTGCCGCTAAATGACACTAGCAGCAGCTAGTTGGTTCCAGAAAAAGGGAAGAAGCGCGCAAACGTAAATTTTAAAGAACATAAGAAAGTGATGGCTTTCAAAATAATTGCTGACAATCTTTTTGGGAGAGTTTAATTACTTGTTGATTCCAGTGACAGGCTAAATGCGTACCAATGCACGTGTGCTATGGTGAGTGATACGATAATTTTGAATTTAAAATGTATTGTTTTGTTAGCAACGATTTTCAAAGTTATATTTATCGTCTTTTGTGAAAGATCCATAAATATATATGTAATATGTACAAATTTGTTCAATATGTTTTTCGCATTATTTAGCACATAAAAGATTTCAATTTTACACACACACCCACGCGCGCGCACGTACGTACGAACGCACACATAGTATTTATAGATTGATGATAAGAAGAACAGTCATTTTATAACATCAAAAAAAGGTAAAATTGACTTATACCTTAAAGTCAACACCTTAAGTCTTATCGTATTAGTATCTTCAAGTTTGCACACTACACAGAAAATATTAAATTTGTTGCAAAACTCAGTGAAGATATTTGGCGCGTATTTTTCTCGAACATATGTTGTTTATAGGTGAATTTTACCTTCTTCGTAGAATATGCCTCTTCTTTTTTAGCATCAATTCTAGAACACCCTGTATATTGTATATACTTACACAAATTATTGGATATGCAATTTATTTATTATCATACCTTAATTTATAGAAAATAATAATAGTAATACACATTTGTATGATTTTATCGATCAGTAAAGAAGATACAATAATACTACGTTTACACTGTATGTCAGGATCATAAATTTGTTAAATTACCGAAATTAAATTTTAGAATATAATTTATAAATAAAATTACTTTCCAACATGTATATAATCTTTACTTATTGTGGTTATCGTAGCATTGCACTTGTATTAGTGATCATTTTTAAAACCAAAGAACATTAAATTTACAGAAAACCAACGATATTTATAAGTATATTATGGCAGTGAGAGGAAAACTGCCGATAACCAAAAGCAAAGGACGTTTTTAATTTTTAGTTAATATAACTAAACGCGTTAAAGAATTACTATCAGTTAATCGGTTTCTTCCTCGATATAATACTTTTACTACCCCCTTCGCTTTCCGAAAAATATACGTATTTAAATAATTATCGTAAAAATGTTGGCGAGAACATTGTATTGCAGTTTTTTCTTTTTTAAAACGCATTGGTATTTTGTTAATTTTGCTATGAAAAAGTATACATTATCATCTTGAAATTACTACGATCTTTCATAAGTACAATGGTGAAAATTCGAATCGACTCGAATTTTCCTTCATTTTACAAGATGACAAATTCAATTTCAATAATGTATAGCCTGAAGTATTAAAAACACCGTTGTCATTTGCTCTGATAAACAAACTTTGCTATTTTATAAATCTAGAAATATGTACTCGTAGTTTTACTAGTAATTCGGTCACTGCGATTGGAAATTCGACAACTCGCTAAAATCTTGAAGAAAAAATGTTCACCTACCGCTAGCTACGTTAGAACAAGAATAGTTAATGGAATAATGTAATAGTTTTATCACAAATCTTATCATAGAGCGGTTAGCGACCATCATACTATTGGGAAAAAAAAGAATTACATCTTACTTTATACGATTAAGTTAATACGATGTTCTTAAACATTACTCAAATGCTCTATTGCACAATAAAGGAATAATTACTGTCATTAATTAATTTAATGATGATTTTAATTGCAGCATAATTTTGTATATATCTGAATTTTCCTTTTGTTTTTTTTTACAAGTACCATTACTAATCAAACACTGATTTCTCCGTCCAAATTGTCATTTTTTGCGTGTTTCTTGAGAGTTAATATTTTCTTGTTATCGCGCGTATCTTATTGATAAACACAAAACGGAAAAGCAATACGCATATATTTAATACAAATGTACAGTAATTTGTTCGCAACGCATTTAAATGGCTACGACCATATCTTTTTTTTCTAGGAAAACATTTAATAACAGATGTTACGTGAATGAATAGGTTGCAATCAATTTTAATTCTTAGTTTATTACTTCTAAATGCTGTTTAAACCTCAATATGGATCTGTCATGTTTTAAGTTTCAATTCTGGATGTAATTAATCGCTATTAAACAATCTAGTTTACATTTTTTTATCGATAACGGTACGCAAAGATATTTTCAAACTTGAAATATATAGCTAACTACGTATGTTTAACAAGAATGTCTACAATAATTTTGATCTATATTAGTTTTTTAATTTGTTTACATCCAAAATTGAAATGTATTCTAGTAAGCGAAAAATCGGAATAAAGATTAGAAACTTTATCGAATTTATAAGTTCTGAAATGTTTATCGCGCTACGTCATTATACGTGTGTGTATGTACACACACGTGAACACACGCACGCGTGCGCGCACGCACGTAGAACATATTATTAGAATTACAAGCAAGACTATTACAACTTAATAGTTGGTTTTGCGTACATTATTCTTATCACTGTTTTTAATATACAAATCCAATTATTCGCAAGAAATAAATAATGATTTTCCATTACAATTCTTAAAGTAAATATTAACATTCAACAAAATTCATGAAATTGATGATGATCATTGTCCGAAAAATACAACATTTTTTAAAATAATTAAACATGACATAAGGGGGCGAAAGTAACGCGTATAAAATTGATCTACTTAAAGATTTCAGATCTAAATACAATTTGTAAAATCGCATATGACTCTTGTAACTGAGCTTTACATTTCAATCATTCGATTTGTTTCATAATTGAAACGACGATATTTCTATATGAAAAACGACATTTAACATAAAATTCCGTTCCTCAAGTTCGGTATGAGAAACTCCACTTGCTCGCTTTTTGTATTTATTTTAACTAATTATTTTAACTTGAATAGTTAAACGAAATTTTTTTTTTTAAATTCGTTATTGTTTTTAAATCATGTATTCGATATACGATGATATTTACGTGCAATGCACTTATACATTCGCTTGATCAAGGCATTGTGACACATCAACATACGGAATACAACAATCAATTATTTTGCGCGCACAATTTGTGTACATACGTGTGCGCGCGCGCATGTGTATACTGAGTACGTATATGTATGTACGTACATGTACGAATATTCATATATATAAATATATATATGAATGCATGTACGTGTACTTGCATGTCTGTATTTGTTTTGTTTGTATATATGTGTCTATGTAGGTATGCGTTACATTTCAATTATGATCTATGCGTACATACATACATACATGCGCGCTATACACATAAGCAGTATTTACAATTTCTTTTTTTTCCCTATGATAATCAATCACGCGTTTTTGAGAACAGCAATTAATATATGTTACCTAGCTTTTGTCTAATTTAATTAATTAATTATTATCAATAATTATTATAATAATAGCTATTATCATACATAATATAAGAGTATGGATTTTTTCTCCGTTGTCCCTTATCTATGGAAACAGTACTTAGATGTAATTCAACTCATTAATTTCCTTCCTCGTTTCTTAGAACAAAGGAGGATTTTTAATCTGGTTATCCTAGTTGTATAAATTTTGCATACGATATAAATATTTTATTAGTAAAAAATTGTTTAGTAACGTAAAGTCATTGATATTGAAAGTGAAGCGATGTCGAAAGACTACAGGTTTGGGACCCTGTCATCTTTATCAAAAATGATGTATACACAAAATACTAATGACAAAGCGAAGTACATAGTGGATAAAATAAAATACTAGCTGTATTACAATCAAGTATTATAGTAATGAATTGATTACGTGTACGCTATTTTAGATAGAACTATAGTTTCCAAATAATTATTCACTGAATAACATGTAAAATCAATGAACATTGTTTCTTTATTATTTTCTTTTCTTTTCGTGCGGGTGGGGCAAGGGAACTTTTGTTAGGCCCTTAAATGTTCGTTGTTAGAAGAACAAGAACCTGAAACGAAGACTTGAACAATGAAAAGTAATGTGAAAATACAAACATGCTAATTATTTCATTAGTGGTTTGCATAGTTTTGTATTAGCATATAACTTTTAAGATTGTTAAAACTTCTAAGAAGTATAGAACGTCGTAGGACAAGGAGATCTGTTTTCGCATACCTAAATTTTATTTATAATTTACTCCGAATGATACTGTAAACTTGTATTTATAGTTGTTAAGAATGTGGAAAGTCAATGGTGTGTGTTTCATTGCCAAAAATTAAGCGCAATCTTTTCATAGGTGGCGGAGGGGGGTCCAGATTTAGTTCGCGTTTCTTATGCCGTCTTTCACGATCACGGGTTTTATGCTTTTTCTTACGTCTACTTCTTTCCACGCCCTCTACGCGTAATACTTCATACTCAGGTTCGTAACTGTCCTCGCTAAGACTTGTACCCGATTCTACGATGTCGTCTATAACTGGAGAACGTTTCATGCGAAGAGTAAGCTTTAATCTGCCAGTTCTTTCCGGAGTATTTGGACAAACTTGACAGCTGGAATTATTCAGTTGCCACTGACATTCCGAGAGACTCGCAGATTTTTGTGTACTGTCGCTATTACAAGATGATAATCTAGAAATTTCAATACTTCTTTGTCCTAATACATACAATACGTCACTTAAACAAATAGCATGTACACGTAATGAAAAATTTACCTTTTCAAATCTTCGCTCTCTACAGAATTTTCTCCAGACTGATCTGAATCTGTCAATTGATTCTGATTACAACTAGCTGGTGGCCATGGTTCTTGAGGAACTAATACTGGGGGCTCAATTTTATTGCACTCGTCATTGTATTGCATTTCTTGTAAGTGCGATGTGAGTCCAGGTGTATGGCGAGTTTCTTGTTTGTTTCGTCGCATTATTGAAGGTATTCTAATATCTTCCAAGTTACTCTCTTTTTCACTAAACTCGTAAATATCGCCTTGAATGCCTGAATCGTCGTCTGCCATACCGATTTCGGTAGTCGCAATTTTCTTCCGATCTCTTTTTTGATTTCTTGTCACTCTACTTTTTGTTTTTTCAATTTTGGTACGAGACGTTTTCGAAATAGACGTAATTACTCCATCAACTTTCTTTTGTTCCGGAACAGTTTCTGGTTCTTCTTTCGATCCAGAGGTCGAAGATTTCTTATCGTAGAACAGCTTTTTTCTACTTTTGTGGGATCTCAAGGTTGTATTTAATGTTCCGTTTCTTTGCAAAGGTTGTTTTAAAATAGTGTTACAGTTATCTTTTAAGTCATGAGTTATAATACTACCGTATTTATTACTTTCCATCGTACTACAGTTTTTATCACTTTCTTTATACGAGTTTACCTGAGAATCCATTACAGTTACACATTCTTCTATCATTTCATTTGTTTCAGACTTCATCTCGGAACAATTTGCAACATTTGCTACGTATATATTATCTTTAACTAAATTTTCATGATTTTCTTCATAATCTTTTACTTCCATAGTTTCCTTGTTAAAATGTACATTCCTTTGATCATCATTACTTGTCGATTTTATAAGATCATCTGAAATGTATTTTTTAAATTTGTCCGCTTCGTTTTCTATAGAATATTTGATGACATTAGATGAGCTCATACAACCGCTTCTTTTAAATTCTTTATCGAATTCATGTGTATCGATAGTAGAAATCGTTCTGTCATTTTCTACATAATTTAAATTTTTAGACGATTTTACATGAATTAAAGATGTTTCTTTTTCATTTTTGCAAGAAAAGTCCTGATGCTCGTGTTCATAGTTTTCTTCTATTTTCTTTTCTGAAGTATGATTTTCGCTATCTGACAGTGTTTTAACACAACTATCTAATTCTACTGGTATTGCAGAAACATTATTTTCATCCTTAACATTTTCGATCGATGATAAGTTATAATGACAAGTCCTTGATTGATGATTCTCTTGCGAAATTAATTCGTTTTTATTAGCTTCGTGTAACTGATCTAATCGAGTTTCAGGCGTGGAACTTATATGAACTGAATCACAGGAATTTGTACTATAATGTTTTTCTTTAGAATTTGAGGTATCAATATTACCTACCGAGTTAGATTTAATTTCTATAATAATATCAGGTATTTCTTTATCATTTATCGATTTACTATTCAGTTCTCGATTATTTTCAACAAAGGTAGTTGAACACTCTCTTTGAAAGTCAGAACAATTTGACTGTTTCAATATGTCATGATGCGAAGTCTGAACATGGCAGAGATCATGAATTTCTTTATTCAAAGTACTCTCTGAATGGGACTTATGTAATCTAGAATATACCGCTTCTTCGGCAACATCTACTCTATCTGAATCTTCTTTACGATGACTTACATCTTGTATTTCAATATTTTTTATTATAGAACCATTCAAACAAGATCTAGTTTTATCAGAAACTTTATTCTTCTTTGATTCTGTTCTTTTATGAAGCCTAATATAATGTTTAACATATAATAATAACATTGCTCCTCTATAATTATAGCTTACAAATTATGAAACAAAATCTTACCTGGAAGATCGAAGTGTGTGGTTGTTATTAACATTATTCTGATGGCCATTATTGTTATCAAATTTATAAAGTTGTTTATTTCGTAAATTTCTTGTAGCAGAACTAGAAATAGATGAAGGGTGAGGTCGAGATGTTTGCAATACATTCTCACCATTGTTAATAATAGGCTGTTGTTGAGCAATATCAGAGAATCGACATCCTTGTGCAATTAGTAATTCTGCGTCATATTTTGTTAAACCTTTTCTTCGCAACTCTTTCATACTAAGACTTTGTGGTGCTACTGCAGCATTACCAACAAGCATTGCATTTTTTTCAGTAAGTGCAGTATCAGCCTGTTGTTTACTGCGGTTTAATGGTTGCTGCCTATGTTTCGTACGATTGATACGATTGTCCGTTTCTCTTAAACGATATCCTACAATAATTTTAAATTTACTATTGAATATATGCATCTTGATTAATTCAAGTTCTCTAATTTCTAAAAATACCAGAAGAGAGTTCTTCGCCTGGTTTTTGATTTGCAAATGCTCCAGTTCCCCTCCTTTCACAAGTTTCACATTCACAATAGCAATTGCCATCTCCAAAAAAATCTTCTCCATAAAAACAAGTAATTTCTTCCCCTACTTCGATATCTCTAAGAACCTTAACACAAGCTGTGTCTCGTCCAGTTGCTACAAACTGCAGTGTGTACAAATTAAACAAAATAAATTATAATGAATTATAATTATCACGAGTGTAAAATAGTGGAATAATTCCAAATGTAATAACCTTGCAATTAGCTCTACAATCATGATTAATATAAGCTGCTGGTCCTAACCATAACTGTGCACAATTCTTTCGACAACTGAACATAACAGAAAAATCATTTTTTCCAGGATGTAATAATGCTGCTTCTTCCTAAAAAGAAACCATTTTACGAGTAAAGCAAATTCATAAAAGCATTTTTTTGACTGTTTTAATATTCTATATTTAATTTTAAACAAACCTTTTCACTGAGTTCTGCAATACAACCAACAAGACAAGATATTTTATCATGTTTTAACCACTTTCGAGTTGCACAAATTTTGGCACCTTTTTGGCCTTCGAGACTATACCTATAGCATGGTTCTATTGCAAATCCAGAATCTTTGTCAAAAACTTTCAAGTATCGGTAAATCTAAAAAAATAAAATGAAATTCATAAAAATTTACAGACACCTTCAAATATTTTATTCCGTGTACAAGACTCACATGTTTTTCCAAATTTAATTGTTGCTGTTTAGATTTTGTGTGAGGAAGCCTTGCACCCCAGTCACCACCCATTAATTTTTTATACGTTTTCTCATAATTTTGAGTTTGAATGAATTCACAAATAATTTTACGAAGTTCATCTTTATTTGCTTTCAATGGCCTGTACCTTTACCATTAGATAAACTTTTTACATGGTAATTCCATTTTATTGTGCAAACTTGAAATAGTACTGAAAAATATTTACCTGATATTCATTTTGTGGGTGGTAAATCCTAAATAAGGATCTAGCACGAGAGAAGTAGCTAGGTCATCATTGTCTGAAAGTTCTTTGGGTGTCATGCCACCGCAACTACCAACATTGTTAGGTTGCATTTTGGCACCTACTAACCCACCTAATCTTCGCTCCTGCTTCCGTATTATAGCTGCTGAGCTTTGAATGGATAAGCAATCCACCACCATTCTGCAATCTGTACTATTACTGTACAAATCAAAAATTAATTGACAACTGACAAATATTGTTAAATAATAATAATAATTAAAATGATATGTTTCTGTTTACATTTATCTTTATAAATATACATTGTAGGTAAATGATATTAAACATAAAATAATCACACTTCACATGAACTTTTTAAAATATATTTAAAAACTATATACTTTCAATTCCTTTACAGAAATACAATTATGAATCAACTTTCTATTGCCCTAATGAATACAGATATTGACATATCTTTTATGAAATATTAAATATTTTATATATGAGTAAAGTAAAGATTCAATAAAGCTGAATAACAAACATTAATATTCATATCTATAATATAAATTTATTACAAATTAAGGTTTGTTGTCTTTCTTAAACCATCAATTACAGTTACTAATGCAGAAATAGTAAATACTTTCTTGATACAAAGGAAATATAAATATGACAAATTATGAAAATTCTAAACTGTTAAATAAGATACAATACAAAAAAGATATAAATTTTTATAAATTACACATATTTATTGTAAAAAGGATTTTTAAATATCGAAGTAATAATATGTAAAATAAATATGATGTGTAACAGAATTATTTAACTGAAAAAATATGTACTTTTTTTTAGAAAAAATACGCTACCAAAAATTTCGAGTTATTACCATGTCAATTATCACTCGATTATTTCATTTTGTCTTTTACGTCGAACAAAGATTAAATGATGAGGAAATGCAAAAAATGGTACATTAGAGAGAATGTTCATCGAAGTACTGTACTATTTTGATAATATGATAGAAATATCTGGCGATCATGCTCTGAACGCTAATGGCGCAGACGAGCCAGAGCGCTCCTACAGGCACGCTGCGCTCCAATTTAACAAGAGAATTTATTTACTTATTATGGATCTTGAAAATCAGTAGAGTCGTTAAATTTTCGTCAAATAATGTACTTACCTTTAAGATGCTCTCCTGATAACAAAAATGACTCATTTTGCTAGCAATCTTTGACTTTTTTGGAATAAGACGAAGACGCGTTCGGATCTATCATGGCAGATCTACTATACCACATACACTTTCCCTATTTTCATAATACAAAAAAGATGATCATTGCATTGAAATTTGTGATTTTCTTATAACACGGATAAAACTTAACATTTCCTTTACAAAATTGAAGACAAAAATTATAAACATTTAATTGAAAATGTAATACAGAAAATCCATGTTTTGGAACCACGAAACGTCGAGTACGTCATACATGTATATCTCGCATACATCGATCTAGTAACTTTACCGATTTACTAAGGTAATTTTATTTCTAAAGATTTATAAATCATTTGTTACGAAGTTATAACATCTCGTGATTTTAAGTTATATGGTCGATACGTTATCCATTGTGCCAATGATAAATGTTTTCCATTTTCCTTCAAATAATTGATTCAAAGTTATTTAACTATTTAGTTTGGTAACATAAGATTTTAAGGATGTAGTACTGCGTTTCCATGACAACCATATGATATTCCTACACATATATATATATATATATGTACAATGTGTATATATGTATATATCTTTTGATAGTCGGAAACAATAGCGAAGAGATTATTCTGTACTTTGGCATGTAGAATCACTTCTTCATTACACTTTATATATTATAATTATATTATTCTTACACTAAAATTTATATCTTTATCGATTACTTTAAAATTAAATAATAAGTAAAAACAATAAAAAGCCTAGCTCAAATTTTAGTCTATATATTGGAATCTAAAGTTTTTAAAATCATTTCAAATGGTATAATAAAAGCAATTCGCAGTGTGATGAAAAAATTATGTAATATATTAATCAATGAATAAACAGTTGAATTAATAAATTTTGTATGAAAACACATGATGATTTAAAAACTGGCAAATATCTATTTACCAATGACCTGTGATGAACAATTTCTTTATCAACCAAATACGAGAGTAGATATGCGTGCGCACGGTTAACGAAAGCATGTGAATAAAAGTTGTAATTATCATTGTGTAAATAAAACACTCAGGAAAATGGAATTACATCTATAAATTTATACATGTTAAATATAAGTTTTTTCTTTGCCTTGTACAGAAAGTAGTAGTAGTAGTTAATAATTATTGAATATATATATAAATATAACAATGACTCTTGAAAGCACAGCAAGAGAAACTCAGCATATAAGGAATTTAAAAGCTGGTTTAATTGATTTTGTTGCTGGTTCACTGGGTAATAATATTTTACAGTATACTAGAATACGTTATTTATTAAAGCAATATAAAAATCATTTTTAAGAATACAGAATAAAATTAAGTAATTTAGAATATTTATCTTTAATTATTGTTGTAGTTTATATAATGTGTTAGTATAATTGCCATTAATTTGTAAACAATATTCACTGAGCATGTTTACTTTTACATCCAATATTATAATATTGTTAGTAAATAAAGAGAGTATTTAATATGTGATACATGGTCTATGTTTATCGAATCATCAATCTTCCATCATTTTATATATTTTTTTTAAGGTGGAATAGCCCTTGTATATGTTGGGCAACCCTTAGATACTGTTAAGGTAAAGATGCAAACTTTCCCTTCCATGTATAAAGGAATGGTAAATTGTTTTTTGCAAACATTAAGAACGGACGGAGTAATACGTGGTTTATATGCAGGAACAATGCCTGCGGTAGTTGCTAATGTAGCTGAAAATTCAGTATTATTTGCTGCATATGGAGGATGCCAAAAAGTTATATCTAATCTTTTAGGTAACATAATTGTTTTAAAATATTACAAATATAAATTATAACTTTTTATTTGAACACAAAATTTTCATAGGTTTGAAGAAAGTAGAGGATTTAACATCCTTTCAAAATGCTTGTGCTGGATTTTTTGCTGCATTCTTTTCTTCATTAACACTATGTCCAACAGAACTCATAAAATGTAAACAACAAGCATTAAGAGAAGTTCAAACTGAAGCGACAGGAACAGTAACAGAAACAAATATAATTAAAGTAAGAAAAAGGAAAACATAATGTAATTTAAATTTTAAAAATAATGATTATTCTTCTTAGAAAAATATTGGACCATGGAGTTTGACAAATCAAATTCTTAAAGAACAGGGAATAAGAGGTCTGTTTTCTGGTTTATCATCAACTATTGCTCGTGAAATGCCTGGGTACTTCTTTTTTTTTGGAGGCTATGAAATTACTAGAGAACTATTAGCAAAACCACATGAAAATAGAGATGATATTGGATGGCAAAAAACAATGGTAGCTGGTGCTGTTGGTGGAACTGTGTTATGGCTTGTTATATTTCCAGCGGATGTTGTTAAAAGTAGAATACAGGTTAGTTTTATATGGTAAAATATATGTACATACATATATATGTATGCATATATATTTAAGAGGAATTAATACATAAATGAATTTTGCATAAAATTTCATTTTTGAAGGTGAAAAATTTAAAAGACCCAGCATTAGTGGTTATGAAAGATATTGTAAAGAACGAAGGTATTGGCTCCTTGTATAATGGTCTGAAACCCACATTAATAAGGACAATACCAGCAACAGCTACATTATTTGTAACTTACGAGTATACCAAAAGATTTATGCATAATTATTTTGAAAACAGCTGACAGAAGAAATGATACTTATACATGTATGCACAAACATGTAAATGTATGCAGGATTAATAAAAATTTATATTTAAGAAGAATATATGTATATATAATGTCTTTTTCAACAATTGATATAGTAATAACCAGTTTTAAAACTTTTTATTGTCTTTAAATAAAAAATAATTTTCTCCAAAAAGAAATTTTTTTAAATTTGTTTTTATTTTTTTATGACAATATGATATTTTTTATGATAGGTTTTCATAAATTCGGTTTCTCAAATAATCTTCTTTCTCTTTGTCCTCAGTAAGAGAATTCCACTCTACTTCGTCAATCTGCAAAATCAGTGATAAAATTAATGTATATATTATTTTATGATTTTGTTAAATAATTTGAGAAATTACCACAATTGGTGTATATCCAATAGCTTGTAGCTGTTTCAGTTTTCTTTTTACAGAACCAACATAATCATCACGACCATGCAATTTTTGATCAACAGATAGTGGATGTAGAACATTCCACTTTATATTCTTTAGGTTCGCAGTATTTACATATTTAATCGAACCAGTAGGCATTGATGATAAAATAGGTTCTATTGCGACAGGATTATTATGTTCATCAAAACCAAAAATTACATCTTTTACTGGGTAATGAGGCAAAATATAATCAATATACACATCTATACCCACGAATTGCTACAGCAAAAAATTAAAACATATTAGATACCTTTGTTTCTCTTCTGAAAACGTATTTTGTATATAATTTTGTAAACAGACCTTGCATATGTATGTAATATCAGTTTGAAATGTTACATTGCTCCACTTTCTACGAATATTATTCTTGCATAAGTATTCCTACAAAAAAAAAGAAAGAACAGTCAATTTTGTTGGTTATTAATTTGATTATTTATACATTCCATCAGAAATAAATATTATGTATACGTATATATAAATGTATATACATAAATTATACCTTTATTAAATAATCATACATTGCTTTTGTCAAAAATGGACCTTTATAATCAGGAACCTCTATTTTAACTGAACACTCCAGTGTAAGCATATCACTTGTCACCAGTATCATATTGCCTTGATGCAAGTTATGTACATATTTAGGGTTCAATACATATTGGATTAATTGTGGAATATGAATATTTCTACTTATTGCGTATGTTAAAACACGTACTAATGATATAGGATGCCTATAGTTCATAAATTTATTAGATTAAAGCTTATTAGATTTATTTGTTTGATAGAATCAACTTTAATATTATATATCTTCATACCGTGGTTAATGATAATAAAATATAGTAATATTTATGTTCATTATATATACAATAATATGTTTTGAGCATAAAAACTCACGCTTGAATTTCAGTTAGTCTAACTGTTTGATAGGTTTCGAAAATTTCGTTCATTAACATATGACACGCTTCCTGATAGTAGTCATTGTAAGGAGCAACTGAATAGATAGCAAATAAAATCCTTTCAATATCTTTTACTCTTGCATCTTTTATTTCTTTTTTTGCTCTAGATCAGAATTTGATATTACTTTTAACGTACAAATGTAATGATGTTAGCATTCTTTTATGGAGCTTACCTCTCAACAATTTGTGTTGTTAAGGGTTCATTGTATACCCGTATTCCACCAAATGCATGTGCTATATGTGTTAGACATTTTAATGGTAACCTTGGTATTTCACTATTTAAAGAGTTCAGTAACTCTTGGAATTCTGCCATGCAATATCTACAGCCAGTATATCTATAAATAAATATATGTATAAATGTAATGGACAAAAATCATTGTTAGAAAATTATTTATACTGTAAATTGTTCTGTTACCTTATTAGTTTCATAAGCGCTGCTAAAGTATTACTTTCCATGAATTTAACATTTTTCGTAACTCTTACTATCATTTCTTTCATTAAATCATGATTTATAATTTTCCTCTTTTTCATAAAAAAACCTCTTGCCAATATACCTATCTCGTTTGCGCTGAGATCAGATATGCATTCTTTTGCACGACATTCAACTGCAAACATGTTAACGGAAAAATTTGATGATTGTGAACAATTCATAAGGAAAAGGAATTGAACTAAATGTTTTGCAGATAGGTTATTAATCTTTGATCCTAGTTTTCTCAATGCACGCCATTGATAATATGATGTGGAATCTGCAAGTTGATAGAATCCATCACATATTAATAACATTTCTTCGATTTTTGATGGAAAGAATCGTTTTAAACATTGCTGATTTAATGTCCCAAGAAATTGTTTCCAATAATATGATTTATTAATGTCAAAATACATTGTACACATGTGTCGCATCAATGACTTTAATTCATCATCAGTTAGTTTAGGTAATTTATCATTACAAGCTTTTAAAATGTCATCATATAGTGCTGTTTCAAATCTTGTACCACTTAAGTGACAATATGATATTTTTTTAATAGCATCATAAATGTATGATGTAGATGCTTGAGACCAATCTGTAATATATAATTCACATATTTCTTCATATTTAACGTGTATATGTGCTTTACTCGGTTGCATAACAGTATTTTCATAATGTACAGATTTTACTAACAGTTGATGGATAATTTTATTGTCAGATATATATTCTTTCGTAGCTATCGTATCATTTTTTTCAATTTCACGAAGTTCAGTACTATATTTCTGATACCACATAAAATATTTATATTTTTCTGGATACCTCTGAAATGTATCTAAAGTATTTCTATCCCATACACGATTTATCGACTTTCTGAAGTATGATCTTTTATATAACCTTAAAAACGTTATCTTACATTTGTGGTTTAAAATCGCACTTATAGTATTGCTCGTTCTTTGGATAAATATAGGAAACATGATTTATTGAAGACGTGTCTTAATATTTTATAATTCTAGGTAAAATGTCTCAAACAAATATCATATATTTTTACTCTTCAGCACTTTTAACCGCTTTGCTGTACGCTGTGCAACTATATACAACACACGCTGATAAACGCAAAACACGTGCTAAATGTAAACATAAGCAATTAAAGTAATCATCTAATATATTATTTTTTTGTTTTTAAGTAAATATTAAAAAAAGAAGTCTGAGAAGTCAAATATTTATTATCATTATCTATACATTTCTACTTCCTGCATCTTTTTTGGTATTCATTATAGTTATATTAAAAAGGAACAACAATCATAAAACCGCGTATTGTCAATTTTTTATTTCTCGCGTGTTTATTACATATAATTTTACGAATAAGTACATACATACAGTGATAGCAATTGGAAAATTTGAATGTACGAGCTATGTTACTGATTTCATGCGACGCATCTTTTAAACGTATTAAAAATATACAAAATTGTATACTGATGATTTTAATATATATATTTATTGTTAACATAATGAAAATAGTCATCATTAATCGTTTTAAGGTGTATATACAAGAGCTTAGTAGCTAACGATCGTCGATCGTAGTAAATATTCGTAACGAATTTCAGTCACGTTAAAAATGTAAAATAAAATTATCAAGAAATTAATATCGTGTCTTCTTCTCGATAGGATATTTCCAAGGAATCGCTTTGAATCTCAACTGTGTTCTCTTGATGCTATAGCACATGATGTATTATCAATTAACAATACAGGATACAGTGGCTCAATTATAATTATATTCAATAGCGACAAACAAATATGTAGAAGTGATACGAACGAAAGAATAGGTTGAAAAAATACGAGAAGGAAAGAAGAACAAGACAGGAAAGGAATTTTATTTCATATAAACGATATAGAAATAGGATAAAATACACATTTCCAAACGTTCAGTGAATGAAAAATGTTTCCACGAGTCAAGTAAATATTTATTTCCCGATTGAGTCTTGTTTAATAGTTGTCCGATGATTCCAACTCTGACAGAAAGCTGTCCATTAGGGGTGGCGTTCGTTCATCCATTTCATTGTTCCTTTGTTTATGATGTGTCGAACGCGCCATCTCCTTCTGAAAATTCTGTAACATTTCAATATTTTCTGTATCTCATTACTTCGATATTTCAGACTAACGTTTCCGAACTGTTTAACAGTCACATAATTTATAACATTCCTCTTCCTACTTTGCATTGCAACCCCTTTGAAGATCGTAACTCATAAATTGGGACTACGATGAATCGTTAATCGTTGTAACTTACGTTGTTCAATAAAGCAACCAAGAGTCTCGATTTCGACAGTGGAATATAAGGAATACGTTGTCGTTCTTCAAATTCCCGAATACAGTTTAAACTTGGCTTGTTTTCGTCGCAGCCTGCACTAAACATGGTTGGAAACATTGCGCGTTTCCTTGACATGGTACCTCTGCACGTGTGATGAAATGGATACATCCTGAAAATACAAAATACATAATTACTATTTGCTCGCAAAACGATGCGAGGATTGTTCGCCAAAAAAATACTCACTCGCAGTCCACACTTTCGCTCCGAACATGAAAATAACAGAGGAAAATAGCAAGAATCACCATGCATCGTTGAATGAATCCCATAGCCTGTAAACATAATTTCGATTCATTTTTTTACGATCTTATATAGTCTTCAAGTTTGTTCATTGCTTTTATAAGACGTTAAAAATGTCATTCTTTTTAACACGTTAACTGTTGTAAGGATCTGGTATGAATTCTCGTGATACATATAGCCACGGTTCAGAAAGTGTCGATACGTAACTTTATTCTTCTTTACGCGATAACGAGGTAAAGTGGACAAAATTTCGAAGTGTAAAGGTCACTGAATCTTGTGCATTCCTTCTATTTATTTAGCGATTTCATTCAAAATCGATATCGGGTCTGCGTTCATTTTTGATTCGACGTCGGCGAAAAATGAACTTGCATCATCCAATTTGCGGCAAACTTGCTCCTTTCGATGGCTTGTTGTCGTTATTTGCGATCGCGCGTCTCATGCGCAACGCATAACAATCTCTCGTTTGTCGGAGAATATCGTAGGCAGAGAGACGTAGAAATTTAGATGGTGCTGTGTCTACGTAGTATACACGATTTTCCAATAGTAACAAGACTATTACAGATAAGTATTGCATTGTCACGAAACAAACGATCGAAGATCGCTATAACTGATGAACCAGTCATTTTATGTTAAGGATCTTAAGGAGAAATTTACATAGTCTTAAATTGATCTGTTATCTTGGAACAGCGGACTTTAAAATGCTACAAGTAAAAGATCGTAATATCAAATTCTATTTATCGTTTTAGGTTATTGAGTAACGCGGTTCCGAGCAATTTGCTTTCGATTTATATCTAATCCGGTTCAATTAACCAATTTCCAGTAGGCGTATAGTGTTTCCTGGGGAAGGATATGCGTTGACGCGATTCGATTTAGATTTTGGTAGGTTGGTTATCTTTATGTAATACGAACGTTTCATAGAGAATCAATGGGAATAATGCAAATGTATAATATTGGATCCCTATCGATTAACCTATCAAGCAGATTGGTGTGACTTATAGTACCCTTTGGCAGTTTTCTTACACGATTTTCCATAAAATTCAGATACGAAACGATGTCGCACGATCGATAAGAGAGTAAATAGTTGACGTTTTGCATTCTAATATTCTTCAATAGGGGAGAGATGAAACGATCTAGATACGAAATGGTTAATCAACCAAATTGTTTGAAATTTTATATACATTATTTTGCAGCTCTTAGATTTTAAGGAAAATCGATATTTTCCTGCGAAACAAGGAGTTACAAGGAGTAACGAGTCTTGTACTGCTCATAAAATTGTTCAACTGTATTTTGTTATTATTTTGGTATCACCGCACACGACACATACGAGATGATCGTAGTTATCGTCCGGCGAGATTCGTGTATTAATTCGAAAATTATCAAAGGAACCGCTCAATAGTGGTAGTAGGTGGTGATGGAACCGTGTGAGAACATTGCACATGGTTAATTTTAGCTAATTGGCGGTGATCGCAATTGCAGAAATTATGCAAATGGATTGATAGCGGACAATGCATGCGAAAAATCGTGTACGCGTCAACGGCGATTGATGTTTTCATGTTCATCGATGCTCCATAAATTTATGAAACAACGATCAGATACGGGCTCCGATATCAAACGAATTGACAGGCACTGGACCTCCGTAGAAGTAACGCGTTCACAATTTTTTTCCTTTAATTTAATCGAATAATTATAAAGATCGAAAGAAAATCCAAATTGTCATGAAAATTACACTAATAATTTGAAACGAGAGAATGAAGCATCGCGTAAAAAATATCTTTCACAATCCATATTATCAGGTGTCATATTAGAAAACTTCCATCGTATCAATCAACGCGTTAATAGAATAACAAGTCTACAACGAAAGGTATTTTTTTTCTCCTCTCAACCAGAAAGGTAAGTTTCTAATTGAAAAACATCGTAGTGGTCTTTGAAAACGAGCGTATGTCCAACTCGGCATTTTCATGCTTCTATTCTGATGTTGCAACAGGAACATTGTTTCCTACCTTCTATCTCTTCATTAAGAAATACGTCGTGTCAACAACACTATATGTCCGAATGTGAAGCACGAGTTTATCATTCATTATGAACTTCGTATGCTAATCTAATTGAAACTCGAGTATATGTTTCTTCTAATTTAATTTGACTTCATCAAAAATATGCTTTGTTACATCGTTGATTAATCGAAACATGAAAATAGTTACCGTCAATAATTTATAGGAAAAATTTCATTATCAAAGGGACACGTTTTTCAGAGGCTTTCGCAACAAAGTTACTCGCCCTCTTTCCACTTTCAGCGGGACAGTATCAATTACCGCCTTTTTCGTGGAACCATCGCGTTCATTGTTTGCTCGAGGGATGCTACGCAATAACGATTCAACGAACGATATTAACATAATGCGTAACTTCAGTACAATTTATCGGAAAATATATCATTCAAGGCTTTGTGGGATCGGTTGAATATTTAAGGTTCCTCCTTTCCTTTTGTCTGCTACGAATTTTCTTGTTCATTCCCGCAGTGGAAATGGGCGTGTATGGTCAGACACGTAGAAGCTGTATTGGGAATTATGGACATACAAAATACATATTAATTACATTTGATATTAAAAGATACGTTCGTCGATGATCATAATTTTTTTCAAAAAACCGAATCACGTTGCATTTCCTTTGATCTTTTGTTTTCTCTCGTAATTTTTGCTTTTAATTTAGAATCGAATTTCCCAAAGCTTCAGTATTTTGTTACATGCATCTCATTGCCGACGGAATTACAATTTATAACCGATGTTTACCAAGAACACATTTTGTATTCAACATTTTTTCATATCGTTTTAAGTAATTTAAGGCAGTCCATTCCACTATACGCGTGTAAAAGGGGGTAGTAATCTTAGAGAACGGAAGAGCGTGGTAATCGTTCGAGAGCCAGCAAAAAAAGCTTTCATCTTGCTCGATGTTCGATCCGAATCTCTCTGTTTAATCTCTAATCGAACGATTTTCTTTATTGAACAGAGCAAATAGAAATATGATAGGAGCGTAAATAATCGGGAGAAGAAAGGAAGATGTAAATATAGGATATGAAAAGGATAGAATAGATTGGGGAACGCAAACAAGATAGAAGGGAGAGAAAGCTAGAAACGCACGATTTAATTCTTCTCTCGGATATGGGGCGTCTTGGCGTCTCTCTGTCTCGTGGCATACAAAAAGCTTTTCAACCTTCTCCCTCTACTTTTCGTCTTTCGTTTCTGCGGTTTCGTCAAATCTCAGTTCCATCAAACTTTTATCGTCGAGTTTGTTTCTTTTTACTTTATAAACTACCTTTAAAATCCAAACAATTAGTATCTAGTCTGTCGTGATTATAATTCGAAACCGTATAACTTCGTCATGCGTTAAGTTATCACATGCAGAATTGCGTTAAATCCATTAGTTAGATCGCACACAGGGACCAGTCAGTATGTTTATATTGTTAGTAATGGATTCTGTTTTAACATCCAGTATGCACTTCGATCGATCAATTTTTTATCAAACAAGTTCACGATACTCGAATGTTTCAACGGTACACGGGCAAACGGATTATTCAAAATCATGAGAGAAGTTAGGAAACAGAATGGAGCATCGTTTGATTATGCTCGTAAAAAAGTTGTGGTCTCCAAATGGGATGGCATTGATGAATCTCTATCATGTAATGCAGTGCGCAGTAGAGTCCTTGGTGCCATGAGAACTATGGGTTAATATAAATTGCGAATATTCCGACCAAAGCAAAAAACTTTACACCCTTTTCGAGCACGTTCATAGACTGGAGCAACGTTTCCAAGAAATTACGTTTTGATATTTGCGATACTATTTTGCTGACATTATTCTTGGTTTTGGAGACAATTTTGTAAGAAAAAGATCCAAAATTAATTACTGCGAGTTAAAATGAATCAGTCAACGATGGAATATTTCTGATACATTAGCTCGTTGCGTAGGCACGATTTTGAAATTTGAAAAATCATGACATAAAAGTATCGCAAAATACCACTTATTGTGTGCCAACTTGTAGCTTACACTTTAATGAAAATGACTGCGTAGTCCCTTTATCAATGCACTTAATACAAAGTGGCCATTGCAGCAGATTGTAATTACAACATAGTAATATTAAAAGTAGTGATCTCTTTATTGTTTTCATTTTTATTCAACGAGACCATTATGAAACATAACATTGGATTGCTTCTGGTTCATTTATCGTAATGTTCATTGTGCGGTCGTAGCTGTTCGATCATTTACATATGACAAATAATGTATTTAATTGTAATTTCAACTCCTAAACTGACATCGCAACCTGTGGCTGTACATGTTCACCTGTTGCAATTAACAGACTGTTCTCAATGATGCATATGTACATATATCGTTTCTTAAATATTTCATCTTTATGTAAAAACAACAAAGCCCATAAATTAATCATGCTCGAATCGACAAATAACATTGTTCCATATTAAAATTTAGAGCGAATAAAGTCTTTCGACAAATGCAACGAGTTGCATTCACTCGTCACAGTGCGTACAGTTAATTTATATTTATTTGTGTCAATCGGCCTTCTTTTTGTTTCCATTCCTGACAAATTGAATTTATATCAAATTAATGTATCGCAGCGAGCCTTTCAAAAGATTATTAATACCGACTTCAGAACGAAAGTCCTTTTTTACTCTTTTCATTATTGAATTGCAAAAGACTAAAAATAAATTTTGTAGGGAAATTTTTTTATCGAACGAATTTTAGTAAGAAGGGACGCTAACGATTCGGGTTGTTTTAAACGAGCAGTCATGCTCGCAATAACCACATCTCTCGCATCGATCTGTACGCAATTATATTAATGAAATAGTTTTAGTATCGTTCGTTAATGTATTTGTAGCTTCTTGCGAATTCTATACGTGTCATTTATGTCCAGCCAAGTATACATCGTTAATCGTATCTTTCCCAATACTCTATTGCACCGGATGAAAATGTGCATGTCTAGTACAAAATAAGTATAGATATATCTTCGAATTTGATGGTCCCGAAAGAGAGCACAAACCGGAAGACATTCAATATCGAACGCAGCAATTTATCCATTGCATCGTGACCGAATAAAACTTCAAACTACTGCAATTCTAGTAGCGACACTCTACACATAACACTTATAATTTTACAGTCGACACTTCTTACGTCTCTTCCCTATCTTATCAGCCCCAAAATATGATTTTTAACAAATTATGTAGAACTCGAAGAATCTTTTTGAACTCACCAAGTTTTACAATACACTATATTTTTTCTCCGACAAGAGTTTATCGCGAGACATTTGTCCGGCGAATTCAGATACGGACTGCTCGAAACCCCGATTACGCGACCGCTCGAAAACCAAGTAGAAGATGAAAAAAAATCTGAGAAATTAATTTAAATATTTTACTCACCGTTGTCATGTCTACGAAGAGATAGAGCGATGTTATCGGAGGTCGAAGAAACAATTGAACTATTTTGCGTTTCCTGAAGATACTCGGTCGAAAAGATAAATAACTCGGAGAGGTGCCGAAGATGCTGAAGAGTAGACGGAGCACGAGAGGATCCACGAGGCAACGAGCGTCTTCGTTGGCGAAATGGGGCTGGTTACTTTCGAAATCTCAACGTGAACGTTAAGGAGGGGGTGTTTGGTACCCGTGGGAGCTTGAAGTTTGGAGGTCAGAGGGCGAGTGATTGGTGGAGCTTGCGCGGGCCACATTTATACCGCAACCACTCACCCCTCTTCCACGTTCTTCTTCCGTACCACCAAGAGGTTCTCCCTGTGTCCACCACCATTGGTACCCGTCACCGCCAACGTGTTCCTCCTCCACGTTTGTTACGGCCGCCCCGTATGTATTCTACACCCCTTCTGTGTCTCAATTACGTCATCGCCTTTAGTCTCCACCCAGAACACGATGATATCAGGGAAAGCCCTTGGCCAAACTGGCGATTGCCGATTGTACGAAAAACTGTTATTCGGATGGAGAAAGCTTCTTACGTAGATTCATGAATGAATCTTTTGTGAATGGAGCCAAAACGGGGACAGGAACCTCCTCGACGGATACTATATCAGACGTCTGGGTTATCCTAACAGATTGGAGGTCGTCGCTTACACGCTTGCTGCAAATTGTACTTAGGGACATTATAGAAAATTTGTCGGCCACGCGATCGAGAGCCTTAGTATCGGTTTACGAATTTTTCTTGTAATCTTGACAGCATGTTGTGAATGATATATATGTATATTCTCAACGATCAATTATTAATTATTCAAAGCATGCGTATACTTAATGTCGACTAATAAAACACATCAACAAATCATGATTAATATCGTGGTAGAGTAACATGCTATTTTCTCGAAGATACGTCACGGTACATTTGCTCTACATCGACAAAAAGATCAACTGTTTTTAGAAAACTTGATCCTGCTAATTCACTAAGCAGTCAATCCTAACGGGGCAAAAAGATTGAACCATACACTGAGGAAATTTGGGGTGGTTTGACAGGAGATAGAGGGTGCATAAACGGAAGGCGCCAGGATTGTCCGAAATTGATCGAAAGCTCGATTGTCAAGAATGTATTTACAGTATGAAATGTACTCCTAATAAATCTTCGTCCTTATAACTCGAAGCTTCTTCGCGTGCAGCTATTATAGAAATCATTGTACGCTGTAACACGTGATCACATAAATGAATTGCGATTTCTACGAACAGATCATATTGGAGTTCAGAGTCGTAGCTAATTAAAGAAGATACAAAAGTTCCTCATCGAAATTTATATTTAATTCGATGCTTTAGAGAAGTAACGGAGGCGGAGAGAACAAAGATTATAAACTTTACGTAACGATTAAGAGCAATCTTACCCGCAATAAATGTTAACGAGATTACTTTTGTCGGATAACCCACGACTTTGCACCCCTTTTCAGAATAAATCGTATAAGTTATGGTTTCTCCCTTCCTTTTACGCCCAGCATCGAATATGATTCCCTATTGTCATTTTCTTTAAGTGAAATCGACTTTGATTCCTACACTGCTTCTTCTTCCTGCGCAATCTTAAGATGCCCCAATATTCAATAGCGATTCGAAGAATTTTTCTTAAAGCAATATCCTGCAAGCATTAGTTATTCGAATACACTTTATTTGGCCGTGATTCAGTGAAACGTATTCGTGGTAAATTGGCATAGAAGCGAACAACTTTTGGGATGGAGGGTAGTGACACGGAGATGGAGCAGAATTTTTCGTGACGCATGTCGAATATAGCTCGTTTTGCGCTACGTAATGGTTGCGGTGATAAATACCGAATTACGCTGATACTTCGCCTCGGAGGCGCCGCTGTGTCTCTCGCTCTGGGCTCCTCGGAACCCTTGTTCGCTCTTTATCTCGATTGTTAACGCGTATTTCAAATTTTTGCTTCACAACCCCTAATCGAGCCGCGAACCGACATAAACCAGATAATCGCGATTTAATTGCTGTTGGTTCTGATGATCCTGGCTCTTTTCGCGCGATTTCTTCGTGGTAACTAAAAGGCAAAAAGGTCGTTACGATTTCATTGACCTGCTACGAGAAGATTTAATTGATTCGTTTTGTCGTAAAAGGATGAAGAGCTCTTGGTCCAATGATTAACTGATACAGGCTACGCATTCAATTACCCGAAGTACAACCGATCTGTAAGAGAAACGAACTCTTCTAGCACATGTAAAATACTTGTCTTATATATCTGTATGTCAATAAACCATTTTGTGTATTATCATGACGTGTTTTACCATGTATGTCCATTTTCACTGTCCCAGTCAACAGTTGCTTCAGTTACAATGGCAGCTTCCCGTAATCGTTTACCATGCGTAAGGATAAGACAAAGTGAAAAACAAACGAAAGAAAACCGGCTCAGGCTATTGCACGTTGGAATAGATACCTGTCTGCCAAGTCTTGCCTGTCGTTTTTAATGAGATCTACGCGGGCGTTGTAGGTTAATTATTCCTCAAAAAACCTCGCTCCTGTAATTCTTGCGTTCGTTAAGCATCGTTGTTGAGAATTTTCCCTTTTTTTTCAACCGCATCTTTCGAAATCGATATTAAGTTTTACTGTTTAGCAAACGACCCTCTTTTTTAATTCAAATTAAATATAAATTGATCAACTTGACCGGCGGATCGAATCATATTTATTTGATGTTACGTGAGATACAATATCGTAGAAAAATGTAAGAACAAGAGATAAAAAAAAGCAAGGCATTCCCTTCATTCGGATGATAGTCCATAAAAATCTTAATTCACCGATACACAATAGCGGGTGTATGTATAGACGTGTCCAAAAGAAACAAAACTCGAGTATACAAAGGGTGAAGATCGATTACAGCCTTATCTAAAGATCAGGGAAGTAATCTTTTCTGTTTCTCTTTTCTACACCATACGATTTCTTTGTGTTTCAATTTACGCTATAGCGTTATTCTATTATACGAAACGGATGTTCTTCCGTGCATCCACTATATTCCAATATTAATTTCGTTTGATTCGATTATGGAAAAATTGCGAGTGAACTCTTTTAGTTAAATGTGACTACGTGGTGATCGTACGTTTGTTCTGCTCCGGGCAAGTTAGTCCGGCGAATCAGTAGTAAAACTACTCTTCGTAAACTGTTCTTGTTTAGAAAAATTCGAATGAACTCTGTTACGATCGTCAAAGTGCTACAACTATGTTGTTATTCTACAGCTACTGTCGTACCTCTTCTACGCACGAGACGAAAAGGTGGAATGAAACTTTTAATACTGCAACTATAAATGACCAAAAAATATCTTGTAAATTCTGCACATTGTTGATAACAAAAGAATTGCTATAGAGGGACGAAGAAGGCGAAAAAAGAAATCTCAATCATGGCAAAAACAAGGGGGAGGAGAGTTGTGCGTAGGATGCTGGCGCCTAGATGAACATCACTCTTGTGCGTATCCTACGTTCGTTTATGCATCCTGACTTTCGCAGATTCTCAACGAAGAATCGTTCGAGTAATAGTAGAAGATAATTTTACGGTTCGAAACAATGGCGTCACGTTTGCCCTCAGTTTTATCGATTACGTCAAAAATCATCCGGATCGTTATCGAAAATTATGGAGCAATTTTTTTCCACCGATTCACGCGACACCTCATAATTTTTAAATTTAAGTATCCGATGATGTACTTGTAGGCGCCACTCTATTCGAATAAATTTACTTCCCCTGTAAAAAGAAAGAAACCATGTCCTTCGCATTTTTTTCGAAGGGTTAAATAAATCCTACGAGTATTTTTAATTTCAAGTTGAAAATTGTTAATTTTCAAGTAATTAATAATTCTTTAACATCGTTTATATAATGATATTCTATTCCTTTCAATAAAACGATGCAATTTGTAAAGCAGGCTGCATTTTAAAATTATTTTTAAATTTCAATACTGTAAAATTAAATTGCATATGTTGTTAAAACAGTATATTTATAATAGTAGGTATAATGTTGTCGAAGCGTTTATATTTAATAAATCGAATAACCTCGGACACTCATTGCGCAGTACGTCAGCGCCATCTCCTGTTAGTTGCTATGTATTACGTGTAATTTTCGTGTTCCCTCCATACCAGAAAGTACGAAAAAGAGAACAAAATAGGAGAGTGGAAAAGACATAGCTAAATCCTTTAGTTATCGAAGAGGACGGAGAATTTCGAATAGAGAAGAAATATTGTATCTGAGCGAGAGAATAAAACAGACGAGTAAAAGTTAGAACGGAAGCGACGAACAGCAGGAGAACAAGTGCCTTCTACAGATCAACTGATCGACGGTTTCGCAAATTATTCGATATCTCTGTTCATTGTCCACCACCAGCAATTTACGGTGATTATTTTGACATTTTGCTAGTTTTAAAAACTAACACTTTCTACAGTATCGCGTTCAGCTCTTCAGAATAGAATTAGTATTTTATACACACAACTTGTCTCAAGAAAATGTCGTTCGCATCGATGGTGTACCCGTTTGTTTTTCAACGAAAAAGATCGCGAATGAAATATTTATTTTGAATATAAATGTAAATTACGAATTGAGTTTTGTTGTCGTTAATTAAAGTATGGTTGGTTTTAATGACCTATCAACGGAAATTATGTTGTATACATGAAAATACGACAGCGCTTTGTCATTGTAATATTTTTGTCAAAGTTGAAAATATCTTCTAGATGCCTAATATTAAACTACAAAGTTCTGATGGAGAAGTTTTTGAAGTGGATGTTGATATTGCAAAATGTTCGGTTACCATAAAAACTATGTTGGAAGATCTTGGAATGGATGAAGATGAAGAGGAAGTTGTTCCTCTGCCAAATGTTAATTCTGCTATTCTCAGGAAAGTAATACAATGGGCTACTTATCATAAGGATGATCCACCTCCACCTGAAGACGATGAGAACAAAGAAAAACGAACAGATGATATAAGTTCTTGGGATGCAGATTTTTTAAAAGTAAATATTCATAGTTTTTTGTTTCTTATGCTTCCAAAGGAGAATTATACCAATTCAAAACATATATTTTTAGGTCGATCAAGGGACTCTCTTTGAATTAATTTTGGCAGCTAATTATCTTGATATTAAAGGTTTATTGGATGTAACGTGCAAAACTGTTGCTAATATGATAAAAGGAAAAACACCTGAAGAGATTAGAAAAACTTTCAACATTAAAAATGACTTTACTGCATCAGAGGAAGAACAAGTCCGCAAAGAAAATGAATGGTGTGAAGAAAAATAGATGTTTATAAATGTCATATCTTTTGACTTTTTTTTTTTATGAAATCAGTTTCAATAGTTAAAAATTTAATGTTTGATACCTTAATTTTATGATTTTCAATAATATCTCGAACAGTAGTCACATTATTTTTCAATCAATGCACTAAATAATGAATATATAACGTAAATAGATGACCTTAATGTATCTGTGGTTTATTTATATTAAATTTTTGTGTAATATCAACTAATACTATTTATCATATATAATGGGAATTACACAGATAAATTTATATTGTTGTCATCATTGTTACCTCTATTTAACAGAACAATAGATCTGTATATTAATTATATTTCATTTACATAGAATATAAGTTTAATTTGTATCTATGGAATTTTTATTTAAATTATATTTTTGTCATTTTATGTTTTATGGAATAGCATAATTAATATGAGTTTAAAAATAAATTGTATATTAATTAAAGGAATTGAGATCAGTTCTTAATTTCTATTCTGATTACAAGTTTAAAACGTTTATCAAGTTGATAAATGTTGAAATCATCGCACATGCGTGCACATATTCATTGAGCGAGCGAGCGAAGCTTTTATACTTGATTTTCCAACTCTTCGTCCGCGTTTTTCTTTTGCACCACTCAACCAATTCTCATCAAATTTTGCACGCAAATGCGTACATACATCCAGATGGACATAGAAACAAATTTTTAAATGAGTCTTGCCACGGAGGAATAATCACCGAAAAAACTGATCCTCATAGACTTCACTGTAAAAATTGAATTTGCTCGCCTTACAAATAGTGCAGTTTATGGACAAAAAAATTGGCGTCCATCTAGCGGCGAAACGGGCGAACTAAACCTAAAAAATGAGGGTCCGAAACACGCATATATGGAAAATAAAAAAATGAATATTTCGGCACTTTGACGACGTAGTATGGTTCCTGAGGCATTTAGAAACAAATTTCTATTAGGGTTTAATGCGTTTTGATGCATAATAAAGCCAGAAATTCAATTTTTGTCGAATTCGGTCCAAAACGGTACAGGTGGCGCCATCTAGCGGCGAGCGGCGGAACTACGAAACACTAAAATTTCGATTTTCTCGAAAACTAGGGACTTTT